AGTTAGAGATTCTCTGGTACTTATGTATACTTTTTTGCCAGTTGTTGAAAGGAGCCAAAAGTGGTCCCCGAAAATTGCATACTATGTCACATATGTGCAGATATCTGCACCGCGTCATTGCTCTCTCTCTCTCGCTCTGCTGTGTGTGCATCTTGCTAGCTGTCACTCAAATAGCGAAGGGCTGAAGTTCATTGGCTGAAACTCCAATTGGTAGTGGGCCAGCCCACATGGGAGAAAATGTAAGGAAAATGGCGCAGCACAGCTTCCAGAAAACAGTCCCTTTCAAACTAGGGACTTCGTGGTAAGACAGTAATTCTGCTCATAGATTATGCATGTATGAACTACACATTGACACAGTCAGCCCAAAGCGAGAAGTTAAAAAAATACTTACTAGTAGCCAAAGTTCTGGAGCATGTCTTAATAGACCAATAAGAAAGAGAGTTCCAAACCTCTCTGCCAATAACAGGTCGTTTTCAGTTTTTCCCTCCCAACTCAGACACCGCCCAGACAGTCCTAGCTAAATTCTTGCTTGAGAAATTGCTTTTAGCTGAGAAGCCATTTTTGGTTTATTTTAGAAATTGTTAATTGAAAACAATCACAGTAAGGTACATAATTGTTACCCAAAAATGGATGCATTGGACCTTTAAAACAAAGTGTTATTTATTTTAAACATAATATCCGAACGGAACTGTCAAAGGGAAGGGATCACTGCCGTTACTTCGCTGTCCAACCAAGTTGAATGAATTGAGGAGCAAACTGAAGTAGAGAGGAGATTCAGCAACACTTAGAGGACAATATTATTAAATTAAGAAGCTTCTTTACTGATAAAAGTTGAACCAACGAATTTCGTCTTTAAGCTTTCGTCAGGATTTTTCTCCGACATAGTGTTCATCAGAGTAACTCTCAGACCATGATAAAAATAAATATAACACGTAAACAGTATGCAAATGCTAGTTTACCCTTTCTGTGTGTATTAATGAATCACAACCGTTCAAAATGTTATCGGTGTCTCTGCCGTGCCTCCCACAGTATGTGTGTGCACCGGTGAGCTACACTCAGTTAGAATCAGTGAGCAACCACTCTGCTAACATTAACAATTAGGACAAAGAATCACTAGAAGTCCTAACATACTCAAAGCTGCCTCTACTCAAACTCATAACGAAATGGCGCCGGAGAAGATGGCTGCCGTTTTACAGCCCTCTAACCAATTGTACTATTATGTGTGTTTTTCCGCGTTATTTGTAATTTATTTTGTACATAATGTTTCTGCCATCGTCTCTTATAAACAAAAAGAGCTTCTGGATATCAGGACAGCGATTACTCACCTCGTATTGGACGGAAAAAAATTATTCAACGAGGCGGCCGCGAAGGATATCCTACAGACACCCGACAAGGCCCAAATCCCCGTCATTCGCATGAGGAAGAGACTGAGATATCGTGGACGTAGGTCGGGGTGCCTTGTAAGGATCCGACGGCGAGCGAGTAAACTGCCGCTCCCATCAATCCTATTAGCCAATCTTCAATCATTGGAAAATAAATTGGATGACCTAAGATTACGGTTATCCTACCAACGGGACATTAAAAACTGTAATATCTTATGTTTCACCGAGTCGTGGCTGAACGACGACATGGATAACATACAGCTAGCGGGCTATACGCTACATCGGCAGGATAGAACGGCTGACTCCGGTAAGACAAGGGGTGGCGGTCTGTGTATATTTGTAAACAACAGCTGGTGCACAAAATCAAATACTAAGGAAGTCTCGAGGTTTTGCTCGCCTGAGGTAGAGTATCTTATGATAAGCTGTAGACCACACTATTTACCAAGAGAGTTTTCATCTATATTTTTCATAGCTGTCTATTTACCACCACAAACCAATGCTGGCATTAAGATTGCACTGAATGAGCTGTATAAGGCCATAAGTCAACAGGAAAACGCTCATCCAGAGGCAGCGCTCCTAGTGGCCGGGGACTTTAATGCAGGGAAACTTAAATTCGTTCTACCAAATTTCTACCAGCATGATAAATGAGCAACCAGAGGAAAAAAAACTCTAGACCACCTTTACTCCACACACAGAGACGCATACAAAGCTCTCCCTCGCCCTCCATTTGGCAAATCTGACCATAACTCTATCCTCCTGATTCCTGCTTATAAGCAAAAACTAAAGCAGGACGCACCAGTGACTCGGTTAATAAAAAAGTGGTCAGATGATGCAGATGCTAAGCTACAGGACTGTTTTGCTAGCACAGACTGGAACATGTTCCGGGATTCTTCAGATAGCATTGAGGAGTACACCACATCAGTCACTGGCTTCATCAATAAGTGCATCGATGATGTCGTCCCCACAGTGACCGTACGTACATACCTCAACCAGAAGCCATGGATTACAGGAAACATCCGCACTGAGCTAAAGGGTAGAGCTGCCGCTTTCAAGGAGCGGGACTCTAACCCGGACGCTTATAAGAAATCCCGCTATGCCCTCCGACGAACCAACAAACAGGCAAAGAGTCAATACAGGACTAAGCTTGAATCGTACTACACCGGCTCTGACGCTCGTCGGATGTGGCAGGGCTTGAAAACTATTACAGACTACAAAGGGAAGCACAGCCGCGAGCTTCCCAGTGACACAAGCCTTCCAGACGAGCTAAACCACTTCTATGCTCGCTTCGAGGCAAGCAACACTGAAGCATGCATGAGAGCACCAGCTGTTCCGGATCACTATGTGATCACGCTCTCCGTAGCCGATGTGAGTAAGACTTTTAAGCAGGTCAACATTCACAAGGCCGCAGGGCCAGACAGATTACCAGGACGTGTACTCCGAGCATGTGCTGACCAACTGGCAAGTGTCTTCACTGACATTTTCAACATGTCCCTGACTGAGTCTGTAATACCAACATGTTTCAAGCAGACCACCATAGACCCCGTGCCCAAGGACACTAAGATAACCTGCCTAAATGACTACCGACCCGTAGCACTGACGTCTGTAGCCATGAAGTGCTTTGAAAGGCTGGTCATGGCTCACATCAACACCATTATCCCAGAAACCATAGACCCACTCCAATTTGCATACCGCTCCAACAGATCCACAGATGATGCAATCTCTATTGCACTCCACACTGCCCTTTCCCACCTGGACAAGAGGAACACCTACGTGAGAATGCTATTCATTGACTACAGCTCAGCATTCAACACCATAGTGCCCTCAAAGCTCATCACTAAGCTAAGGATCCTGGGACTAAACACCTCCCTCTGCAACTGGATCCTGGACTTCCTGACGGGCCACCCCCAGGTGGTAAGGGTAGGTAACAACACATCTGCCACACTGATCCTCAACACGGGGGCCCCTCAGGGGTGAGTGCTCAGTCCCCTCCTGTACTCCCTGTTCACCCATGACTGCATGGCCAGGCACGACTCCAACACCATCATTAAGTTTGCCGACGACACAACAGTGGTAGGCCTGATCACCAACAACGATGAGACAGCCTATAGGGAGGAGGTCAGAGACCTGGCCGTGTGGTGCCAGGATAACAACCTCTCCCTCAACGTGACCAAGACAAAGGAGATGATTGTGGACTAGAGGAAAAAAAAGAGGCCTGAGCATGCCCCCATTCTCATCGACGGGGCTGTAGTGGAACAGGTTGAGAGCTTCAAGTTCCTTGGTGTCCACATCACCAACGAACTATCATGGTCCAAACACACCAAGACAGTCGTGAAGAGGGCACGACAAAGCCTATTCCCCCTCAGGAGACTGAAAAGATTTGGCATGGGTCCTCAGATCCTCAAAAAATTCTACAGCTGCACCATCGAGAGCATCCTGACTGGTTGCATCACCGCCTGGTATGGCAACTGCTTGGCCTCCGACCGCAAGGCACTACAGAGGGTAGTGCGTACGGCCCAATGCATCACTGGGGCCAAGCTTCCTGCCATCCAGGACCTCTATACCAGGCGGTGTCAGAGGAAGGCCCTCAAAATTGTCAAAGACTCCAGCCACCCTAGTCATAGACTGTTCTCTCTGCTACCGCACGGCAAGCGGTACCGGAGTGCCAAGTCTAGGTCCAAAAGACTTCTCGACAGCTTCTACCCCCAAGCCATAAGATTCCTGAACAGCTAATCATGGCTACCCGGACTATTTGCACTGCCCCCCCCCCCCATCTTTTTACGCTGCTGCTACTCTGTTAATTATTTATGCATAGTCACTTTAAGTCTACCCACATGTACATATTACTTCAACTACCTCAACTAGCCGGTGCCCCCGCACATTGACTCTGCACCGGTACCCCCCTGTATATATAGCCTCCCTACTGTTATTTTATTTTACTTCTGCTCTTTTTTTCTCAACACTTTTTTGTTGTTGTTTTATTTTACTTTTTTATAAAAAAAATAAATGCACTGTTGGTTAAGGGCTGTAAGTAAGCATTTCACTGTAATGTCTGCACCTGTTGTAGTCGGCGCATGTGGCCAATAACATTTGATTTGATTTGATTTGATATGTTTGACAAACCCAGCTGACAAGTTTAGCCCCAAGTCTTTTCCCACCACCCCACATAATTAGCATAATTTCATGCATATTGTATGGCCTAGCAGTACATATTTTAGTGCTGGTCACATTTAATTTGAGTACTTTGTAAAATGTAGCATTTGTTTTAATAAATTATTCTGTTACTACAGAATCCAAGCGTGTCTTAGGCAAATGCAACATCCCAGAATTAGCAGGAAATATTCTGGAGTGTTCACGTCCTCATGTCCTTTATTAAAAATGCAATATAACATGCATGTGTTGCCATTATTACAATTACTATTTCATAAAGCTACTTAATTAAATTCACCCTTACAGGGGACCAGTTTTAATCTCACACATTCTGTCTCTCTCACACACACAAACACAGACACACGCACGCACGCACACACACGTTACAAGAGGCCCTCCCTCCTGCCCTTGGTAAGAGGTAGTATAAACCAAAGAGTGAAGGGCTGGTGTCCTGGACACTAACAGGCTCCACTACACACCCATCACTAACTGCTGCATGGGGAGAGGGGTGAGGGAAAGAGGGGCAGGGATAGGGGAAAAGAGAGGGATAGGGGAAGAGAGAGGGACAGAGAGAGAGAGGGACAAAGAGTGAGAAGAGAGAGAGAGAGAGAGAGAGAGAGAGAGAGAGAGAGAGAGAGAGAGAGAGAGAGAGAGAGAGAGAGAGAGAGAGAGGAGAGAGAGAGAGAGGCCTAAAAGCAACCACAAATGTTGACCACATAACCTGATTGTGGTTGTGATAATTAGTTCTGATAGCTCTGTCCTTCATAGGAGACTACATGCCATTTGGTATGTTTTGGTACTTATTTGAAATAAATCAATAACATAAAAGTACACTAAGTATAATACAGTATATCAAATGCGCAGACACACACACACACACACACACACACACACACACACACCATACATGAATGTCACCAGCCAACACACAACGAACACACAGCCAAACAGCAAAACAATTTGTTTAATCATAAAGTGCATTTGCATACATAAATGAATGCATAATGGCACAGGTTAATGCGTAGTGTAGCATTCCCCTGGGTTGGTAAATAAAGTGCCTTTTGAAAATGAGAAAGAGAGAGGGAGAGAGGAGAGAGAGACAGAGAGACACAGACAGAGAGAGAGACACAGAGAGAGACAGAGAGCGACAGAGAAAGAGAGAGAGACAGAGAAAGAGAGAGACAGAAAGAGAGAGACAGAGAGAGAGACACAGAGAGAGAGAGACACAGAGAGAGAGAGACACACAGAGAGAGAGGGGGACTGACTATCTACTTCACTTGCTTTGGCAATGTTAACATACGTTTCCCATGCCAATAAAGCCCTTAAATTGAAATTGAAATTGAGAGCGAGAGCGAGAGCGAGAGCGAGAGCGAGAGAGAGAGAGAGAGAGAGAGAGAGAGAGGGAGGGAGAGAGCGAGAGAGAGAGAGGGAGGGAGGAGAGCGAGAGGGAGGGAAAGAGAGAGCGAGAGCATAAAAAACATTCTGCAAGACAATGTGGCAAAACAGAGGTAGCTAGATAAATAAATAAAATAAAATAGATAAATAAATAAATGGGAAAGGTGGAAGCCTAATAAGGACATGCTTAGTTTATTTCCTTAATCTGCCTATTAACACCAAAGGGTTTGTGATTCACCGAACCTTGACAGGGCCACTACTAGTGACAAACTCAGAGCTTAGACTTACATCCCCTGAGAATACCGCTCTCCCTCCGCTCTCTCCCATCCCTCTCTTTCTCTCCCTCCCTCCCTCCTGTACCAGATATCAGAGAGACATTAAGCAGAGATGCTGCATTAGTAGGTGTGAGATGTGTCATTTCCAGTCTAGTCCAGTCTGTATGGGAACAGACTCTCTAAGATCCAGTTTAGTTTGAATTCTTCCACACTGTCATGGAGGATCTCCTTGCTTGTCACTTAACAAGCCAGCAAAGTGAAGAACAATAATTGCATTTGTAAATGAATAACACTACATGACAACTTTTCGTGACAGTTTCGGTGGATTTCACCCTCTCCACATTTGATATGGTTTATATTTATTCTTGTTCTCTTTGTTGTTGTGTTGTGGTGTTAAGTACTGCTGGAGGAGATCAACAACGTTTTGTTTGCTGTGACTTACAACTGAACATGAAGAAGATAACTGTCGTACTGAACATGATACTCACCCAGGACGAGTGAATGAACAAAACTAAGGAAAGAGGATGTTTTCTGTTATATTCTGGTGATGACATACCAGTGGCATACAGTACCAGTCTACCCAATGAGGCTTGAAGTTAGAAGATGTTGACGCTACACATTTCTGTCTTCAGCCTAAAGACACACAGAGAATGGTTGTGGTAGTATCTAAATAATATGTGATATGCCATGATAAACACACCAGTCTCTTCCCTGTGCCTCCCCTACAAACCCACATCTAAAACCACGTTAATGTATTCAAACAGCAACACTAACAAATGGCCTATACATTAGGGACCACGATACATCCTCAGAATACATGTCTATTTCCATCTGAATTGTTATGCTGTTCTTTCTCTGTGTGTGTGTGTGTGTGTGTGTGTGTGGCTGTCAGATGAGATGGGAGCGTTTTGCTTCAATGTGTCAGACCTGATTACAGATGTGATGCGTTTCGTGGTCAGTATAACACCGCACCCCGTGTGTGTGAGTGTGTATGTGTGTGTCTTCCATCACTTGCGTGTCTGTCACACCAAGACGTGACACAAATCAGCGAGGGTTCGTTGATGATGACAATGTGCAGACCTCCATTTTGTCACCCGGCGAGTGGAGATTACCTTCACCGCCATCTTGTATACTATATATGGTAATGAGCTGAGAGAGAGAGAGAGATGGAGAGAGAGAGAAAGGTAGAGAGATATTGGGGTTCTTTCTGATAAATGGGGCAGACGGGAGAAGGTTTGGGGTTCGGGATTCGGGGACTGCAAAAGGGAAACATACTCTGACTTGTATAAAAAGGGAAGATAGGAGATGAGGAGAGGGAGTGGGGACGTCTGTGAGGGAAGGAAAACAACCCTCTGAATGATTTTGAATAAAACAAAGGGGACATGGGGGGGTTGGTTTAGGTGGGGGTTTTTGGGGGTGGAGGTAAGGAAGAAATATTGACCCTCTGAAATGTAATATGGTTTTTGAAAAAGAAGGAGGAGGGGGGAGAGGATGTGCTTGAAGGTGGGAGTACCGGGGGTGAGAGGAGGGTGATGTAGGGAAATAGCTCACATTTTCAAACAAGGACTCGATGCAACCAGCCTCTGTCACCAGTCCCTCTCTCTACCCTCAGCACGGTCAGGAAGGACAAGACACCTGTCAGACAGATTGTGGTGTGTGTGTGTGTGGCTGGTATAATTCCTCCACAGTCATAAATAACAGGACTTCCCTCAGACGTCATTAACAGAAGTTTAATTTAATTAATTCTCTAATATGGAAAATGAAGGTCTGTGGCATCTCTGTCCCTTCACCCTTCCTCCTCCCCCTCCTTCCTCTCATCTCTCTGTCTGTTCATCACCCCTCCTTCCTCTCTGTCCGTTCATCACCCCTCCTTCCTCTCTGTCTGTTCATCACCCCTCCTTCCTCTCTGTCTGTTCATCACCCCTCCTTCCTCTCCTCTCTCCTCCTCCCTTTTCGCCCTGAAAGCCCAATCTGTCAAGGTTGAATAAAATGGTGGCCGTGTGTGTGGCAGCGTCTGGGGTCCCAGGGAGAGAGGAGGTGATGGTGACTTTCACCTTCATCTCTCCCCTCACTTCTTCCTCTCCTCCTCCTTCCCTCTCTTTCTTTGATGTGTGTAGAGTCGATGGGTAATCAGCCTCCATCAGGCCAGGCCTCATTTCCCCTCACACTGCCCCATTAGGGACACACACACACACACGTTCTGGAGCATGCTGATAAGGACAATAATCTTACCCTGGTATACACTCTGTTCCTCTATCCCTTTGCTCTTCCCTCCCACTCTTCTCTCTGTCCTCTTCCCCTCCTTCTGTCTCTACCTGCGTCTCCCTCGCTCTTTCTCTCCCTCTATCTCTTTCTGAGTCAGAGAAACAGAGAGACAGTCAGAGAAACAGAGAGACAGTCAGAGAAACAGAGAGACAGTCAGAGAAACAGAGAGACAGTCAGAGAAACAGTCAGAGAAACAGAGAGACAGTCAGATAAACAGTCAGAGAAACAGAGAGACAGTCAGAGAAACAGAGAGACAGAGAGACAGTCCGAGAAACAGAGAGACAGTCAGAGAAACAGAGAGACAGTCAGAGAAACAGTCAGAGAAACAGAGAGAGAGTCAGAGAAACAGTCAGAGAAACAGAGAGACAGTCAGAGAAACAGTCAGAGAAACAGTCAGAGAAACAGAGAGACAGTCAGAGAAACAGTCAGAGAAACAGAGAGAGTCAGAGAAACAGAGAGACAGTCAGAGAAACAGAGAGACAGTCAGAGAAACAGTCAGAGAAACAGAGAGACAGTCAGAGAAACAGTCAGAGAAACAGAGAGACAGTTAGAGAAACAGAGAGACAGTCAGAGAAACAGTCAGAGAAACAGAGAGACAGTCAGAGAAACAGTCAGAGAAACAGAGAGAGTCAGAGAAACAGTCAGAGAAACAGAGACAGTCAGAGAAACAGAGAGACAGTCAGAGAAACAGAGAGAGTCAGAGACACAGAGAGACAGTCAGAGAAACAGAGAGACAGTCAGAGAAACAGAGAGACAGTCAGAGAAACAGAGAGACAGAGAGACAGTCAGAGAAACAGAGAGACAGTCAGAGAAACAGAGAGACAGTCAGAGAAACAGTCAGAGAAAGTCAGAGAAACAGAGAGACAGTCAGAGAAACAGAGAGTCGGAGAAACAGTCAGAGAAACAGAGAGACAGTCAGAGAAACAGTCAGAGAAACAGAGAGACAGTCAGAGAAACAGAGAGACAGTCAGAGACACAGAGAGACAGTCAGAGAAACAGAGAGACAGTCAGAGAAACAGTCAGAGAAACAGAGAGACAGTCAGAGAAACAGTCAGAGAAACAGAGAGAGTCAGAGACACAGAGAGACAGTCAGAGAAACAGAGAGACAGTCAGAGAAACAGTCAGAGAAACAGAGAGACAGTCAGAGAAACAGAGAGACAGTCAGAGAAACAGAGAGAGAGAGAGAGATAGTCAGAGAAACAGAGAAATAGTTAGAGAAACAGAGAGACAGTCAGAGAAACAGAGAGAGTCAGAGACACAGAGAGACAGTCAAAGAAACAGAGAGACAGTCAGACAAACAGAGACAGTCAGTGAAACAGAGAGAAAGTTAGAGAAACAGAGAGACAGTCAGAGAAACAGAGAGAGTCAGAGAAACAGAGAGACAGTCAGAGAAACAGAGAGAAAGTCAGAGAAACAGAGAGACAGTCAGAGAAACAGAGAGAAAGTCAGAGAAACAGAGAGACAGTCAAAGAAACAGAGAGACAGTCAAGAAACGAGAGACAGTCAGAGAAACAGAGAGACAGTCAGAGAAACAGAGAGAAAGTCAGAGAAACAGAGAGACAGTCAGATAAAACGAGAGACAGTCCAGAGGAAACAGAGCGACAGTCAGAGAGAGAAACAGAGAGACAGTCAGAGAGAGAAACAGGAGACAGTCAGAGAAACAGAGAGACAGTCAGAGAAAACAGAGACGTCAGAAACAGAGAGACAGTCAGAGAAACACAGAGACAGTCAGAGAAACAGAGAGACAGTCAGAGAAACAGAGAGACAGTCAGAGAAACAGAGAGACAGTCAGAGAAACAGAGAGACAGTCAGAGAGAGAAACAGAGAGACAGTCAGAGAGAGAAACAGAGAGACAGTCAGAGAAACAGAGAGACAGTCAGAGAAACAGAGAGACAGTCAGAGAAACAGAGAGACAGTCAGAGAAACAGAGACAGTCAGAGAAACACAGAGACAGTCAGAGAAACAGAGAGACAGTCAGAGAAACAGAGAGACAGTCAGAGAAACAGAGAGACAGTCAGAGAAACAGAGAGCGAGTAAGAGTAACATAGAGAGAGAGAGTCAGAGAAAGTCAGACAAACAATAAGACTGTCCCTCTGTCCTCATTAACAGTCCAATCAGATCCACATGGGCATCAGATAGATTTACTGTTTATTCCCTTCCAGTCTCAAGGAGCCAATTTAAGAGACACACACACACACACACACACACAGCTTATAGGAGAAACCCAGAGCATGTCTGGGGCTGTGGAAGGCTCATAATGTTGCTCTTTAAAAAGGACAAGATGACTATTATTAACATCCATTCTCATTTCCTGATCATTTACCATTGGACATTATGTTTCTAATAACAAGGAGTGTACAGTATCTGCTACTCAGCTTATTGCCTCCAGTCCTCTAAGAGAACAGGCAACATGCATCAGCTAGTTTCCCCTGCATGAGGACAAACCTTTATAGTGCACTTCTGGTCAAAAATAGTGTACTATAAAGGAATAGGGAGCCATTTGAGATGCACCCCTAAAGATGATCTATGTGTAGCCAGTACAGCTCCTTCCACAATGGCCACTTATGATGCTGATGCTAGTTCAGATGGGCCACTCTTGTGATGATCAGAAAGAAAATAATGCCTGGTAATCATAATCATCATTCATATAACCATCAACATCCCTCTCTCTCAGACAGAGGGCCACACTCCACAAACAGACCCAGGCTGATTTGGGATGAAAATAAAATAGTGAGTGACAATATTTTTGTAGGTGTAACACAGATTTCTAGAAGACAACACACACAGACGTGTATAAGTGAAACACACACTCTCAGCCAGTGGAAACCATACATTAATTTAGTAAACTAAGGGTAGGAAGTTAGGGGATGCCAGAAAAAATAAGAAACTGTGTGAAATGAGCTTCCTGTGTAGAAAATACATGTAAGAGCCTGTGTCTACTGTAAGTGTGTGTAAAGGCGTCTGAATAATCCCTCCACAGAGCTAAAGCGAGTTCAAAACAGATCAAAGACAAGCTTAACCTCCGTAAAACCTCACTGGGTTTTCAAGAACAACAAATGATCATTCCCATCATTGTTTCCATGGGACTCTTTTCACCGTCGCACAGCTGCCTTGGTCTGGGCCTGGGAATCCTTTAAAGGCCTGTGGTTTCACTTTTAATGACTGTGCTCTGTGTGTGAGAGTCTATATGTGTGTGAGCGCGTGTGTGTGTGTTGGTGCATAAAAGCGGTGTATTTTTGACTGTGACAGCGATACCACTAACAAGCCAAGCTCTGCCTCATTAAAATGTAGACTCCTGAGAGAGAGAGAGAGAGAGAGAGAGAGAGAGAGAGAGAGAGAGAGAGAGAGAGAGAGAGAGAGAGAGAGAGAGAGAGAGAGAGAGAGAGAGAGAGAGAGAGAGAGAGAGAGAGAGAGAGTGTAATGTTTCCTGCTAATTTTTTATTGTTTATTTCACTTTTGTTTATTATCTATTTCACTTGCTTTGGCAATGTAAACATATGTTTCCCATACCAATAAAGCCCTTAAATTGAATTGAGAGAGAGAGAAAGAGAGAGATGAAAGAGTCTGTGGCTGCATGCCTCAATGTTTCTCTTTGAATAGACAGAGGGAAAGAGAGAGAGGTTCAGCCGTTATCATTATCACAGTCAAATCTCCCTCTCTCCCTCTCTCCCTCCCTCTCTGTCACATGTAGGTCTTGTTTAGCCAACACTGGCTTCCATGTCTTCCCTTAGCACATCAACTATCTGGCCTACAGTCACAACTATCTGGCCTACAGTCACAACTATCTGGCCTACAGTCACAACTATCTGGCCTACAGTCACAACTATCTGGCCTACAGTCACAACTATCTGGCCTACAGTCACAACTATCTGGCCTACAGTCACAACTATCTGGCCTACAGTCACAACTTTAAACATAAAACGGTCAGAAAATGTTATGATCATATTTGGAGTTATTATCAAACTGGAACTCTAAGAATAAATATAAAAAAACATTCATTATTACTACAATTCTCTCATGTTACAAGGCACTGAACACACACGCACACACAGCAGCGGGAGAACACATGGCACTAACAACAAACGAAAATAGATGTCAATGTCAACAGTTGCAGTACATGGCACACAGTCATACAGTGATCAGAGACAATGATATGGCTTCATAACCGAACCCATCCAACACAACAGCCAAACAAGGAAGAGATGTCAGGCATTAGAGTTCAGGGGTCAGGGATCAGGGGTTAGGGGTTAGAGGTCAGCGGGAGGTCAGGTGAGAGGCGAAGCGTCCTTGGTCTGTCGTATCTCTGTAGCGAGGTGTTTGATCCTACCTGACCAGTAGAGCTCTCTGTCCTGCAACTGTACGGATAGTTCTCCCACCCTCCTCACCCAGTAGGCCTCATTCACAGCCTGGGCCTCGCCTGGCTACCGCGGCCCAGCATTGCTCAACTCTGCTCGGGTCAGGGCACTGTCCTTCTCCCCTGGCCTGGGACTGGGGCTGTGGCTGGGGGGGTGGTGCAGAGGGGAGGGGGAAAGGTGGGAGGCAGGGGGAGGTTATCCTGTGTCTCTGTCCAGAGAGGGGGAGAGGGAGGGAAGGGAGGAGGAGGGCCCGTGTGTGAGGGAGAATGGAAGGAGGGAGGTACCCCTCCGGTGGTTGGTTGGCGGTATCCGTCGATTCACTCGTCTGCGCTCTGCTCTCTCCTCCTCCAGCTGCCGACGCAATCTCTCATTCTCTCCTCCCAGAGCACTCAGCTAGGGGAAAGAGAGAGAGAGAGAGTTTGAGAGAGATATAGAGAGATACAGTTTGAGAGAGAGAGAGAGAGAGAGAGAGAGAGAGAGAGAGAGAGGAATGTGGAGGGTAGAATAGAGGAAAGCTGTTCAATGTTCCGGAGAGCTGTCATCATGGTGTAGATGTAACCGGAAAACAACCCCTAAGAAGATGAGAGAAAAGGGTTTAAAACCCCTACACACTGTCAACACAAAACTCATTAGGCATGGTCTCATTAGGCATGGTCAGAGTGGAACTGGGCTCAAAAACAATCATATCCAAAACTTGAGATTATTCTTTGTACGTAACTGGCAAGTTTAAAGTGTGTTTTGGTTTTGGTAGGTAATGACATGCAAGATGCATGTCAATGTGTGAGATCTGCAATGACACAGTGATCAGAGAGAGAGGAGCTGACTGATTACTGGTTATTTTGAGCGGTACGGTAAGCAGACAGAGATGAAAAACAGACGTACGGAAAGAGAGAGAGTCTGTAGTGACAGTGACACTCATCCCCATCTGTTCCTTAGACGTGTGTGTGTGAGAGTGAGTGTGTCTGTATGGAAGCTGCGGTTAAAGAGTGATGTCACACACACACACACACACCCTACCTCGTCAAAGTGTATCTGAAATAGTCCCCCTTCTGTTGCGTGTGCAATGATGTTTGCAGCAACTTCTTTGTTGTTGTAATTTCGCAAACGTACGTGGCTCTTTCACCATTAAGGATTCTAGCTTTAAGATGAACGCACTAATTGTAAATTGCTCTGGATTAGAGTGTCTGCTAAATGACTAAAATGTAAATGTAATGTGTATTTGAATATTTGTTAATTAAACACTTATTTTCAACTAATGTGGCCCGAATTAACTACTTCAATTAGAAGTATTTTAAAGTATTTTCAAATACTTCTTTCAAATATTATTTTCAAATACCTAGGTTAAATTCACGAGAGTGTATTTGAGTAAGTGTATTTTAGTATTTTCTAATACATGCCAATACTTTCAAAGTGTTTTTCCAAATCCATTCCAATATTCAACTACTTGTCTTTTCAAATAAAAAATATTGAATTGAAAAAACATGTAGGCCTAGGTCTTACTTTTGAACGTAAAGGTCTAGAGACTAGTGGTTTGTAAAGAAATAGATTTGCAAGTATCTGGCCCAAACAGTAACAACATTCTCAGCAACATTTACAGAATTGTTTTACTTGCTATGACTGTGATACAGTATGTTGTTGTTTAACTATCTTAGCTGAATGCACTGACTGTAAGTCACTATGGATAAGAGTGTCTTCTACTGCTAGTCCCGTGTAGCTCAGTTGGTAGAGCATGGTGTTTGCAACGCCAGGGTTGTGGGTTCGATTCCCACGGGGGGCCAGTATGAAGAAAAAAAAATGTATGCACTCACTAACTGTAAGTCGCTCTGGATAAGAGCATCTGCTAAATGACTAAAATGTAAAAATGTAATGCTAATTGACCAAAATGTAAATGTTTATGTGAAAATGAACATACTAAAATGAACTGCAAAGCACACTGGGGATTATTTTTGTCAAGATGGGATACAGCTTAACCTAATTCTCCTAACCTGCTACGCTCTTATCACACCATAGTGCCATCAGACTTCTGATACAGGGTGCAGGGTGAAAGGGGGCCAAAATGGTATAGAAAAGTATTTTGTATTTTGAAAATACAAATTACAGCTCTCAAAAGCATCTTGTTACAAAATAAATTGGAGTGTAGTTCAGCCCAGGGTAATACAAATGACAAAATACTCAGAAGTAATTGAAATACATATTTCAAATATATCTAACAGAAATACTGCCCATTCATTGTATCATCTGATTGATTTTCTTTCTAGCGCCACTGGTGTTCCTAAGCCAAAATCCAATGTTCATTTTGTCACGTTTATAAGTGTGTTTAAAAAAAAAGATTTGGAAAGTTTTGCTGCACCCCTGAGAGTTTCTCAAGGCACAGTGGTTGAAAACCACTGCTCTAGACATCTCTCCTCCCCTATCCCTCCATCCCATCCCTCGTTCACAGGAAAGACAGACAGACGGAGGACAGTATTGGGATTATTAGGAAATATGTCTATCAGATGTGCGTCTTCCAGTCTTTCTATTGATGTGTGTGTTTGAACCCAAACTGAAACCTTACTCCCTTCCTTCCCTGATCTCTTGATGATTCCTCCGATCTGAAACAGCCTGAATAGGTTTAAGCAATAAGGTGTAAACTCTTTCCACCTATCTTGTATATCCACAGATCCAGTAGAATCTAAGACCAACCTTATCTCTAGCCCTGCAGAAAACCCTAAACATATCCCCTGCCTTGTCCAAAACCTCAGCCTCAGCCATATCTCCAACCCACAGTTTAAATCCAGTAATACCTTCTTGTGAAAATGTCTCCTCTTCCTCCCAGACCAAATCAAACCACAGTTATGTGTCTGTGAAAACACAGTATGATGTAAATGAACTAATTAACTCTAACATTCTTGGGGACATGTTTAATTTTTTGTCATCTTTACAAAGACTGAACGTTTGCTAATTAAAAATCCCTGCATGAGTCTCTAACCCTGAACTGGCTCTGTCTAGGTGGGTGGAGTGTGTGTGTGTGTGTGTGTGTGTGTGTGTGAGATTGGTTTAGCTGATCATAGGCTAAAACCCACTGGTGACCAGTGTGAAGGCTGTCTACTACTCTTAGCAATAACAACACATTCAATATCCAAATGAAGAAAGGAGATTAGCTATTATTCTGAGCCACTAATCTATTGAAATTAAACGTGTTATTCTATGGAAATTAGACAGATATAATTTAACTTAATCTGGAGTTCTCTAGCTGCAGAATGAAGTAAGACATTTCATTAGTCTTTTGACAGGGACATGGATAGGCATATGTGTGTTTGTCTCAGTTTGTGTGTGTGTCAGTGGGAGATGGCGGGCTGGTGAAATTGAGTGGGAGGTTGCCTGTCTGTCTAGGTATGTGTTGGCGTCCTCATTAAGTGTTCTGTGTAGGAGTGGATCGATATGTGTAATGATTCACACAGCAGATTAAGCGGTGTCTGAGACCCTGGATATTAAAGACAAAACACACAGAATGAGGTGTCTGAGACTGAAGCGATTACACATCTGACCTGTTAGCAGAACACCTTATTGGATCCCTCTCTCCCTCTCTCCCTCCCTGAATTTGGCTTCTACTTGGCTTTTCCTTATGCCTCACCTGGAAATAATACACTGCTCAAAAAAATTAAGGGAACACTAAAATAACACATCCTAGAACTGAATGAATGAAATAATCTTATTAAATAATTTTTTCTTTACATAGTTGAATGTGCTGACAACAAAATCACACAAAAATTATCAATGGAAATCAAATTTATCAACCCATGGAGGTCTGGATTTGGAGTCACCCTCAAAATTAAAGTGGAAAACCACACTACAGGCTGATCCAACTTTGAAGTAATGTCCTTAAAACAAGTCAAAATGAGGCTCAGTAGTGTGTGTGGCCTCCACGTGCCTGTATGACCTCACTACAACGCCTGGGCATGCTCCTGATGAGGTGGCGGATGGTCTCCTGAGGGATCTCCTCCCAGACCTGGACTAAAGCATCCGCCAACTCCTGGACAGTCTGTGGTGCAACGTGGCGTTGGTGGATGGAGCGAGACATGATGTCCCAGATGTGCTCAATTGGATTCAGGTCTGGGGAACGGGCGGGCCAGTCCATAGCATCAATGCCTTCCTCTTGCAGGAACTGCTGACACACTCCAGCCACATGAGGTCTAGCATTGTCTTGCATTAGGAGGAACCCAGGGCCAACCGCACCAGCATATGGTCTCACAAGGGGTCTGAGGATCTCATCTCGGTACCTAATGGCAGTCAGGCTACCTCTGGCGAGCACATGGAGGGCTGTGCGGCCCCCCAAAGAAATGCCACCCCACACCATGACTGACCCACCGCCAAACCGGTCATGCTGGAGGATGTTGCAGGCAGCAGAACGTTCTCCACGGCGTCTCCAGACTCTGTCACGTGCTCAGTGTGAACCTGCTTTCATCTGTGAAGAGCACAGGGCGCCAGTGGCGAATTTGCCAATCTTGGTGTTCTCTGGCAAATGCCAAACGTCCTGCACGGTGTTGGGCTGTAAGCACAACCCCCACCTGTGGACGTCGGGCCCTTATACCACCCTCATGGAGTCTGTTTCTGACCGTTTGAGCAGACACATGCAAATTTGTGGCCTGCTGGAGGTCATTTTGCAGGGCTCTGGCAGTGCTCCTCCTGCTCCTCCTTGCACAAAGGCGTAGGTAGCAGTCCTGCTGCTGGGTTGTTGCCCTCTTACGGCCTCCTCCACGTCTCCTGATGTACTGGCCGGCCTGTCTCCTGGTAGCGCCTCCATGCTCTGGACACTACGCTGACAGACACAGCAAACCTTCTTTCCACAGCTCGCATTGATGTGCCATCCTGGATGAGCTGCACTACCTGAGCCACTTGTGTGGGTTGTAGACTCCGTCTCATGCTACCACTAGAGTGAAAGCACCGCCAGCATTCAAAAGTGACCAAAACATCAGCCAGGAAGCATAGGAACTGAGAAGTGGTCTGTGGTCACCAACTGCAAAATCAGTCCTTTATTGGGGGTGTCTTGCTAATTGCCTATAATTCCCACCTGTTGTCTATTCCATTTGCACAACAGCATGTGAAATGTATTGTCAATCAGTGTTGCTTCCTAAGTGGACAGTTTGATTTCACAGAAGTGTGATTGACTTGGAGTTACATTGTGTTGTTTAAGTGTTCCCTTTATTTTTTTGAGCAGTGTATTATTATCTAAAAGATTGCAATAGCCAGTGTTGTGTTCAAGACCACCTAAAGCGAGTGGTCAAGTGGCTGGAGTGACAGTGGAATCAACCAATCACATTGACTTGTAATGGGTGGGACCGTTTTTACAAAAACGTATGGGAATCGTCTGCCATATGGAAGGCCAACAGGTCACTGTGCAATAGCAAGCAGTAGTCTTCCCACGGTCTAGTTAGCTATCTTTTGTTGAAGGCTAGTTTGCAGCAGCTGCAGCAGGTGTTATCGAAGAGGATGTTGTTGCTAATTTGTTAGCGTGTCCCTATTCAACCAGAAGTTACGTTTCAAATGATCATCATCTGTTGAGTGGAACTGTGTTTTTTATTGCAGCTTGCATGCTGTTGTTAGCCAGCTCTTTGAAAATAACTTATGTGTGTAAAAAATAGTTTTTTTAAATGGGAAATGCTTAGCCTAATGGTTGTGTTTTTGTTTTCTTATGATTGGATTCTATTGGCTTATTATGTCAGAGTGAATGAGCATGATGACTGAATTACGCATTGCAAATAGCCTATTAACCAAGACTATGGACTCAACTTTTTCAATACCTGGTTTGCATACCCATTGTTGCCTTAGTTAGCATTTACTGGTAGATATCATAAGTTGAAATGTCTTTCCTAACTACCGGCTACCGATGTCATTCTTCTGTGAGCTGACATGCCAAAACCAGCTGAGCTGCACACTCTTGCTGCCTGCAGATGATATTCTGCTGAAACTAGGCTATATGTGCTGCTCGCATGTGAATATATTTCACGTGCTTTGCGATTGTGTAGGCTACTTTGTGCATGATTTCTCTATTGTACTACATAATTGATAAGTTGTATACCTCCCCTACACTACTTTGATATGCCCATAAAAAAAGTGGGTATACGCCGTATACCTGTGTATAGCCTCCACTACGCCACTGGTCCTTTGTGTTTTACAAAAAGTGCACTCTACATGAGTGTGCTGGTATTATGGTTGCTGTCCTTTCAGCATCACAAACCTGTCACACACTGAAGGCCCAATAGGTTTGCCACTGGGCAAACATGTCTATACTAGATATAAAGACTGTTACGATTTCCCTGTCTCCCCTTACTAATAGTGAGAGCACAACTTTCCAACGATTTCCCCCACTCTTCCCTACCAGCGAGTCAAGGAAATCGGACAAAGTTTGAGGATATTTTTCAATGAAAGTAAAGGACAGTAATGTTACGAGTAAAGTAGGAATCACAGGTTTCAATAGGCAATAAGATATTAATGTTTCAAGAAAGGAATGTATGTATTTGGCCTGGCGAATCGCTTTTATGCACTGACTGAATGGAAGCTGATAATACGTTTTTTACTCAGCTGGTCTCGGGAAGAAATTACGAGTCCTCACTGTCCGAGTCAAGACCAAGTACAAATGTATCCGACACAAGACCGAGACACTCAACATGTGGTCTGGAGATCGGTCTCGAGTACTACAACACTTGCTATAGCTACAGTGGGGGAAAAAAGTATTTAGTCAGCCACCAATTGTGCAAGGTCTCCCACTTAAAAAGATGAGAGAGGCCTGTAATTTTCATCATAGGTACACGTCAACTATGACAGACAAATTGAGATTTTTTTTCCAGAAAATCACATTGTAGGATTTTTTATGAATTTATTTGCAAATTATGGTGGAAAATAAGTATTTGGTCACCTACAAACAAGCAAGATTTCTGGCTCTCACAGACCTGTAACTTCTTATTTAAGAGGCTCCTCTGTCCTCCACTCGTTACCTGTATTAATGGCACCTGTTTGAACTTGTTATCAGTATAAAAGACACCTGTCCACAACCTCAAACAGTCACACCCCAAAATCCACTATGGCCAAGACCAAAGAGCTGTCAAAGGACACCAGAAACAAAATTGTAGACCTGCACCAGGCTGGGAAGACTGAATCTGCAGTAGGTAAGCAGCTTGGTTTGAAGAAATCAACTGTGGGAGCAATTATTAGGAAATGGAAGACATACAAGACCACTGATAATCTCCCTCGATCTGGGGCTCCACGCAAGATCTCACCCCATGGGGTCAAAATGATCACAAGAACGGTGAGCAAAAATCCCAGAACCACACAGGGGGACCTAGTGAATGACCTGCAGAGAGCTGGGACCAAAGTCTACCATCAGTAACACACTACGCCGCCAGGGACTCAAATCCTGCAGTGCCAGACGTGTCCCCCTGCTTAAGCCAGTACATGTCCAGGCCCGTCTGAAGTTTGCTAGAGTGCATTTGGATGATCCAGAAGAGGATTGGGAGAATGTCATATGGTCAGATGAAACCAAAATAGAACCTTTTGGTAAAAACTCAACTCGTCGTGTTTGGAGGATAAAGAATGCTGAGTTGCATCCAAAGAACACCATACCTACTGTGAAGCATGGGGGTGGAAACATCATGCTTTGGGGCTGTTTTTCTGCAAAGGGACCAGGACGACTGATCTGTGTAAAGGAAAGAATGAATGGGGACATGTATCGTGAGATTTTGAGTGAAAACCTCCTTCCATCATCAAGGGCATTGAAGATGAAACGTGGCTGGGTCTTTCAGCATGACAATGATCCCAAACACACCGCCCGGGCAACGAAGGAGTGGCTTCGTAAGAAGCATTTCAAGGTCCTGGAGTGGCCTAGCCAGTCTCCAGATCTCAACCCCATAGAAAATCTTTGGAGGGAGTTGAAAGTCTGTGTTGCCCAGCGACAGCCCCAAAACATCACTGCTCTAGAGGAGATCTGCATGGATGAATGGGCCAAAATACCAGCAACAGTGTGTGAAAACCTTGTGAAGACTTACAGAAAACGTTTGACCTGTGTCATTGCCAACAAATGGTATATAACAAAGTATTGAGAAACTTTTGTTATTGACCAAATACTTATTTTCCACCATAATTTGCAAATAAATTCATAAAAAATCCTACAATGTGATTTTCTGGATTTTTTTTCCTCATTTTGTCTGTCATAGTTGACGTGTACCTATGATGAAAATTACAGGCCTCTCTCATCTTTTTAAGTGGGAGAACTTGCACAATTGGTGGCTGACTAAATACATTTTTCCCCCCACTGTATATTAAACAACTCTACAGCAAAACAGTTGACATGCTGCTGATACTTCTCAAACCCAAAACATTAACGACAGCCAGGTGATTGATTCTATAAGCTTTGTTCAAGAGGAAGAGGAGAGAAAATAAATGTTAATCTTCCTGCACGTTGTGGATTTGTTGACCATTTCTCTTGTGAAGTGACAACCCAGATAAACGACGGTGCACTTCTCTTTTGGTCAGGAGATTCTTCTGTTCTTCCTTTCTGTCTTTTATCCCAGCAAGCCATTTTTCTTGCCCGTCAGAGAGTGATGGGCTACAACACCATATTGATACTTCCCTCTCTCTCTGGCATGAAAGAGAATAATTTAGAGGTGAAGAAACGTCACCGTTATCTACTGATGAGATTATTGGTTCTCGCTCTTTTCCTCCCTTCTTCTTTCTATCTTTCATCGGAGGAAGAGGAAATGGATGTGTGTGTGTGTGTGTTTGATGTCAGACACTTTAAGGCTTCTTCTTTAGTCTGAACTAAACAGCAGGTGAGCTGGTGTGTGTGTGTGTGTGTGTGTGTGTGTGTGTGTGTTGGGCCAGTGGACCCAGTGTGTGTATGTGTGTGTGTGTGTGTTGGGCCAGAAGGACCCAGTGTGTGTGTGTGTGTGTGTGTGTGTGTGTGTGTGTGTGTGTGTGTGTGTGTGTGTGTGTGTGTGTGTGTGTGTTTGGCCAGATGGACCTAGTGTGTGTGTGTGTGTGTGTGTGTGTGTGTGTGTGTGTTGGGCCAGAAGGACCCAGTGTGTGTGTCTGTGTGTTCTTACCTGTTTGTTGAGCAGGCCTATAGCCTCCAGGTTGCTTCTCAGTCTGACCTGCATGTACTGGATCCTACTCAGGTTGGTGGTCACAAAGCTCTCCCTCTCCCTGCACACACATACGCACACAGAGGAAAGAACACTGTTAAACATTGTTACACACCGTCTACTGAGGATAGTGATGATAATGATGATGATGATGATGATGAAGATAGATAAGAAAAGTGTAAAGATGATTTATAATACAGACAAGTTTGTTGTCTAACCTCCGCTTTCTCCATAAAAGAGTTGAAAAGTATAAAGCTGATATTTTAATGATAAACATACCCACTAACTAAGGCTTCAGTATAACATGTGCACTTGTCTAACTAAAATGTCTTAATCAAATTTACTTAGGAATTCAGGGCAAAGATCAACCAATTGGCAAACATCATAAAGCAAATCAAAACAAGTTCTGAACATGGAGGACCAGGGGGAGAAGGGCAGGGGGAGGAGCTAAATGGATTCCAGAATTCATTAAATCATACATGAACATGAGAACGACGTTCAACTACAACAACATCTTTATAAGACATTTAACAATTCATTTAAATGTTTTGGAAATTACAAACAAATGTTCCCTCTGATATCTCCAGATCCTCGGAGACTGAGTGAGGAATGTCCATTAAATTAACGACGTCCAGTAAAATAATGGTTGCCTGTACTGACTTTGTGTGTGTGTTTGTATCAGTACTCCCCCAGTCCTGCGCCGTGGCTTTCATGCACCGATGGGTCCAGTTAGGAGGTTAGTCACATTAGCATGCAAGCCTTCTAAATACTTTTACTAGCCCTCTCGTCAAGCCAAGACTCCTTAGCCTATTAGACTACTGTAGCGGATCCCAATGTTCATTTTCTTGTAAAGAGGAACTAAGGGTCTGTATCTCATGTTGATAAAGAGCAGTGGATGAAAAGGCAGGGGATCATGCTTGACTTGTTTAACGTAGTCATCATATTGCTAATAAATAACAATCTCCATACACACGCGCGCGAATGAATACAAACAAACGCACGCACGCACACACACCTTTATTTCCTATTAGCAACAACATGAAGAAGAAGCCAAGATGCTAGGAGCCTATTATGAAGATTAACATCGATCAGAAGTCACAGCGATACGTCTCTGAGATGAAGTCTCATGAACCACAGACTTGCTTTATATCAATCAATATTAAAAAGCTCAGTGGGGTCGAGACACGGGCACATATAGGACAATAATGACTTAAACATACAACAACAATAGTTATCCTTCATTAGAGAAGAACATCTGCATACTGTCCCCTTCTGTAACTTCTATAGGGTTATATGGAAGTCAAGCTGTTTGAAATACCTATATGGGACACGTATTACCTGTGATAAATATGTACGTGAATAACTAATATGTTTTGTCACAGAACAGCAAACATCTGAATGGATATTGGGTTATTCATAATGGTTAACATCCATGCATATCATGTGATTTGTTATATGCGATTAATAAGCTGTTTGTGTTATCAGAAATATAAATAAAGCTATTGGAATATCTCTTCAAAACTATCCTGAGAGTGAAACATTCACGTACATATCTACTTCACTTGCTTTGGCAATGTTAACATACGTTTCCCATGCCAATAAAGCCCTTACATTGAAATTGAATTGAGTTTAACAATGTCCACAGAAACCCTCTATATTCATGTTATCCCAACATGTTGTTTTGGTTGTAATCAGAGCCTTCATCAGTTTGTAAAACATCTCATCAACACAGAGAAAGAGGAGGCTGAGGTTGATAGATTTATTTTCCCACACTGTTAAACCAGTGGAACACGCTTGGTTGCTGTATGTTTGGCACTGGGCCTGTATACGCAAATGTGTATTTGTTTATGTGTGTATGTGTCATGTGTGTGTCAGTGTGAATGTGTAATTATAGGCCTAACCCAATCAGTGTGTATATAATTGCAGTCATTAGTGTTGGAGACAAGCTGACATCACCACAGAACAAACTCTCTCTCTCTCTCTCTCTCTCTCTCTCTCTCCTTTCTCTCCCCATCCTTCTCTCTCCCGTCCCTCTCTCCCTCCCCGTTCTTCTCTCTCTCTCTCTGCTCTTTCATTCATCACTCTTTCTTGCTTTCCTGTTCACTCTCTGTATCTCTCCACCACTCTATCCCTTCTCCTCTCCCTCCCTCTAATCCTCATCTGTAATGACTGTGATGCTAATTAGGAACATGATGGTATTGGTGGTAATTTAACGACCTTCTGGCTCCACTGAGAGACTGGAGAGAGACTGGAGCTGACAGACAGATGTGACACAAGTGCCCCTAGCTGTTTTAGTGCTGCTGGAGGGAGAGACACTCTGTAACACAGAATGAGAGAGAGAGAGAGAGAAAGACCGAGAGAGCGAGAGAAAGAGAGAGAGAAAGAGAGAGAGAGAAATATCTATATTTAAGGCCTAGTTTCACTCTTTCCTCTCATCTTCTCTCCTGCCCTTTTAGACTGAAGAAGAGCTTTCAGGGGTTTTAGTCTCCTTGCTCACCCCTTCTCTTATATCCTTCATATCCTGCATGCTTCATTCTATAGCTAGAGGACTCCTGATATCTCCAGGAGTGATAAGTATGATATTTTGTCTCTTTATCTGTTGTGGTATAGTACTGTCTTTTTGCTAGCTAGCATCTACTTTAAGTGCTGCCTGTCTTCCCAGTGGCCTACTTGGTGTGTGAACTGCTGACTGCTCATCATTTGCAGATAGTTGTTGACACATCAACCAGGATCAAGGGGCAGGGCAATTTGTGACTTGTTTTGGTAATCAGTGGCTGTATTGGGGGGGGGAGTGGTTTCACCTCTCCTAGGCAATCAGCAATTAGTACAGGGAGGTGTGCTCTCCACCTCTGCTAGTCAATTAGCAATTAGTGTTAGTTCTTCAGTCCCCCCTTGTTTCTCACCGGTGGCTGTGTCAGCGGCAGCCGTGTCGCAAAACTAAGACCGTCTCCGGCTATGCTGCCCTTCAGTTCCTTGACTTTACAGCCCTGACGGAGACATGGATCACCCCAGAGAACACTGCTACTCCAGCTGCTGTTTCTTCATCTGACTATGTTTTCTCTCATAGTCCGAGAGCATCTGGTCGTCATGGTGGTGGCACAGGTCTACTCATTTGTCCTAAGTGGAGATTTTCTCTTTTCTCCCTCTCTCACCTGTCCATTTGAATTCCATGCTGTCATTGTCACTTGTCCACTCAAGCTTAACATTGTCATTTATCGCCCACCAGGTGCCCTGGGAGAGTTCCTCAATGAGCTTGACACCTTGATAAGCTCATTTCCTGACGATGGCTCACCGCACTTAGTACTTGGCGACTTCAACCTCCCGACGTCTGTCTTCGATTAATTTCTTTCCAACTCTCTCTTTCCCCTCCTTGCCTCTTTTGACCTCAACCTTTCCCAATCCCCTCCCACTCACAAGGCAGGCAATACACTTGACCTCATCTTTCCAAGAGGCTGCTTGCCTACTAATCTCACTGCAAGCCCCCTCCAGGTCTCTGATCACTACTTTCTTTTCCTCCAACCCTAGCCACTCAGCCCCTAACCCAGATGGTCATGCGCCATCGCAATCTTCGCTGTCTTTCTCCCACTACTCTCTCCTCTTCTATCCTATCATCTCTCGCTTCTGCTAAATCCTTCTCCCTCCTGTCTCCTAATTCTGCCTCTTCAACCCTACTCTCCTCCCTTTCCGCATCCTATGACTCGCACTGTCCCCTTTCCTCCCGGCCGGGTCGGCCCTCCCCTCCTGCTCCGTGGCTGAGTGACTCATTGCGAGCTTACAGAAGAGGGCTGCAGGCAGCTGAGCGAAAATGGAGGAAAACTAAACTTCCGGAGTACCTATCATCCTTTCACTCCCTCCTCTCTACATTCTCTTCCTCTGTATCTGCTGCTAAAGCCACTTTCTACCACTCTAAATTTCAAGCTTATGCCTCTAACCCTAGGAAACTATTTTCTACCTTCTCCTCCCTCCTTAATCATCTACCCCCTCACCCTCCCTCTCTGCGGACGACTTGTCAACCACTTTGAAAAAAAGGTTGACGACATACGCTACTCATTCACTCAGACTATTGAGACCACTGGTCTCACTCACACAGAAGTACCCTACGCCGTGACCTCTTTCTCCCCTCGCTCTCCAGATGGCATCCTGCTACTAGTGAGGTCTGGCTGCCCGACAATCTGCCTGCTCGACACCATCACCTCCTCCCTTCTCCAGACCATCTCTGGAGACCTTCTCCTATTCCTCACTTCCTTCATCAATTCATCCCTGACCACTGGCTGCGTCCCCTCTGACTTCAAAATGGCCCGAGTTGCTCCCCTCCTCAAGAAACCAACACTCGACTCATCTGACGTCAAAAACTATAGACCTGTATCCCTTTATTTTCTTTCCAAAACACTTGAGCGTGCGGTCTCTGATCAACTTTCTTGTTATCTCTCTCAGAATTATCATCTTGACCCTAACCAGTCAGATTTCAAGATGGGTCACTCAACCGAGACTGCTCTTCTCTGTGTCACGGAGGCTGCCAAAGCTGACTCTCTCTTCTGTTCTCATCCTCCTAGATCTATCCGCTGCCTTCAACACCGTGAACCATCAGATCCTCCTCTCCACCCTGTCAGGGCTGGGCGTCTCAGGCTCTGCACACTCTTGGATTGCATCCTACCTGGCAGGCCGCTCCTACCAGGTGACGTGGAGAGGAGCTGTGTCTGCACCACGTATGATCACTACTGGTGTCCCCCAGGGCTCGGTTCTAGGCCCTCTTCTCTCTATACACCCCCCCCCTTCTGACACCCAGGTGGCGACACTCATCTCTGCGTGCCTGGCAGATATCTCAGCTTGGATGTCGGCCCACCACCTCAAGCTCAACAAGACGGAACTGTTCTTCCTCCCGGTGAAGGCCTGCCCGCTCAAAGACCTCTCCATCACGGTTGACAACTCCATAGTGTCGCCCTCCCAGAGTGCAAACAACCTTGGCGTGACCCTGGACAACACCCTGTTCATGCTCTACAACATCCATAGAGTACGACCCTACCTCACACAGGAAGCGGCGCAGGTCCTAATCAAGGCACTCATCCTCTCCCGTCTTGGCTACTGTAACTTGCTGTTGGCTTGGCTCCCCGCTTGTGCCATCAAACCATCCGCACACTCCACGGGCTTCCAGTCGAGGATCGCATCCACTACAAGACCATGGTGCTTTACTGAGGAACTGCCCCTCCCTACCTTCAGGCTATGCTCAAACCCTACACCCCAACCCAAGCACTCCGTTCTGCCACCTCAGGTCTCTTGGCCCTCCCACCCCTACGGGAGAGCAGCTTCGGCTCAGCCCAGTCCAAGCTCTTTTCTGTCCTGGCACCCCAACGGTGGAACCAGCTTCTTCCTGAAGCTAGGCCAGCAGAGTCCCTGCCCATCTTCCGAAAAACATCTGAAACCTACCTCTTCAATAATCCTCCTCTTCACCTCGACCCCCCCCCCCCCCCCCCTCTAGCTCTGAATCTACTGATAGCTACGATATTGAGGAAAAATGTACTTTATATGCCTGTGATATGTGGATGTCCCACCTAGCTACCTTAAGATGAATACACTAACTGTAAGAGTCGCTCTGGATAAGAGCATCTGCTAAATGATTAAAATGTAAAAATATCCTCCCCTCTCATCCCGTCTCTCTCCTCCCCTCTACTCCTTCTCTTTTCCTCCCCTCTAAATCTTCCTCTTCTCTTCTCTCCTCCCCTCTCGTTTTCTCTCCAAAATCAATAAATATACAGCTTTATAATCCTGGTAAAAGTATATTGTACTATGTAGCCTATATTACACAGCATATATAGTGGTATAGAGGTTGTATATAGTGAGCTACATAATCATCATGCAATAACCAATCATTAGAGGGATTTCAGAAAAACATTTATAATAACTGACTCCTCACTACGTTGATCACTGTCATGATTATGCCACCGTATCCGTAGAGATATCTCCTTCATAATGCATCATCCTAATCATGTGTAGGTATATGACAGCCATGCAAATATTACTTATCTCATATAGCAAATATTCAGATTCATATATGCTATGGGGAAATTGTAATAATGACATGAAGGGATTTTCCCATAATAAGAGACAGAGACAATAGGAGACAGCTTCATTCACCGCATCTTATCTCAATCTACACTAATATATTCATCCCATCAAAAACCCTCATCCACACATCTATATGAATTTCTTCTGTCTCTGTAGCAATTATTCAGAAAGACAAAGAGATGTGATTCACCTTTGTCAGGGCCCTTAATAATATCATTAAAATGACTGACAGCTTTGAACTGTGTTTGAAACCAATAGGAGTCCAAACAAATTACATCAGTTTGGAAATAAAGCCTGGTGGTTCATTCGGGGACGAGGAGGAGGGATGCATCGTTAACAAGGGGGACCCAAGGGGTCAAGGTGGGGGGTGATTGGTAGTGTGTGTGTATGTTTGGGGGGTTTGCTTCAGGCAGGTACCTCTTTACTGCCCCCACACCCCCATCCCATCTGTCCATCATTCTTTCATCCTCTTAATGAAACTTAGATTAATCTCTCCACTACAGATGAACATAATCTGACAGCAATGAGGAGGACTCTGATCAGAGACTTATCATTGTTAAAGACACAGCATGCATTAGTTATTCAGTGTGTGCACGTGCGGGTAGGTCACATCACACACAGACACAGGTGGCATCGCCCGAGGGTCTTTTAATTGGCAGCACCCCCCTAATGTCATTATCCCATTCACAACTTGTCATTGATAATAACATCATTAACAGCTGCTGGGGAAGAAGCAGCCAGAGTGTATAGATGTGATCATGACTACTATGGTGATTGATTGGGAGTATACGTACACACATGTATGACCACACACTCACACACACCGTGTCCAGACGGAGAACAGACACAGAGACAGTCGGTACTTACTCCTCCTGCTGTTGACCCCGGACTTGAACCTGGGCCTACGGAAAAGAAGATAAGTTAAATATTCATCTAAGCCGACGATAGTCTTATCGGCGCTACGTTCATGTAGAGTTCTGTTCTATTCTATAATATTATATTCTATACTATACTATTCTAATCACTGGTGTTATTCTGATTGAGTTCCAGTCTTAGGGTAATTCGTTTTGAGACAGGTTTTTGGTGACTATATGCCTCAGGCACAGACCTACCGCTGACATATCAGACAGAGTGGTAGGACTCAGATGCTGTTACCACTGACTGATCAAAGTATTGGGAAATATGACATATTACAGAGATTGAATGGCATGCGTGGTTAAATCGAAGGCTTCTAAAAGTGACAGACAAAATTAGAAGGGTGGTGGGGGGTACAAAATGTTATACACAAACAACTGTGCATATGTCAACTACAGAAATTCTCCATCTCTTTATTTCCACTCTCCCTCAGTCTAAAACATCTCTCTCTTTCTTCTTCCTCTCATTTACCTTTAAGCGTTCCATCTCTCTCTCCTTCTCCTCCCCCTCGTCTCCCAATTTCCTCAGCTCCTCCTCTAGGGCCCTGTTAGCCTCCTGAAGATGTCTGAGAGAGAGAGAGAGACATAGAGAGAGAGAGAGAGAGAGAGAAGCGATCCATATAGATGTGGATGAGAGGAGAGAAAGAGAAAGGTAACATAAATGAAGGAGATGGAGAGAGGAACACAGTGCACCCAAACCACTGTCTGGTTTTAATGATGTAATTTAAGTGGGATGGCAGGCGAACACGCTGACCCAGATGGACAGACGGGACCTTTGATACAGAGGGAGAAGACATTGTGAGAGATAGAAAGGACAGAGGACAGAATCGCAGTGAGGATAGAAGGACAGAGAGGATAAGAGGATAGAGAGGACAGAAGGATAGAGAGGACAGAAGGATAAAGAGGACAGAAGGATAGAGAGGACAGAAGGATAGAGAGGACAGAGAGGCTAGAAGGACAGAAGGATAGAGAGGATAGAGAGGACAGAAGGATAGAGAGGACAGAGAGGCTAGAAGGACAGAGAGGACAGAGAGGACAGAAGGATAGAGAGGACAGAGAGGCTAGAAGGACAGAGAGGACAGAAGGACAGAGAGTATAGAAAGGACAGAAAGACACACACACACACAGGAAGAAGGAGAGACATTCTCAGCGTTACGGCGGTATGGAGCTGCAGGGGGTGGAATGATGGATGATGGGAAGACCACTTTGATCTCTGAAGAACAGTGTCACAGTGTGTGTGTGTGTGTGTGTGCTGACGGCGGGCAGGAAGTAATGTGTGTGTGTCGTGTGCGTCTTTCTCTGAGATTCGGAATCAGAGAGAAGTGTGTAACACGTACACACACACACCAACACCTGCTGTGATCACACACTCCCCCCTGGTGGGAAAGGTGACCTAGTTAGCAGGTGCAGCGTTTAGCTGAGCTGAGTTTCCTGTCTCAGAACATCCAGTCATCTTTAGTAAACAAATACGCTGCTCAGGGACAACACGCATACATACATATGCATACGTGTACATCATGTGTTTCTGGTAAGGGGGTCCATACTTTGTTATGAAGGGGCTTTATGTCAGTGTTTCTCAATCCTAGTCCTGGGGACCCCAAGGGGTGCACAGTTTTGTATTTGCCCTAGCACTAACACACCTGATTCCTAGGGATGTAACGATTCACCAATACACATCAGTCCCTGATTCAAATGTTTAAGATACTAGTGCATTGGTCTGTAGACCCCAAATCAATCCAAATGTAACATGTATCAGTCAGAAAATCGATTCAAACGTTACGAATTGCCGGTTCACTTTTTTTTTTATTCTACCCTTCCGAAAATACCTAATCTTTTGTGACAACTGATGAGTCCTGTCCTTCAGTGTCGAACTAAGCATGTAACTGTGTGGACAGTCATTGGTCTACAAGTCATTTTGCATGCCGAACAACCCCAGGCAATATCAGTAGCCTGTAGTCAAACTGTGCACTGTGCCCAGCTTCATGCTCTGACCAACGCCAGGTAGGATGCCTGTTCTTACACATGCTAAAATGGCTTGCGCAATATTGGCTAAAATGGCTTGCGCTTTATTAGTTGAGTGACCCTGCTTCACAGAGTTCAAGTAACAGACACATCTCAACATCAACTGTTCAGAGAAGCCAGTGTAAATCAGGCCTTCATGGTCAAATTGCTGAAAAGAAACCACTACTTAAGGACACCAATAAGAAGAAGAGACTTTCTTGGACCAACAAACATGAGCAATGGACATTAGATCGGTGGAGTCCAAATTTGAGAACCGCCGTGTCTTTGTGAGATGCAGAGTAGGTGAACAGATGATCTCTGCATGTGTGGTTCCCACCGTGAAGCATGGAGGAGGAGGTGTGATGGTGTGGGGGTGCTTTGCTGGTGACACCGTTGTGATTTATTTAGAATTGAAGGCACACTTAACCAACATGGCTCGCACAGCATTCAGCAGCAATACACCATCCCATGTGGTTTGCGCATAGTGAGACTATCATTTGTTTTTCAACAAGACAATGACCCAACACACCTCCAGGCTGTGTAAGTGCTATTTGACCAAGAAGGAGAGTGATGGAGTGCTGCATCAGAAGACCTGGCCTCCACAATCACCCTACCTTAATCCAATTGAGATGGTTTGGGATGAGTTGGACCGCAGAATGAAGGAAAAGCAGCCAACAAGTGCTCAGCATGTGGGAACCCCTTCAAGACTGTTGGAAAAGCATTCCAGGTGAAGCTGGTTGTGAGAATGCCAAGAGTGTGCAAAGCTGTCATCAAGGCAAAGGGTGGCTACTTTGAAGAATCTCATATATAAAATATATTTTGATTTGTTTAACACTTTTTTGGTTACTACATGATGCCATATGTATTATTTCATAGTTTTGATGTCTTCACTATTATTCTACAATGTAGAAATTAGTAAAAATAAAGAAAAATCCTTTGCAAATTATTACAGACTACAAAGGGAAACCCAGCCTGGAGCTGCCCAGTGACGCGAGCTTACCAGACGAACTAAATGCCTTTTATGCTCGCTTCGAGGCAAGCAACACTGAAGCATGCATGAGAGAACCAGCTGTTCCGGAAGACTGTGTGATCACGCTCTCCGTAGTCGATGTGAGCAACACATTTAAACAGGTCAACATTCACAAGGCCGCGGGGCCAGACGGATTACCAGGGCGTGTACTCAGAGCATGCGCGGACCAACTGGCAAGTGTCTTCACTGACATTTTCAACCTCTCCCTGACCGAGTCTGTAATACCCACATGTTTCAAGCAGACCACCATAGTCCCTGTGCCCAAGAATGTGAAGGTAACCTGCCTAAATGACTACCGCCCCGTAGCACTCACGTCGGTAGCCATGAAGTGCTTTGAAAGGCTGGTTATGGCTCACATCAACACTATCATCCCGGAAACCCTAGACCCACTCCAATTCGCATACCGCCCCAACAGCTCCACAGATGACAAATTCTCAATCACACTCTACACTGCCTTTCCCACCTGGACAAAAGGAACACTTATGTGAGAATGCTGTTCATTGACTAAAGATCAGCGTTCAACACCATAATGCCCACAAAGCCCATCACTAAGCTAAGGACCCTGGGACTAAACACCTCCCTCTGCAACTGGATCCTGGACTTCCTGACGAGCCGTCCCCAGGTGGTAAGGGTACGCAACAACACATCTGCCACGCTGATCCTCAACACCGGGGCCCCTCAGGGATGCGTGCTTAGTCCCCTCCTGTACTCCCTGTTCACCCACAACTGCATGGCCAAGCACGACTCCAACACCATCATTAAGTTTGCTGACGACACAACAGTGTTAGGCCTGATTACCGACAGCGATGAGACAGCCTATAGGGAGAAGGTCAGAGACCTGGCAGTGTGGTGCCAGGACAACAACCTCTCCCTCAATGTGAGCAAGACGAAGGAGATGATCGTGGACTACGGGAAAAGGAGGGACAAACAGGCCTCCATTAACATCGACAGGGCTGTAGTGGAGCAGGTCGAGAGTTTCAAGTTCCTTGGTATCCACATCACCAACAAACTATCATGGTCCAAACACACCAAGACAGTCGTGAAGAGGGCAAGACAACACCTTTTCTCGCTCAGGAGACTGAAAAGATTTTGCATGGGTCCCCAGATCCTCAAAAAGTTATACAGCTGCACCATTGAGTGCATCCTGACTGGTAGCATCACCGCCTGATATGGCAACTGCTTGGCATCTGACCGTAAGGCACTACAGAGGGTAGTGCGTACGGCCCAATACATCACTGGGGCCAAGCTTCCTGCCATCCAGGACCTATATACTAGGCGGTGTCAGAGGAAGGCCCAAAATATTGTCAAAGACTACAGTCACCCAAGTCATAGACTGTTCTCTCTGCTACCGCACGGCAAGCGGTACTGGAGCGCCAAGTATAGGTCCAAAAGGCCCCTTAACAGCTTCTACCCCCAAGCTATAAGACTGCTGAACAATTAATCAAATGGCCACCCGGACTGTTTACATTGACCACCCCCCCCCTTTTTGTTTTTACACTGCTGCTACTCGCGGTGTATTATCTATGCATAGTCACTTTACCCCTACCTACAGTGAGGGAAAAAAGTATTTGATCCCCTGCTGATTTTGTACGTTTGCCCACTGACAAAGAAATGATCAGTCTATAATTTTAATGGTAGGTTTATTTGAACAGTGAGAGACAGAATAACAACAACAAAATCCAGACAAACGCATGTCAAAAATGTTATAAATTGATTTGCATTTTAATGCGGGAAATAAGTATTTGACCCCCTCTCAATCAGAAAGATTTCTGGCTCCCAGGTGTCTTTTATACAGGTAACGAGCTGAGATTAGGAGCACACTCTTAAAGGGAGTGCTCCTAATCTCAGCTTGTTACCTGTATAAAAGACACCTGTCCACAGAAGCAATCAATCAGATTCCAAACTTTCCACCATGGCCAAGACCAAAGAGCTCTCCAAGGATGTCAGGGACAAGATTGTAGACCTACACAAGGCTGGAATGGGCTACAAGACCATCGCCAAGCAGCTTGGTGAGAAGGTGACAACAGTTGGTGCGATTATTCGCAAATGGAAGAAACACAAAAGAACTGTCAATCTCCCTCGGCCTGGGGCTCCATGCAAGATCTCACCTCGTGGAGTTGCAATGATCATGAGAACGGTGAGGAATCAGCCCAGAACTACACGGGAGGATCTTGTCAATGATCTCAAGGCAGCTGGGACCATAGTCACCAAGAAAACAATTGGTAACACACTACGCCGTGAAGGACTGAAATCCTGCAGTGCCCGCAAGGTCCCCCTGATCAAGAAAGCACATATACAGGGCAGTCTGAAGTTTGCCAATGAACATCTGAATGATTCAGAGGAGAACTGGGTGAAAGTGTTGTCGTCTGATGAGACCAAAATCGAGCTCTTTGGCATCAACTCAACTCGCCGTGTTTGGAGGAGGAGGAATGCTGCCTATGACCCCAAGAACACCATCCCCACCGTCAAACATGGAGGTGGAAACATTATGCTTTGGGGTGTTTTTCTGCTAAGGGGACAGGACAACTTCACCGCATCAAAGGGACGATGGACGGGGTAATGTACCGTCAAATCTTGGGTGAGAACCTCCTTCCCTCAGCCAGGGCATTGAAAATGGGTCGTGGATGGGTATTCCAGCATGACAATGACCCAAAACACACGGCCAAGGCAACAAAGGAGTGGCTCAAGAAGAAGCACATTAAGGTCCTGGAGTGGCCTAGCCAGTCTCCAGACCTTATTCCCATAGAAAATCTGTGGAGGGAGCTGAAGGTTCGAGTTGCCAAACGTCAGCCTCGAAACCTTAATGACTTGGAGAAGATCTGCAAAGAGGAGTGGGACAAAATCCCTCCTGAGATGTGTGCAAACCTGGTGGCCAACTACAAGAAACGTCTGACCTCTATGATTGCCAACAAGGGTTTTGCCACCAAGTACTAAGTAATGTTTTGCAGAGGGGTCAAATACTTATTTCCATCATTAAAATGCAAATCAATTTATAACATTTCTGACATGCATTTTTCTGGATTTTTGTTTTGTTATTCTGTCTCTCACTGTTCAAATATACCTACCATTAAAATTATAGACTGATCATGTCTTTGTCAGTGGGCAAACGTACAAAATCAGCAGGGGATCAAATACTTTTTTCTCCTCACTGTAACTCTGGGTCTTCCTTTCCTGTGGCGGTCCTCATGAGAGACAGTTTCATCATAGCGCTTGATGGTGTTTTCAACTGCACTTGAAGAAACTTTCAAAGTTCTTGTAATTTTCTGGATTGACTGACCTTCATTTCTTAAAGTAATGATGGACTGTCGTTTCTCTTTGCTTATTTGAGCTGTTCTTGCCATAATATGGACTTGGTCTTTTACCAAATAGGGCTATCTTCTGTATACCAACCCTACCTTGTCACAACACATTTACATTTTAGTTATTTAGCGACTTACAGTTAGTGAGTGCATACATCATTTATTTATTTTTCATACTGGCCCCCCGTGGGAATCGAACCCACAACCCTGGCGTTGCAAACGCCATGCTCTACCAACTGAGCTACATCCCTGCCGGCCATTCCCTCCCCTACCCTGGACGACGCTGGGCCAATTGTGCGCTGCCCCATGGGTCTCCCGGTCGCGGCCGGCTACGACACAACTGATTTGCTGAAATGCATTAAGAGGGAAAGAAATTCCACAAATTAACTTTTAACAAGGCACACCTATTAATTGAAATGCATTCCAGGTGACTACCTCATGAAGCTGGTTGAGAGAATGCCAAGAGTGTGCAAGGCAAAGGGTGACTACTTTGAAGAATCTCAAATATAAAATATATTTTGATTTGTTTAACACTTTTTTGGTTACTACATGATTCCATGTGTTAGTTCCTAGTCTTCACTATTATTCTACAATGTATTCTACAACGTATAAACAATGTATAAACTTTTTACTAGTACTGTATAATGATAAGATAGACAGTATAATGATATATAATGATAAGATGGACAGTATAATGATAAGATACAGTATAATGATAAGTACAGTAGGCAGTATACACTATGCGACTGATGTACTCACTGTTTCTCCTCACTGATGATGAGCAGCACCTTGTTCTGACCTCTGATCTTAGCAGCCAGACTCTCACTGGCAACCCTGACACACACACAGAGAGATGTATCATACACTGGGCTGGCAATCAGAGTGTATGTGTGGGTGTTTCCTGTATCTGCTATATGTGTGTGTGTGTGTGTCCTACCCACCTCTGCTCTTTGACCCAGCGGTTGACGTTGGCCATGACCACCTTGCTCTCCTGGCGGAGGTGTGTGTTGTCAGAGTGCGCCCCCTCCACCTCCAACCGTAGTGTGTCCAGCTATAACACACACACACACACACACACACACACACACACACACACACACACAGCGATAAACTATCTTCCAACACCTAGGCAAAGTGTTTTCGGTTATATCTAAGGGCTTAAGTGCCTTGCTCAAACAGCAAGGGCACAACGGCAGTAGGCTCCACACATATTTTTCTGGTCAGTGCTGGGATTCAAAACCGTAACCAATCAGTTACGAGCATGCCTCCCTAACCTTGAGACTACATGCTGCCCTATAGAGGGAGAGAAGGAGAGGGGGAGAGAGGGGAAGGAGGAGTAGAGAGGGAGAGGGTGATGACGGACTAAGACGCTGACTCAGTCATGTCACCTATCAACCAGAGCCGTTCTGGCACATGACTTTCCCACTGTCACCATGGTAATGCCACAGAGATATTACCCGTACACATGACACCCCACAGACAACTCAAATGTGCTGGAGAATCAGTTAAGAAATCAACAGTTGGTTTGTTGATCAGATTTCCTAAACTTTTAAGGGTCTAATTAAAGATCTTGGTTGATTTTCAAACAGAAACATATCTTCACAGCACCAGTACAGACTTTATAGAGCTAAAGAGAGACCTTCAACTGAATAACAGGTTGAGTTCTCCCACAGCCTTTTACAGTGTCAGATTCAAATGACCTTGAGGTCAGCTCACCAAGTGTTTCATGTTATCAGAATACTTGTCAGAAACATATGTTAAATTCTCATGCATTGGCTCACTATGTTGTGAGTATATATAAGGAAGGGGATTGTGCCTATAGAATACATCACGTTTAAAAGATGTATCATTTCAGGTACTATTTAATTAAGCTGCCAGTTGAGGACAAGTGAGGCATCTGTTTCTCAAACTAGACACTAATGTATTTGTCCTCTTGCTCAGTTGTGCACCGGGGCCTCCCACTCCTCTTTCTATTCTGGTTAGAGCCAGTTTGTGCTGTTCTGTGAAGGGAGTAGTACACAGCGTTGTACGAGATCTTCAGTTTCTTGGCAATTTCTCGCATGGAATAGCCTTCATTTCTCAGAACAAGAATAGACTGACGAGTTTCAGAAGAAGGTTCTTTGTTTCTGGCCATTTTGAGCCTGTAATCAAACCCACAATTGTTGATGCTCCAGATACTCAACTAGTCTCAAGAAGACCAGTTTTATTGCTTCTTTAATCAGCACAACAGTTTTCAGCTGTGCTAACATAATTGCAAAAGGGTTGTCTAATGATCAATTAGCCTTTTAAAATGATAAGCTTGGATTAGCAAACACAACGTGCCATTGGAACACAGGACTGATGGTTGCTGATAATGGGCCTCTGTATGCCTATGTAGATATTCCATAAAAAAACAGCTGTTTCCAGCTACAATAGCCATGTACAACATTAGCAATGTCTACACTATTTCTGATCAATTTGATGTTATTTTAATGGACAAAAAAATTGCTTTTCTTTCGAAAACAAGGACATTTCTAAGTGACCCCAAACTTTTGAATGGTAGTGTACTTTATATTGTGATCTCTAAATTCTTTAGGATTTGTACATCTTTCATTTATTGTCAGACTACATGGGTTCTTCCAGATCCTACGTGGTTAGCTAAAGTCAACACTAAATAACAGAAGAAAATGAATCTGGGTGCAGTTATATCTGAAAATAACACAAAGTGCACACATGCCCAGCCTGACAGGCGACACATACTCTGTGACAAGTAGAATCAATGGAATAGATTAGAACCATAAGACAGTCTCTTACAAATCATACAGTACCTTCAGAGAGTATTCATACCCCTTGATTTTTTCCACACTTTGTTGTCTTACAGCCTGAATTTAAAATTGATTAAATTGAGAGATTGTGTTACTGGCCTACACACAATACCCCATAATGTCAAAGTGGATTTTTTTTATTTTATGTTTTTTATAACAAATGAAAAGCTGAAATGTCTTGAGTCAATAAGTTTTCAACCCCTTTGTTATGGCAAGCCTAAATGTAATGTCCTTAAAACAAGTCAAAATGAGGCTCAGTAGTGTGTGTGGCCTCCACGTGCCTGTATGACCTCCCTACCACGCCTGGGCATGCTCCTGATGAGGTGGCAGATGGTCTCCTGAGGGATCTCCTCCCAGACCTGGACTAAAGCATCCGCCAACTCTTGGACAGTCTGTGGTGCAACGTGGCGTTGGTGGATGGAGCGAGACATGATGTCCCAGATTTGCTCAATTGGATTCAGGTCTGGGGAACGTGCGGGCCAGTCCATAGCATCAATGCCTTCCTCTTGCAGGAACTGCTGACACACTCCAGCCACATGAGGTCTAGCATTGTCTTGCATTAGGAGGAACCCAGGGCCAACCACACCAGCATATGGTCTCACAAGGGGTCTGAGGATCTCATCTCGGGGGCTGTGCTTTGGCGGAGTGGGTGGGGTTATATCCTTCCTGTTTGGCCCTGTCCGGGGGTTTCTTCGGATGGGGCCACAGTGTCTCCGGACCGCTCCTGTCTCAGCCTCCAGTATTTATGCTGCAGTAGTTTATGTGTCGGGGGGCTGGGGTTAGTTGGTTATACCTGGAGTACTTCTCCTGTCTTATCCAGTGTCCTGTGTGAATTTAAGTATGCTCTCTCTAATTCTCTCGTTCTCTCTTTCTCTCTGAGAACCTGAGCCCTAGGACCATACGTCAGGACTACCGGGCATGATGACACCTTGCTGTCCCCAGTCCGCCTGGCCTTGCTGCTATTCCAGTTTCAACTGTTCTGCCTGCGGTTATGGAACCCCTACCTGTCCCAGACCTGCTGTTTTCAACTCTTAATGATCGGCTATGAAAAGCCAACTGAGATTTATTCCTGATTATTATTTGACCATGCTTGTCACTTTTGAACATTTTTGAACATCTTGGCATGGTTCTGTTATAATCTCCACCCGGCACAGCCAGAAGAGGACTGGCCACCCCTCATAGCCTGGTTCCTCTCTAGGTTTCTTCCTAGGTTTTGCCTTTCTAGGGAGTTTTTCCTAGCCACCGTGCTTCTACACCTGCATTACTAGCTGTTTGGGGTTTTAGGCTGGGTTTCTGTACAGCACTTCGAGATATTAGCTGATGTAAGAAGGGCTATATAAAATAAAATTGATTGATTGATTGATTGATCTCGGTACCTAATGGCAGTCAGGCTACCTCTGGCGAGCACATGGAGGGCTGTGCGGCCCCCCAAAGAAATGCCACCCCACACCATGACTGACCCACCGCCAAACCGGTCATGCTGGAGGATGTTGCAGGCAGCAGAACATTCTCCACGGCGTCTCCAGACTCTGTCACGTCTGTCACATGTGCTCAGTGTGAACCTGCTTTCATCTGTGAAGAGCACAGGGCGCCAGTGGCGAATTTGCCAATCTTGGTGTTCTCTGGCAAATGCCAAACGTCCTGCACGGTGTTGGGCTGTAAGCACAACCCCCACCTGTGGACGTCGGGCCCTCATACCACCCTCATGGAGTCTGTTTCTGACCGTTTGAGCAGACACATGCACATTTGTGGCCTGCTGGAGGTCATTTTGCAGGGCTCTGGCAGTGCTCCTCCTGCTCCTCCTTGCACAAAGGCGGAGGTAGCGGTCCTGCTGCTGGGTTGTTGCCCTCCTACGGCCTCCTCCACGTCTACTGATGTACTGGCCTGTCTCCTGGTAGTGCCTCCATGCTCTGGACACTACGCTGACAGACACAGCAAACCTTCTTGCCACAGCTCGCATTGATGTGCCATCCAGGATGAGCTGCACTACCCGAGTCACTTGTGTGGGTTGTAGACTCTGTCTCATGCTACCACTAGAGTGAAAGCACCGCCAGCATTCAAAAGTGACCAAAACATCAGCCAGGAAGCATAGGAACTGAGAAGTGGTCTGTAGTCACCACCTGCAGAACCACTTCTTTATTGGGGGTGTCTTGCTAATTGCCTATAATTTCCACCTATTGTCTATTCCATTTGCACAACAGAATGTGACATTTACTGTCAATCAGTGTTGCTTCCTAAGTGGACAGTTTGATTTCACAGAAGTGTGATTGACTTGGAGTTACATTGTGCTGTTTAAGTGTTCCCTTTATTCTTTTGAGCAGTGTATTTTCAAGCATTGTGGTGGCTGCATCATGTTGTGGGTATGCTTGTCATCGGCAAGGACTAGGGAGTTTTTTAGGATAAAAAGAAAAGGAATAGCGCTAAGCACAGGCAAAATCCTAGAAGAAAACCTGGTTCAGTATGCTTTCCAACAGACACTGGGAGACAAATTCACCTTTCAGCAGGACAATAACCTAAAACACAAGGCCAAATATACACTGGAGTTGCTTACCAAGACAACATTGAATGTTCCCGAGTGGCCTAGTTACAGTTTTGACTGAAATTGGCTTAAGAATCTATGGCAAGACTTAAAAATGACTGTCTTGCAATGATCAACAACCATTTTGACAGAGCTTGAAGAATTAAAAAAATAATTATGTGTATTGTACAATCCAGGTGTGCAAAGCTCTTAGAGACTTACCCAGAAAGACTCACAGCTGTAATCGCTGCCAAAGGTGATTCTAACATGTATTGACTCAGGGGTGTGAATACTTATGTAAATTAGATATTTCCTAATTACATTTTCAATACATTTGCTAGATTTTCTAAAAACATGTTTTCCGTTTGTCATTATGGGGTATTGGGTGTAGATAGATTAGAACATTTTATCTATTTAATCCATTTTGAATTCAGGCTGTAACAACAATGTGGAATAAGTGAAGGGGTATGTATACTTTCTGAAGGCACTGTAAGTTCTCCTCCCATTCTTACAGCTACACACTCCAATAATATTTTGGTAGTACAGAACAAATAAAAATGAATATCAATTAAACTAGTAAATCCCTGTGAGACTGAAACCTTAGACTCTTGTGTTTTCTTCCTGTGTTCACGGACAGACCAAAGGTGGCCTTCTATGCTGCTTTGACTGATTCAGGAGGGGTAGGACCCTTCAATACTGACACCACACTGATCTACAGTAAAGTCTTCACCAACACTGGCAGAGCCTACAACCCAACTACAGGTACTGACCACACTAATCCAGCTACGGTCCAGTATTACTAACAGTGTCTATGAGAGATGGACAGTGCTGATCTCTCCCTGCTTCTCCTCTGATACAGGTATCTTCACAGCAACAGTGAGAGGAGTCTACTACTTCAGGTTCACAGCCTTTGAGGCGCGCAGATTACAAACCTTTGGCGTTTACCTTTACCACAATGACAAGAGACTGATGTTTAATTTTGACACCAATGATCAGTATTGGGAGTACATATCTAATGCTTTGACTCTAGAGCTGGATGAGGGGGATGTTGTCTATATGCGTCTCCCCTAAAAACATGGGTTATATGATACCACCTTCAGTGGCTTCCTGCTCTTCACCATGCTGTAATGCCATAACGACCTCAACTTTCTGATTTGAACAGTTCTGGGGTTAAAGCCCCCAATGTTCCTCACTAACCAATAAATAAGCATTATAAAAGCCAGATGACACTCTCTTGTATCATTGACATTTACCCATCAGTGATGTAAAGTTATGACAATTCTAACTGCTGCATCCTGATGATTGTAATGTAATTATCATACAGTAAGTAGTGAATAATACATGTGTAATATATAATAAATTATTTATAAAAAAAATTGATTGGACTTAAATGGCGCTTTTTCTAGACACCCAAAGCACTTGACATAGTAAGGGGGAAGCTCACCTCATCCACCGCCAATGAAGGACAGTATTATTCAATATAGTAAATACAGTGGGGGAAAAAAGTATTTAGTCAGCCACCAATTGTGCAAGTTCTCCCACTTAAAAAGATGAGAGAGGCCTGTAATTTTCATCATAGGTACACGTCAACTATGACAGACAAACTGAGATTTTTTTTTCTCCAGAAAATCACATTGTAGGATTTTTTATGAATTTATTTGCAAATTATGGTGGAAAATAAGTATTTGGTCACCTACAAACAAGCAAGATTTCTGGCTCTCACAGACCTGTAACTTCTTCTTTAAGAGGCTCCTCTGTCCTCCACTCGTTACCTGTATTAATGGCACCTGTTTGAACTTGTTATAAGTATAAAAGACACCTGTCCACAACCTCAAACAGTCACACTCCAAACTCCACTATGGCCAAGACCAAAGAGCTGTCAAAGGACACCAGAAACAAAATTGTAGACCTACACCAGGCTGGGAAGACTGAATCTGCAATAGGTAAGCAGCTTGATTTGAAGAAATCAACTGTGGGAGCAATTATTAGGAAATGGAAGACATACAAGACCACTGATAATCTCCCTCGATCTGGGGCTCCACGCAAGATCTCACCCCGTGGGGTCAAAATGATCACAAGAACGGTGAGCAAAAATCCCAGAACCACACGGGGGGACCTAGTGAATGACCTGCAGAGAGTTGGGACCAAAGTAACAAAGCCTACCATCAGTAACACACTACGCCGCCAGGGACTCAAATCCTGCAGTGCCAGACGTGTCCCCCTGCTTAAGCCAGTACATGTCCAGGCCCGTCTGAAGTTTGCTAGAGTGCATTTGGATGAACCCGAAGAGGATTGGGAGAATGTCATATGGTCAGATGAAACCAAAATATAACTTTTTGGTAAAAACTCAACTCGTCGTGTTTGGAGGATAAAGAATGCTGAGTTGCATCCAAAGAACACCATACCTACTGTGAAGCAGCGGGGTGGAAACATCATGCTTTGTGGCTGTTTTTCTGCAAAGGGACCAGGACGACTGATCCGTGTAAAGGAAAGAATGAATGGGGCCATGTATCGTGAGATTTTGAGTGAAAACCTCCTTCCATCAGCAAGGGCATTGAAGATGAAACGGAGGAATGGGCCAAAATACCAGCAACAGTGTGTGAAAACCTTGTGAAGACTTACAGAAAACGTTTGACCTGTGTCATTGCCAACAAAGGTATATAACAAAGTATTGAGAAACTTTTGTTATTGACCAAATACTTATTTTCCACCATAATTTGCAAATAAATTCATTAAAAATCCTACAATGTGATTTTCTGGATTTTATTTCCTAATTTTGTCTGTCATAGTTGACGTGTACCTATGATGAAAATTACAGGCCTCTCTCATCTTTTTAAGTGGGAGAACTTGCATAATTGGTGGCTGACTAAATACTTTTTTCCCCCACTGTATGTTAAATTAAATGTATGGTGAATGTTGTCCCAGTTCTCTCACCTCCTGCACCTTGCTGCTGTATTTCTCTTGTAGTGTCTCTGACTCTGTCCTCAGTACGACCAGACGCTCCTCCTGATTGGCTAGCCGCTGGACGTTCTCTTGGCCCTGCCTCTGTGACCTAAGCAGCTGAGTGGTCAACGAGCTGTACTTCTCCTCCAAAGTCCTCACCTGATTGGTCAATGAGTTGTTCTCCTCCTCCAATGTCTTCACCTGTGGAAGGAGGGCGAGATAAGCAATGTCAGGGTGATGTTCATGTAGGCACACATTAACAAAACGTTTGTTGTTGGACAATCTTTTTATGTTTTTTTTTATTTGTTTTTTTATCAATTTTGTCTGATAATATATAATTCACAAGTGATAGGCTAATATTGTCACCCATCAGACTATTCTTGATTTAATCTTGTCTTTACATTTACTAAATAATATGTGTGACATTGTTTTGATTTAGAATGGACCATTATCATGCACCTGTATCGAAACAGGGGCAGTGGGGAAAAATACATGTAATCTATGCACTTAAATAGCAAATGGAGGACGCATTTCCCAGTGGTTTATTTTCATGTCAGCCAGGTAGGCTATACTCCTGTTGTAAATATAAGCAATGTGCTTAATATTAGGAAAGTTGAGACATAAATATAGTAGGCCTAGCCTATAGAAAGCTGATGGGATCCTCCTCTTTTTATTAGCTGCCATCACTCTGTTTTCTCCCACAATTGCATAGCCTATAGAAATGTTGCGCAACATGAGCTCATGGGCCCTCATGAAGTGTTTGATTAGATTTTCAAAACTATTTGCATTGATGTCAGAGTGATTAGAGGGACAATAGAGTGCTAATTACCAGGCAGTTAGCAAGTTTGGTAGGCTACTAATGACCAGCAGCAGCATCAGAGCTTGGAGAAGCCTAGTTACTGTGACTAAACGGTAATGTTGAATTTGACTGCATTCATGACTCGTGAACGGTCACCGCAACAGCCCTACTCCGCACTAATAATGGGATTTGTCTTCCACAGAGTGGAAGGCGGGCTGTCAAGCACCCTCCTATTCCTCTCTTTGGATTGGTGGATACATCTTGTTATTTGAATACTTTTTTGAATAGTCGATGAGGGGTGTTGATGTTATGGTAATATTTTACGTATCATTAAGGAAAATGTTGGGAAATGTCAAAGATAAAATATAGTAAACATGATTGACATTTTATAAGTCCAGATGCATGTCTAAATAAGGAATATAGTCAATACAATGTGTAAACATGCTTTGATGAATGTATGTATTTTATTTTTAAAAAGTGTCTGAGCCATGCCACCAATATACTGAGATAAGGGAAAGAGGCAAAAGCGCCCATGGCCTTTTGGAGTAAACAACATGTGTTATTGGACTTTCAAAGATAATAGTGGCGTGGCAGTTAAAGATGTTAATCAGTGATCTTAACGGGAGTAGCTTTGTAAGCTATGTATACATGACTGTGCATTTGTGTGTGTATATAAGATATCTCTAAGCCAAAGAGAGACAGCCGTTCCATGGAGTGGCTCGGCTTTGTTACGCAATAATAAAGTCTAATTTCTGGATTCACAAGCTCCAGTCTCTTGAGAGATATTTTTTAGTTGACTATTTTTTTGTCAAATATTTCTACGACATATTTGGCGAGCTAGCCAGGAGTTGAAAAAAAGGGTCCAGAGACGGTGTACATCTGCAGTTATGAAACGGCTTGGACGGACCATACAAACAAAAGCGGACGCTTTTAAAAGGTAAGCCAAGTTCTTACTTATATAGTATAAACGTTTGTGTGGTTTGATCTGGGGCACGGCATCAGCTGCAGAAATACCAAGTAGGTCTCTCCAAATTTAAGAACCAGAAAATTAGAGACTGGGAGCTTTTGAATTTAAGAATACATGTCGATATCACTCTGTTGTTCGTCTGAACCGTCTGTCCAATTGATTTGATTCATTTGATTCATCCAGCTGATCGCTTTGTCTGGGTCATTTCGGCACGGGCGGTTGTCCATCTGGTTGAGCGATCAGACAATAACATGTTAAGTCCTACGAATACCGCTATAAACGTGTCGAGGAAGTGTATCGTTTATAGGCTGCTTAGGTAGGCGAAATCCTGTGCAATACTGCTTATTTTCTGTGTCGAGGAAGTGAATCAGAGAAGAAGGGAAGAATTTACAGGTCGCTTAGGAAAGCGTAGTAAAAGTCCAGGTGTGTAGAGGAAGTGGATCACCTAGGGGGCTAAATAAATAGTAATCCTGTGGATAAAATTAGCGCTCCAGAGGGCTGAACGGGCAGGTGGCTAGCTAAATTTGGGACCTACGGTTACCGCTCTAATGAGGAATTCATTGTTAGAGGTCTGCTCGGGTAGGTGGGGCATTATCCTGTGTTGTGGTGATGCCAAAGTTAGGCAGGGTCGATCAGGTAAAAAAGTTAGGTCATCCTGAGTAGGTGAACGGGTTAAACAGTCACTAAGGCTTCAAGATATAGAGGTGTGTATGATAATTATATATACGTTGGAATAATAAGCTTTTCATGTAAATTATATCTTGGAGTTTCGTACAACAATGCCTGTCATAGAATTTTGTAAGATCAGTGAATAGTGACCAGCCTATACGATTCTGGGAGGATTCTATGACTGAGGGGAAGGATTTGGGTAATTTGTTGTTCGTTCCGCTGAGACTAGATTGTGATTAACTGATTTGTGGCAATAAAGAATCATTAGAAACATGAATGGTTTGGTAGATATGAATATATTGGAATAGAATGAATTTTATGTGAGTGTAATTTAATACAAGGGATTGGATAAAATTATAGGTGTTGACTTGTCCAAACACGTAGACGTACGTGGAAATGGGAGAGAGTACATAGGGCATGTGGTAGAATTAAGCATTATAATAAACTATCTATTATTTCAGAAGCAGAGGTGATATAGTCAAGGAATTGTCGTATATTAGGGGAAAATATAATTCATTTGGTTAGGTCGTTAGATCTGGTTCCGAATCAATGAATGTGGGGTTTGACTCGTTGACTGTTAAGTTGTTTACGTTGAGCGTGTGAGGTCTGTGTCCTTCAAAGCTATTTTCTGATAAAGTGTGGTATGTGCCAGATACTAAAACTACTGACCATTATCATTGGAATAAAGGAGGATTAACTTGTCATTTCAATAAAGCATAGATTCTGCATCGCTGATTAGAGTCTAGGTTTTCTAAGTATAGTTCAGCTATGGTTGTGGGTTGTTTAGATTGAAGGAACATTCAGGATAAGACTGGACGATTTAGCAGCCTGCGTCTTTTCAGACTGAAGGACTCACTTATTCAACGGGAAAGAAGGAGGAGTGACTATAGTCAGAAAGGACAGTTAAATACATTTGAATAGCGGACTGGCAATTGCGATAGAGTTATGGCCATAATTTGAATTGTTTAGGTAGACTGGAATGAAAGTAAGGTCTTTTAATAATTTGAATATAAATATATTATTAGTTATTGTTGGGATGTGAATAGACTTTACTAATGCCATGAACTGGTTTCCGGGTAAAAGAGAGTCGTACTTGCTTGACTGTATCGAGCTGAAAGAGATATTTGAAGCAAGTTTGAATAGCTGGATGTAAAAAAATTATTTGACAAATTCTAATTGTTATTACTTTATTCTATAGTTTGCGTGACACCAGTAATGTATGCGAATAGTTGGTGAATTCTAGAATGATAATGTATTTTCGTTACGTGAACCAGGGGATGCAAGGAGCTTTGGCTATTATGCTGAGGGAATAGCACCAATTTATAGTGGGTTCTAGATTTGTTGAATAAACAAACGTATATTTTAAACTAAAGTAATGCAATAGGCTACAATTATAACATTATCAGAAAGGGGCACTATACGCCAGGGTTGCGTGTTCGATTCCCAAGGGGGGCTAGTATAAAAATGTATGAGCTCACTAATTGTGGGTCGCTTGGGATAAGAGCATCAGCTAAATGACTAACATATAAAAATATTAATGGGTATGGAGAGAAGAGTGCGTGGTAGTAATTTTTTAGTCATTGAATAAGGTTTTGCTAGATTAATCGAGTAACAATGGTGGAATATGTCTATAAATAAATTGGATCGTGATAAATGGATGATCTCAATATATGATGGTAAACTACAGCAAGTGTTTGGTGTTACTTGTAGCTTACTTAGAAAGGATAGTTCATTCATTCTGATAATGGCGGAGTGATGGTTTAATTGCGCGGCTATGATTTTAGTTGATTACAAGAGAAATAGGATATAGTTTACGACGCATGGAGAAGTGAATGTCTTATATGGTAATAGATAAACTGAACCAAACATGACGTTACTACGGCAATTTAGGATGGTTAATGTTGTTAAATTCGTTTTTAAACCCTATGATAGAGGTAAATGCAGAACGCTGTTTGAAAGTGTGGTTTATTAGTAGGTCTGCTAGTAAAAATGGAAGAATTTCAATTTTTGTCTGCGGGTGTTAACCATTGGGGCTTGCTGAAACATGAGAGCGCTATAAGGGACATTATGGGTTACGTTAGGTGTACAAGGATCACGTTTTTGTAGGAAGTCGTAGGAGGTTGAATATTATCGGCAGGAAATTGCTAGCTAGTTAGCGGTGAGAGCTAGTGCGGTTTTCGTTGGGTGACGTCACTTGCTCTATGAACTGGAAGTAGTTGCTTTGCAGGGGCCGTGGCTTTTGTGGAGCGACGGGTAACGGTGCTTCGATGGTGAATGTTGTCGATGTGTGCAGAGGGTCCCTGGTTCTAATCCAGTAAGGGACAGAAAGCAAATCTTTTACATTGATGCTATTGACGTGAATTACTGGTTTCATTGATAACATTATAGGAAAGATGTTGTCCTACCAATCCATGTCGGATAGGATAACATAGTAATTAAAATTGCATATCGGTGAATTGGATGTTTTATTGGTTTTTACTATAAATGTAAAATAATTTGTCATCTGTTGAGGTACCGTTATGAGGAAAATTAGCGGTAGAGTATGATATATATTGTAGAGGGTTTAAAATAAAATAAAATAAGTAAGTTAATTGGGTGATGAGACAGGTTGACTTGATGTTGAATGGGATTGTTTAATAGAAGTAATTATTTATATTTAGGAGAATGAGAATATGTTATTAGGTAGTATTGCTTTGTGGAGACGATTTACTAATGAAGAACATGTCTCGATAGTTGAATAAGGAACGATATTTGATAATTGATCATTTTATTATGACATTATATAGTTTGGTTAAACAGCGGTGAGTTATGAAGATGGTTCATTGCTTCAGATAACGATAATTTGTTTATAGTACGTTGAACGATGGGAGTAGTTCTGAGGAGTGAGATTGATACGAATGATTGTTGATGAGATAGGACTGGGGATATATGTATGATGTTTTGTGTGTAATTACTATCTTTGGATTGTTGATTCCATGTTAACGACATGTATACTTTCTCTTCCAGGAACATGGGGATTTCTTTATATCTCATTGGGATGTTAAAAAAGTCTGTAGGCTAGGGTGGAACTAGTTAGTAAAATTAAGTAGTTTTATTTTTAGGTTGTCATAGGGAGCTACCAAAATAAATAAGGCCTGGCCATTTTTTGTTTGTTTATTGTTTTACTATATATTTTACATTTTAATTTTAGTCATTTAGCAGACGCTCTTATCCAGAGCGACTTACATGAGCAATTAGGGTTAAGTGCCTTGCTCAAGGGCACATCGACAGATTCTTCACCTAGTCGGCTCTGGGGATTAGAACCAGCGACCTTTCGGTTACTGGCACAACGCTCTTAACCACTAAGCTACCTGCCGCCCCGATATATGGTGTTCGAATAACCACAAACAAACTACTTAGTATGAAATGTTATTCTGTATATGATTTTTATTTCTATTTTGGGTTTTGTGACGGGATGGAAGTGAAATATCTTAAAGGGGCATACACATGTAATTTGGGTTTTATTTACTGAGGGATAAGTAAATATGTGTGATTTATTTTGAAAAGAGCTGTACTAAGGACTTACTGTACACTCGGGATACAACATTTATGAAATGTCTTGATGGTTATTAATGAGTAGTATACTATTGGATGAAACAATTCATTGAATGATTTCAATGACCTCTGAAATCTGTCCTGGCTTTATAGTGTGACCTGATCACCCGCACTATAAATTCTAGAGGCATGCTGAATTAGGGGGTTAGATATAATAAGGATAATTGTGAAGAAGTTTATAATTTGGAAAAAATCCTATATATAAATTAGTCCAAACAGGACAAGGATGAAGTGAGAGGGTTAGTCCTGAAGGAGAGGTATTCCTTGAATAGTTGTCATGTGGTGAGGTGTATGTGGTGTGGAAGTCAGGCGCAGGACACCGAGGCTCAGTCCAACAGAGTTTACTCAAAAATCCAACAAGGAAACGGTAAACAAACTACCTCGAAACAATCAGAGGCGAGCATTTACGCACAATGCGTAAAACACTAAAACAGCAAACAAGAAACAAAACACGCAGCACAACGACAGGCGAACAACAACACACAATCTAACTAACACAAAACAGGGAACTTATAGGACACGTAATTAGGACACAAACAGACACAGGTGTTCCATGAAAGCCCCCCAGACTCTGGAGGTGAACTGGGGACCTCGGTCGGACACAATATCCTCGGGGACCCCATAGTGCCGGAACACGTGGGTAAAGAGGGCCTCGGCGGTCTGTAGGGCAGTAGGGAGACCCGGCAGTGGGAGGAGACGACAGGCCTTAGAAAACCGATCCACAACGACCAAAATGGTGGTATTACCCTGGGAAGGAGGTAGATCGGTCACAAAATCTACCGAGAGGTGGGACCATGGTCGTTGTGGAACGGGCAGAGGATGTAACTTACCTCTGGGCAAATGTCTAGGTGCCTTACACTGGGCACATACCGAGCAGGAGGAGACATAAACCCTCACATCCCTGGCTAACGTTGGCCACCAGTATTTCACGCTAAGGCAGTGCACCGTCCGACCAATACCAGGATGTCCAGAGGAGGGTGATGTATGAGCCCAAGAAATAAGCCGATCACGAACCTCGAGCGGAACGTACGTCCGCCCCACAGGACACTCGGGGGGAGTAGGGTCGGTACGCAGCGCCCGCTCGATTTCCGCATCGACCTCCCACACTACCGGAGCCACCAGACAAGACTCCGGCAGTATGGAAGTAGGCTCAATGGACCTCTCCTCTGTGTCATACTGCCGGGACAGGGCGTCTGCCTTACCGTTCTGGGACCCAGGGATGTATGTGATCTTAAAAACAAACCGGGTCAGGAACATGTTCCACCTAGCCTGACGAGGGTTCAATCTCCTAGCTGCCCGGATGTACTCCAGGTTACGGTGATCAGTCAGAATGAGGAAAGGGTGTTGAGCCCCCTCAAGCCAATGCCTCCACACCTTTAGGGCCTGGACTACAGCTAACAGCTCCCTGTCCCCAACGTCATAATTGCGCTCCGCCGAGCTGAGCTTCTTGGAGTAGAACGCACAGGGGCGGAGCTTAGGTGGCGTGCCGGACCGTTGTGACAGGACTGCCCCAATACCGGTCTCGGACGCGTCCACCTCTACTTGGAAAGGCAAAGAGGGATCCGGATGCGCCAGCACCGGGGCCGAGGCGAACAGGTTCTTCAGCTTGACAAATGCCCTGTCCGCCTCAGCTGACCACTGCAAGCGCACCGGACCCCCCTTTAGCAGGGACGTAATGGGAGCTGCAACCTGTCCAAAGCCCCGGATAAACCTCCGGTAGTAATTAGCAAAACCCAAGAACCGCTGCACCTCTTTTACGGTGGTTGGAGTTTGCCAATTACGCACAGCCGATACCCGATCTACCTCTATCTCCACGCCAGACGCGGACAACCGATAACCCAAAAAGGAGACGGACTCCTGGAAGAACAGGCATTTCTCTGCCTTGACATACAAGTCATGCTCCAACAGTCGTCTCAATACTCGGCGCACCTGGGCTACATGCTCGGCTCGTGTAGAAGAGTACACTAGAATGTCGTCAATGTACACCACTACACCCTGCCCATGCATGTCCCGGAAAATCTCATCAACAAAGGATTGGAAGACTGAAGGAGCATTCATTAACCCGTACGGCATGACGAGATACTCGTAATGACCCGAGGTGGTGCTAAATGCTGTTTTCCATTCATCCCCCTCCCTAATGCGCACCAAATTGTACGCGCTCCTGAGATCCAACTTTGTGAAGAACCGCGCTCCGCGTAATGACTCCGTCATCGTCGCAATCAGTGGAAGTGGGTAACTGTATTTTACTGTGATCTGATTGAGACTACGGTAATCAATACACGGGCGCAATCCCCCGTCCTTCTTCTTCACAAAGAAGAAACTCGAGGAGACCGGAGAAGTAGAGGGCCGTATGTATCCCTGTGCCAAGGACTCGGCTATGTAAGTCTCCATAGCCGCAGTCTCCTCTTGAGACAGGGGATACACACGACTCCTGGGAAGAGCTGCTTCAGTCTGGATATTTATCGCACAGTCCCCCTGTCTATGAGGAGGTAGCCGTGCTGCCCTCGATTTACTAAACACTAGTGCTAAATCCTCATACTCGGGGGGAATGCGCAGTGCGGGCACTTGGTTCGGACTCTCTACCGAGGTCGCCCCTATGGAAACACCTAGACATCTCCCTACACACTGGGCAGACCACTCCATAAGAGCCCTCTGTTGCCACGCTATGGTAGGATCGTGGGTGCTTAACCAGGGAAGCCCCAACACCACTGGGTACGCAGGAGAGTCAATCAGATAGAACTGAATGATTTCCTCATGACCCCCCTGCGTAGTCATCGTCAGCGGTGCTGTGACATCCCTGATCAGACCCGACCCCAACGGCCGGCTGTCTAATGCATGGACAGGGAATGGAACTTCTACCGGCCGAAGGGGAATTCCTAACCTAGCACAAAATGCCCGATCAATAAAGTTCCCAGCTGCGCCTGAATCTACTAGCGCCTTATGCTGGGAATGAGGTGCCACCTGTGGAAAACGCACAGGAATGCTCATGTGGCCAACAGAGAGCTCTGGGTAAGTGGGGCGCCTACTCACCTGAAATGACTCCCCAGTGCGTGACCTGTTGTCCCCTCTCTCAGAAGACCCTCCCCAGCACCTGGCCGCGGTGTGTCCTCCACGGCCACAGTTGGTGCAGGGGGTGGCCCTCCTCGGGTACTCCCTCCTCCTCTCTCTAGCGCCAGCACCCCCGAGCTCCATAGGAATAGGCTCGGAGGTGCTGGAGGATGGAATGGACGGCCCCCACTCGGGACGTCCGCGGGTAGCCAGCAGGGTGTCTAGACTGATGGAGATGTCCACCAGCTGGTCGAACGACAGGTTGGTATCCCTGCAGGCCATCTCACGACGAACGTCCTCTCGTAGGCTACACCGATAGTGGTCAATGAGGGCCCTCTCATTCCATCCCGCATCCGCTGCTAATGTCCGGAACTCCAGTGCGAACTCCTGTGCGCTCCTCTTCCCCTGTCGGAGGTGGAATAGACGCTCTCCCCCGCCGCTTTCCCCTCAGGTGGATGATCGAAGACAGTCCTGAAGCGGCGGGAAAACTCTGCGTAGGTGATGGTGGTGGCGTCTATTCCCCTCCATTCGGCGTTGGCCCACTCCAACGCCTTTCCGGAGAGGCAGGAGATGAGGGCGGAGACGCTCTCGTATCCCGAGGGCGCCGGGTGTATAGTGGCAAGGTAAAGTTCTACCTGTAGGAGAAAGCCCTGACACCCGGCTGCAGAACCGTCATATGCCCTCGGGAGCGAGAGCCGAATGCCACTGGGTTCCGGTGCTGAGAGAGGAGGACTGGCCGTTGGTGCTGGGATGGTGTGAGAAGGCGTGGGCACCTCCCGATTCATCAAACGGCGCAGTCTGTTGGACACCTCGTCCATAGCGGCCCCGAGTTGCCGGATCATGACGTCCTGGGAATTAATCCGGTATTCCAGGGAATCGGGTGCCGCCGCTGTTCCTGCTGACTCCATTTTAGGTGTGTTGTTCTGTCATGTGGTGAGGTGTATGTGGTGTGGAAGTCAGGCGCAGGACACCGAGGCTCAGTCCAACAGAGTTTACTCAAAAATCCAACAAGGAAACGGTAAACAAACTACCTCGAAACAATCAGAGGCGAGCATTTACGCACAATGCGTAAAACACTAAAACAGCAAACAAGAAACAAAACACGCAGCACAACGACAGGCGAACAACAACACACAATCTAACTAACACAAAACAGGGAACTTATAGGACACGTAATTAGGACACAAACAGACACAGGTGTACCAGACAGACTAAAGCAATCAATACACGAAACATACAACGGTGGCAGCTAGTATTCCGGGGACGACGAACGCCGAAGCCTGCCCGAACCAGGAGGAGGAGCAGCCTCGGCCGAAACCGTGACAATAGTGTTATGGGATACAGTTAAGTAAAGATATGTTCAAGGGTTGTCATTTTAAGGTTAGTTATTATTTTAGGTTTGATAGGCAATATTGTTGTTGTTTTGTTTTTTTGTCCAAGGGGGGAAGTTGGGATTACAGAGGTTTTAATGTTTTATTATGGTTTTGTGGGGAAATATGCAAGGTGTATTAAGGATATGAGCAGTAGTAATAATGTGTTATGGGTTAGGTTAAATCTTTTTTGTTTTTGTGATAGGAGGCATGGTGTAGAGGTGGTCTGTCTATGAGATAAGTGGACTACAACAAGCTGGAAGCAGGTGTGCTTCATAATCTCAAGGCTTCTCTTGATGGATGAGAGGACATGAGTAGCATACTGTGTCTCACTTAACCTAACAATGCTCTTAAGATTTTCTTTTCATGGGTGAAGATAACTCTGCCCAACTAAGTAGGAGTCTGAGCATTCTCTGCGCCCTGGAGACTATGTGATGGCAAAAGACTACAGAAGAAAGAGCTAAAAAGACCCTATGTGGAGAGGCCTGTACCAGGTGTTGTTGGCTATCTTAATGATGGTAAAATTGGTGGAGACAGATACTTAGATCCATGTTTCCCACTATAGGAGTGTTCCAACCTCAGCCATTGGGTAGCATTGTTGTCTTTTGTGTGTGTCTGTGCTTGTGTCTTTGCAGCAGTAACTCTGAGCTTCCCTATGGGTAGGCTGATTGAAGGACACTTCGCAGACCGATGTCGATAGATTGAGAGGGACTCTGGCTGATCCGGAGACCCTAGTGATGGAAGAAGGTTAACAGCTAAAGTGATCATACATCGTCGTCCAGGTTACACCAACAGCGGTACAGATAGAGGGGAGCGCGATCGGGTATCATCTAAACCATTGAACCAGAGTGAGGAAACTGATGACTAAGAGACCACCGAGACTTTCAAGACCTCCAAGACGCACTAGAAATCCTCATCATTGATTTCTCTGTACTTGACTAGTTCCCTGAGAATAAGGGGAATGGGGTACTGATAATAGTAGAGAGCAGAAGAACAAGACATAGAAGGGATATAGACAGGATTAGAAAGTATATTCTTGCACAGGCAGGAACCATAACTAAAATGCAGGAAGGGATCACTATTAAAATACAAGGGTTAAAATATTATTGGTGTGTGAGGAACCAGCACAAAGAGTATGGGGAAGTCACATGGGGTAGTGTGACTTTAAGATAATGAAAGAAAGAGACAGGTGAATCATAGACATAAGGAGAACAGTCCAAGACTTAGATAAACAATTTGATGTAGTATTTAGTGTTAGATTTCCAGGGGGAAGTGTTATTGGAGTAGTTATTCCTTGGGAGAGTGCACTGAACCCTGTACATGTTAGAGCCATACCAAATACAGAAGAAAGGGAATTGAAGGAGCCGTTAAACAATGATTGGTATAGATGAGTACAATATATTGCATTAAAAGTAAATAAAATAAAATAGTATAATATGCACCACATCTCCGTTTTAAACAGTTAACAGTAGTTCAACGTCTTCACAGTTACTAGGACTGTGTGCTAGGATTCAATCATAACTTTTGTAATATTTAGGAAATTCTAACTATAAACAATTTTATAATCAACCAGGATGGGGAGAGAAGTGTAAGCAATTAGATGTTAGAATAGGAACAAGGAAAGGGAAACACCAGAGTAATGTCAAATAGATTATGAGCAAAAATATAGGAATGTTAAAGTAAAACAATTGGGTTATATCGTTTGGGAGAATTCAAGGGAGAATGTGAAAATAGGGGGTGTTTAAACAGATAGCCTTTGGAATACAGGGACCCCTCAAAGAAAAATCTATCAGGCATTAGATAGAAATGGGTATTAAGAATGAGTGATGAAACATAAGACATGTAGACAATGTTAATAGGGATGTTTTGGATTGGAAATGAACTCAACTAAACTGTTATGATCTGTCCAATCCTGAGGTTACTACGGATGGCGTCGTAATGCATAGCAGAAATACGTGGTCCTCTGTAGCTCAGCTGGTAGAGCACGGCGCTTGTAACGCCAAGGTAGTGGGTTTGATCCCCTGGACCACCCATACACAAAAAAATAAAAAAAATAATAATATGTATGCACACATGACTGTAAGTCGCTTTGGATAAAAGCGTCTGCTAAATGGCATATTATTATTATATTATAAATAATTCGGTCCAGAACGGTGTAAACCCCAAAACCCTCTACCCGGCTGAAGAGGAACAACAAAGGCGTTGAAGACGTTCCTGTCCGACACCACCTCTGCCAGGAGACCTGAATCCAGCATCAAATCAAAGCAATCAATTGCCTTCTCTTTTGTGCCTTTTCTCTCAAGAATGTGACAGGAGTCCATGTGGAGTGAGCAGGAGGAGAGAGGTCTATGCAAATGCAACGTTCTTCCTAGTTTGGGTATACTGGTTTGCAAATGAACAAAACAGAATGATGGTGGAGGTGGGGCGGTTCAGGTGTGACATTGGAATTGGGACATTGCCATGGGTAATCCAAGATTAACTATGAAGCTATCTAAAGAACATAATGAAGACGCCAGAAGATTGAGTGCCGGTAGAGGAAGGGACTGTTAGTTGAGGTAGTATGTTGATTAAGGAGGTATTATACACTACTAAATGTATAGTAATTTGGACAATGCATTAAGATACTGATCTGTTGTAATTCTCGTTATGAGGAAGTTAATGCTAGAATTATTATAATATAAATATACATTCTGCCAGTGTCAATATGTGCCAAGGTGAGAGTTTTAACTTTGAATGATGGAACAAAGGTGACTAACTAAGAATTGTCATTCCAAAGTTGTTTTTGGTAATTAATTTGATTATGATTATAAATTATAAGTGGACTGATTGATCTGAATAACTTATTAATATTAATGCTTAGTGATGTTGACATTGCAACTAATGGATTAGATATTGATATTGATTATTTTGATTGTTATAATACTTGTGATATGGGTGAAAAAGGTTATGTAAGCTAAATATATTGACACCATTCTTAACATGTCCTAGATATTATTGTTAAGACAAAGTTGCATATGTTGATGTGATAGGATACTAACACATATATGGGAAATGCTATAACTAAACAAAAGTGGGGAGCAATGTTTATAAAGAAATACACCCAGTTCAGGGAGCGCCAGGACAGTAGGTAAATGAATATGGGACATTTTGGGAATCCTGAATGTTTGTATGAAGTTGTTCCTGGGGGTGGATGGGCCTGCCATGGTTACACAGCCTAATAGAAACACTTGGAGGTTAACTTAGAGGAAAACCTTCCAAACTTGTATCCAATACCTGACTGGGCTCTGGGTCCTCATCAGGATGGGTCAAACAATGAGGAATATATATTGGTTTAAATATATGCATATGAAAAGTAACCACATATGGCAAGGATAAGAATAAGTAAATGCGCATGCTTACATTCATTTAAAAAGTAATCTTTGTATTATTTGGGACATTGTTGGAATGTCCCAAAGGGGGGATTATATGGTAATATTTTATGTATCATTAAGGAAAATGTTGGGAAATGTCAAAGATAAAATATAGTAAACATGATTGACATTTTATAAGTCCAGATGCATGTCTAAATAAGGAATATAGTCAATACAATGTGTAAACATGCTTTGATGAATGTATGTATTTTATTTTTAAAAAGTGTCTGAGCCATGCCACCAATATAATGAGATAAGGGAAAGAGGCAAAAGCGCCCATGGCCTTTTGGAGTAAACAACATGTGTTATTGGACTTTCAAAGATAATAGTGGCGTGGCAGTTAAAGATGTTAATCAGTGATCTTAACGGGAGTAGCTTTGTAAGCTATGTATACATGACTGTGCATTTGTGTGTGTATATAAGAGATCTCTTAGCCAAAGAGAGACAGCCGTTCCATGGAGTGGCTCAGCTTTGTTACGCAATAATAAAGTCTAATTTCTGGATTCACAAGCTCCAGTCTCTTGAGAGATATTTTTGAGTTGACTCTTTTTTAGTCAAATATTTCTACGACAATGTCAACCATCTGTATTCAATGGAGAGTGTTAGCCTCATGAATATGCATAGACAGTCTCGAATTTCAACAGGGACAACTCCGATATAAAGTGTTTTTTCTCAAAGTTGCCTGGATGTCACATGCATCACACTTATATCAGTACACTGGTAATAACTTAATCATTACCAAACTTCTATTAGATCAAATAAGCCTCACAAATCAAAATAGCATTTCATGTTTATCTTGACTAAATTCAACACGCTTTCATTGCCCCACATACAAAAACTGATTTTGGGCAGAGGTCAGGCTCTCGCTTCGCCCCCCATCTCTCTGGCAGAGCCTGTTTCGGGGTCCTGTGTTTCTAATATATAGCAGAAAGACCACCAGGCATCACAGCAGACCCCTCTCTCTGAGTGCTTGATACAGGAGTGGGTCGCAGTTCCGGAGCGACACACTAGGTGTCATCCTTCGACAACCATAGGCACCTCCTCACTCACAGTCGGGACTAATTATCTGCCTATTGGTTTCACCTATGGCTATCTGATTCACTTGTGTATTTATGCCCTCCCTTCCCTGTGTTCCCTTGCTCAGTTTTCTCTGCTAGTTCCTTGATGTCAAGCAGTACGTATCAGTGTCGGATCACGTGACGGAGTTACAGGTACTCGAGAAATGTTCTCCCTGTGTCATTGTGTTTTTCCAGTCAGAGTTAGCATTTCGTATTGTTTGTTGTCAGCCTGTTTTTTGGAGACCTATGTGCTCCTCATTTGTTTTCGTGTGTAGTCTGTTGTTTTGTATCCTGTTTTTTTTTTTGTGACCACCAGTAAAGATCCTTGTTTCACCATCCTTGCCTACTGTCTATCCTACACTGCACCTGGGTCACACCTCACACCAACCCTTACAAGCGCTGAAGGACCCCTCATATCCATAGCCACACATTAATTCACCATCAATTATACAGCACGTCCATCTGCATCACAGTCAGAGACCCAGCCACCCCCCGCCCCACACACACACCACACACACACACAGTCTCTGGAGTGTTCTAATGACAGTAATTACCTACCAGTCATAAAGAGACCGGTTTCACATTAACATCTCTCTCCAGGCTGGCTGGCTGATTTGTGTGTGTGTGTGTGTGCGCGCGCGGTCTCGGTCTGACTGGCTGGATGGCTGTGAAGGGCCGGTGTTATGATTAGGACTAAATTACACACAGATCCTTTGTTTCCACCGGTGTCAGGGGAGGATAATGAAGAATGAGAGAGAGAGAGAAAGAGAGAGAGAGAGAGAGAGAGAGAGAAAGAGAAAGAGAAAGAGAGAGAAAGCGGGGAGGAAGGTTGAGAGAGAAGGGACAGAGAGACAGGGGGGGCGAGAGGAATGGTGAGAGAGAGGGGGAGAGAAAGAAAGAGAGAGGGGGGAGAGAGAGGGGGACAAATAGGGAGAGTGAGGATAGAGAGGGGGGAGAGGAAGGGGGAGAGAGGGGGGAAAGAGAGGGTTAGAGAGAGGGGGAGAGGGGAGAGAGAGAAGGAGAAAGAGGAGAGGTCGAGAGAGAGGGGGTGAACGCACACGAGATGGGAACCTGTTTAACATTTAGATTGTATTTTTTTCGACTAATTTTTGTAGGAGGGTGTTGGCAGTGATGTTGGTGGTCTCATCGGGAAAAAATACAAAAAAAAATCACACGCATAAAAAAACCATCTAATGTGTCATGAAAGGTAGGCCTTGAGAGAGGTGTTTTGGTAAATCCCCACACTATGTACGATTACATGCACACAATAATACGATTATTGTGTATAGTCAGATTAATATAATAGTTTAAAACGTTTACATGCTTAGCAAGAAGAACGGTTTCCCTAATAATCCTTTTTACATGGACACATCTGAAGTCAGGCTACTGATGGGACTTAAATAAATGCAGAAAATTGCCAATCAAAATAAACATTCTACCACAGCGAACATGTTATTTTTGCGAAGCCTATTTGATTCTGAGTTTGGACACAAAGTTTGTATGTGAGAACTATTTCTATGATTGTAGATAGTACAACACAATATCTATAACCAACCCCTAAGCCCTGTACTGTGGATAGTACTACACAATATATATATATCCAACCCCAACCCCTAAGCCCTGTACTGTGGATAGTACTACACAATATATATAACCAACCCCTAAGCCCTGTACTGTGGATAGTACTACACAATATATATAACCAACCCCAACCCCTAAGCCCTGTACTGTGGATAGTACTACACAATATATATAACCAACCCCAACCCCTAAGCCCTGTACTGTGGATAGTACTACACAATATATATAACCAACCCCAACCCCTAAGCCCTGTACTGTGGATAGTACTACACAATATATATAACCAACCCCAACCCCTAAGCCCTGTACTGTGGATAGTACTACACAAGATATATATTGTGTACAAAACATTAGGAACACCTGCTCTTTCCATGACATAGACTGACCAGGTGAATCCAGGTGAAAGCTATGATCCCTTATTGATGTCACTTGTTAAATCCACTTCAATCAGTGTAGATGAATGGGAGGAGACAGGTTAAAGAAAGATTTTTTAAGAATTGAGACATGGATTGTGTACGTGTGCCATTCAGAGGGTGAATGGGCAAGACAAAATATGTAAGTGCCTTTGAACGGGTTATGGTAGTAGGTGCTAGGTGCACCGGTTTGAGTGTGTCAAGAACTGCAACGCTGCTTGGTTTTCATGCTCAACAGTTTCCTGTGTGCATCAAGAATGCTCCACCACCCAAAGGATATCCAGCCAACTGTAGGAAGCATTGGAGTCAACACGGGCTAGCATCCCTGTTGAACGCTTTCAACACCTTGTAGAGTCCATGCCCCGACGAATGGAGGCTGTTCTGAGGGCAAAAGGGGGTGCAACTCAATATTAGGAAGGTGTTCCTAATATTTTGTACACTCAGTGTATAACCAACCCCTAAGCCCTGTTTGCCCCCTTCCTGATTTGTTATTTGTTTGCATGTTTGTCACACTTAAATGTTTCAGATCATCAAAGACATTTAAATATTAGTCAAAGATAACACAAGTAAACACAAAATGCAGTTTTGAAATGAAGGTTGTTATTATTAAGGGAAAACAAAATCCAAACCTACATGGCCCTGTGTGAAAAAGTGTTTGCCCCCCCTCCCTGTTATAAAACAACTCAACTGTGGTTTATCACACCTGAGTTCAATTCCTCTAGCCACACCCAGGCCTGATTACTGGCACACCTGTTCTCAATCAAGGAATCACTTAACTAGGACCTGCCTGACAAAGTGAAGTAGACCAAAAGATCCTCAAAAGCTAGACATCATGCTGAGATCCAAAGAAATTCAGGAACAAATGAGAAAGAAAGTAATTGAGATCCATCAGTCTGGAAAAGGTTATAAAGCCATTTCTAAAGCTTTGGGACTCCAGCGAACCACAGTGAGAGCCATTATCCACAAATGGCGAAAACATGGAACAGTGGTGAACCTTCCCAGGAGTGGCCGGCCGACCAGAATTACCCCAAGAGCGCAGCAACGACTCATCCAAGAGGTCACAAAAGACCCCACAACAACATCCAAAGAGCTGCAGGCCTCACTTGCCTCAGTTAAGGTCAGTGTTCATGACTCCACCATAAGAAAGAGACTGTGCAAAAATGGCCTGCATGGCAGAGTTCCAAGACGAAAACCACTGCTGAGCAAAAATAACATTAAGGCGTGTCTCGTTTTTGCCAGAAAACATCTTGATGATCCCCAAGACCTTTGGGAAAATACTCTGTGGACTGACGAGACAAAAGTTGAACTTTTTGGAAGGTGTGTGTCCCATTACATCTGGCGTAAAAGTAACACCGCATTTCAGAAAAAGAACATCATACCAACAGTAAAATATGGTGGTGGTAGTGTGATGGTCTGGGCCTGTTTTGCTGCTTCAGGACCTGGAAGACTTGCTATGATAAATGGAACCATGAATTCTGCTGTCTACCAAAAAATCCTGAAGGAGAATGTCCGGCCATCAGTTCGTGACCTCAAGCTGAAGCGAACTTGGGTTCTGTAGCAGGACAATGACCCAAAACACACCAGCAAGTCCACCTCTGAATGGCTGAAGAAAAACAAAATGAAGACTTGTAAGGGCTATTTGACCAAGAAGTAGAATGATGGTGTGCTGCATCAGATGACCTGTCCTCAACAATCACCCGACCTCAACCCAATTGAGATGGTTTGGGATGAGTTGGACAGCAGATGTGGGAACTCCTTCAAGACTGTTGGAAAAGCATTCCAGGTGAAGCTGGTTGAGAGAATGCCAAGAGTGTGCAAAGCTGTCATCAAGGCAAAGTGTGGCTACTTTGAAGAATCTAAAATGTAATATATATTTTGATTTGTTTAACACTTTATTGGTTACTACATGATTCCATATGTGTTATTTCATAGTTTTGACGTCTTCACTATTATTCTACAATGTTAAAAATAAAGAAAAACCCTTGAATGAGTGGGTGTGTCCAACATTTTGACTGGTACTGTATAACCAACCCCTAAGCCCTGTCCTGTGGATAGTATTCTTCAGAAAGTATTCAGACCCCTTGACTTTTGCCACATTTTGTAACGTTACAACCTCATTCTAAAATTGATTAAATTGTGTTTTCCCCTCATCAATCTACACACAATACCCCATAATGACAAAGCAAAAACAGGTATTTTGATTTTTTTTCTAATTTAGAAAAAATAAATAAATTAAATATTACATTTACATAAGTATTCAGACCCTTTACTCAGTACTTTGTTGAAGCACCTTTGGCAGCGATTACAGCATCGAGTCTTCTTGGGTATGATGCTACAAGCTTGGCACACCTGTATTTGGGGAGTTTCTCCCATTCTTCTCTGAAGATCCTCTCAAGCTCTGTCAGGTTGGATGGGGAGCGTTGCTGCACAGCTATTTTCAGGTCTCTCCTCATCTGAATGATGTTGATCGGGTTCAAGTCCGAGCTCTTGCTGGGCCACTCAAGGACATTCAGAGACTTGTCCCGAAGCCACTCCTGCGTTGTCTTGGCTGTGTGTTTAAGGTCGTTGTCCTGTTGGAAGTTGAACCTTTGCCCCAGTCTGACATTCTGAGCGCTCTGGAGCAGGTTTTCATGAAGGATCTCTCTGTACATTGCTCCGTTCATCTTTGCCTCGATCCTGACTAGTCTCCCAGTCCCTGCCGCTGAAAAACATCCCCACAGCATGATGCTGCCACCACCAAGCTTCACCGTAGGGATGGTGCCAGGTTTCCTCCAGAAGTGACGCTTGGCATTCAGGCCAAACAGTTCAATCTTGGTTTCATCAGACCAGAGAATCTTGTTTCTCATGGTCTGAGAGTCTTTAGGTGCCTTTTGGCAAACTCCAAGCGGGTTGTCATATGCCTTTTACTGAGGATTGGCTTCGGTCTGGCCACTCTACCATAAAGGCCTGATTGGTGGAGTGCTGCAGAGATTGTCCTTCTGAAAGTTTTTCCCGTCTCCACAGAGGAACTCTAGAGCTCTGTCAGAGTGACCATCGGGTTCTTGGTCCCCTGATTGCTCAGTTTAGCCGGGCGGCCAGCTGTAGGAAGAGTCTTGGTGGTTCCAAACTTCTTCCATTTAAGAATGATGGAGGCCACGGTGTTCTTGGGGACCTTCAATGCTGCAGACATATTTTGGTACCCTTCCCCAGATCTGTGCCTCGACACGATCCTGTCTCGGAGCTCTACGGATAATTCCTTTGACCTTATGGCTTGGTATTTGCTCTGACATGCACTGTCAACTGTGGGACCTTATATAGAGAGGTCTGTGCCTTTCGAAATCATGTCCAATCAATTGAATTTACCACAGGTGGACTCCAATCAAGTTGTAGAAACATCTCAAGGATGATCAATGGAAACAGGATGCACCAGAGCTCAATTTCGAGTCTCATAGCAAAGGGTCTGAATACTTATGTAAATAATGTTTTTCTTGTTTTCGCTTTGTCATTATGGGGTATTGTGTGTAGATTGCAGAGTCCATTTTAGAATAAGGCTGTAACGTAACAAAATTGGAAAGTATTCAGACCCATTGACTTTTTCCACAAGGCCCAGTAACCAACCCATTAGCCTTGTACTGTGGATAGTACAACACAAGAGAGAGGACCCTTCATCCATTAGCCTTAAACCACTCAGCTCATCTTAGCAGATACCTTCATCAAATTAATGAAGACATTTATTGTTAAACACGTTTTTATAAAAAATTCATTATTTCTCTCCAATTAAAACCCCCAGCGGAGCTGACATCAGTTAAATATGTATACTCATCACTAAGAGATCTGAATTAAAGATCTGGGGTGTGTGTGTGTGTGTGTGTGTGTGTGTAGGATGAAATTCCTGAGTAGGTCTCACTCTGAGCTGATTACTTAATGGTGATGATCATGATGAGTGTGTGTGTGCGCGTGTGAGTCCTCCTCTGCTTAATGCTGATGACATGTCCCTACATTAGGTTGGCCAGTGAGCCACAGCAGATCAGATAAGCCATATTAATGACTGATGGCGTTCTTCATTTCGTCTGCTCTGATACATAGCCTCATCAGAATGTTTCGCAAATCAACGGCAGAAATGGAGTTCGGCTGCCACAGGGAACAGTCCTGAGAAAAAGGCCTAGAAATAATTACATCAATAGTCGGTTGGTTTGTTTTGAACTTTTCTTCCTGCGATGTCTCTGACATACAGCATGTTAGTTAGGTCCCGGCTCAACGGTGTCTTTCTAGCTGATGTTCCAGTGCCAACACTGATGGTGTGTAAACAGGGCCAGGGTCAGAGGAATGGGCTAGTGAAAAGATGGTCAACTTAGAATCTCTCCATGCTAGCACAGATCAAACCTGTGTCAAATACTTTCAAATATGTAAGATCACACACCTTTTAGACATCCTTTTTTTTCCCAGAGAGATAGAGAGCACGTCCAGGTCTCAATTTCCTGTGATCAGAGTGAGATGCCAGTGCGTGTGTGTGCGTCAGACATTGGCCAGTTTGCCTGTCCAACCGTCACCTCTCTCAAATGAAGCACAGGATTCCTGTCTAATGAGCTGTGTGGGATAGATATTGAAGAGGCCCCACACACACACAAACACCCACACACACTAAACAAGGCCGATCTGTTTCAGTACACACTAGAGGTTCTCTCATTACACCAGATAGCATCCTTTAACCCTCTAACTACTGTTTCTACAGCAGGGCTTCAGCAAAACCATCTGTCTGTGACAGATCTAAGTAAGACTAAGAGAAATACTACTGTATAGAACACTCTCTTACACATGAGCTAACATGCACACACATGCACCTAATAACTTATTTTCTGGCAGTGAAATGGTCATCTTGCAGAGGTAATTCTAAAACAATTTATCACCACTCAGTGCCACTTATGGTTGTCCATCAGGTAATATATCTGAAGAGGTCTGGTTGTCCATCAGGTAATATATCTGAAGAGGTCTGGTTGTCCATCAGGTAATATATCTGAAGAGGTCTGGTTGTCCATCAGGTAATATGTCTGAAGAGGTCTGGTTGTCCATCAGGTAATATGTCTGAAGAGGTCTGGTTGTCCATCAGGTAATATGTCTGAAGAGGTGTGGTTGTCCATCAGGTAATATATCTGAAGGTTTCTGGGCAACAGATGAGGCCGTATCAGACACCATTTCACCCTGACTCATCAGAACACCTCATCAGGCTTGACCAGAAGGATCTATCACCGTGGACAGTGGACACACATAAGCGCAAGAACACACACACATGAACACACGCACACAAACGACAACACAAAACCTTTCAGAATCCTCTGCCAAATGTTACCTACTGAGCAAGACAAACAACTAAGAAGCATTGGTTCAGTCTGCACTTTCTCTCATTGACTTAATTACTCAATAAAAGTTTGACCTAAACTTTTCAGATGGGAACTGATATTTACAGTAAACACAACATCTGACTGTGACATCAGAGATATCAACATATTTATACTGGCCTGCTGGAGGCGGAAGAGATAAAAGTTTGACACCCTAACGAGCGGCTAATGCTAACTAGCAAAAACGTCTCTTTGGACTCTCATTAAAACACTTCAACACACACATACACACACACGTACACACGTGTGTGTGTGTCACAAAAACAGCATGAATGATTCTGATCAGCTCTGTGTCAGTGTGACCGGTCTAATCAGTTATGGGGTTGTGTTTGAAGAAGACGGCTCCAGACACATCTTCACCGAACACCCCATGGCTTTGATTGGAACTGGGCCCATGCAGAGACACACAACCATTGATGTGTGTGTGTGGCTTTTAAAAGCACTTTTTAGTTCAATACATTGAAAAAGCCCATCTAGCACAGAGCTGTGTGATACATCATTTAGCCTACAGAATGAATGATTCAACATTCCAACTTTTCACTGACAGGAGGATGAGAAAAGAGATAGAGAAAGTGAGAGAATGTGTGTGTCTGACACTCTTCGGCCTAGTTCCAAATCAGTCCCTAGGCCCTTCCCTGTGTCCTAGCCCCTTCCCTAAGCCCCCTACTACTGTGATGTTTACCTGCGTGTGTGTGTGCGTGTGCGTGCGTGCGTGCGCGCGTGTGTGTGTTTGTGTATGCGTGCATGTGTGAGAAAGAGAAAGAAGTTTAGAGAATGTGAATGATTTGAGAGGAACTGCGGATGTGAAGAAATGTGTGTTAATTATCTAGTCAGCCTTTGTAGAGCTCAGCTTGACAAGAGTTATCCCAGAGGATTCCCACTCACTGGGAATGTTACATTAGGGAACATATGGGAATATTACTGGAATATTACACAGGATAATAACAATTCCAAAGCACCTTCTAGGTTTATAAAACAATCCATGCTCTGCCGACCAATTTACAGGACTAATCAGATGTAGGGAGAGAAGGAGAGAATTATATAGGTTGGGTGTGTCTGTTTACCTGTTCCTGTGTTGTCTGGTTGTCTCTCTGTGTGTTGAGTGTGTTCTCCAAGGCCTGCTGTAGGGCCAGTCTCAGCTCTGCAGACTGCGTCTCCAGCCTCTCCACTTTCAGCCTGCAACACACACGTAAACATCACAGTAGTAGGGGGCTTAGGGAAGGGGTTAGGACACAGGGAAGGGCCTAGGGACTGATTTGGAACTAGACCGAAGAGTGTCAGTAAGAACAGGGGGGAATCTGAATGTGATCGATAGGGGGTCTATTTCTGCTCTGTGTCAATAGAGACTGGCTGCCGTGGTTACACGATCAATACGACAAATTATGAGCATTTCCTCAAGCTCCCGACCAACCCCATCCCCAGCACAGCCCCCATGGACCCCACTGTCAGACCGACTGGGCACAACACAGCTAAATATACACACAATATATAGGAGCATAAATATTCAGATCCTAAAAGTAAACCTAAATATACAGGCTATATACACATCCACTGTACGGTCTCAATATGCACCAATTTCCATGTAATAAGTATATTTAGGAGTGCTGTACATATTTGTGTTATAAATTGGCTATAGAACCCAAAGACAGTTTTCTCAGTTCACAAATAAAAAAGATGGAAGGGAGAGAGGTGGAGAGATGAAGGAGAAGGGGATAGAGGGGAAGAGAGGGGAGGAGAAGGGGTAATGAGGGGAAGAGAGGGGAGGAGAAGGGGGAATGAGGGGAGGAGAAGGGGGAATGAGGGGAGGAGAAGGGGGATTGAGGGGAAGAGAGGGGAGGATGGGATGGGGAACTTCCCAGAAACAGCTGAAATCCATTTAGCATCATGTTCATGTTTAGTTGAATAATGACCATTTGGGAGCGCTTTTCTCATACAGACTGACTCCTCTTAGCTATTGACCCATATGGATGTTAACAATTTAGAGAGAGAGAGAGAGAGAGAGAGAGAGAGAGAGAGAGAGAGAAGGTGAGAGGCAGCGAGAGGGGGGGGGGGGATTCTGCATTAATGTGATGAGGTCACCATACTGGCAGCGATCTAGACCACAACCACAGACAGACACCAGCCATTTCATGCTGCATTTATGCTGATGTCATCACAATGCTGAAGAGACACTGGTCAACCTTTGAACTTTGAACTTGGTGACCTCACGTACGGTACGGGGCAGGCCAAGATGCACATTCTCTAATATGTCCATAATATGCCCATTCGGAGAGGATGGTAATCTATGAGTACTGCTCGCATGTTGAGTAACCTTGTCTGAGACCTGAAGACTTGTGTTAGCTCCCCGAATTCCCTCCTTACCTCCTCTCCTCCGCTTGTCTTCCTTCTCTCACACTCCCTTCTGACCACCAAACCTCCTCTCCACGACATGACAGCTCCTCCACTGAGAGAGAAAGAAAGAAAGAAAGAAAGAAAGAAAGAAAGAAAGAAAGAAAGAAAGAAAGAAAGAAAGAAAGAAAGAAAGAAAGAAAGAAAGAAAGAAAGAAAGAAAGAAAGAAAGAAAGAAAGAAAGAAAGAAAGAAAGAAAGAAAGAAAGAAAGAAAGAAAGAAAGAAAGAAAGAAAGAAAGAAAGAAAGGAGACTTATCATGAAAACTATTGGCTTCAGTTCAACAGGGAGCAGTACAACATGAGGCAAAATGAGGCAAAATGAAACCACATTTGAAAGATGTTTGTCAGTCGAAACATTCATTCATACTTCCCCTGAAAATTACTTCTATAAATTCTAAACGATTTTCATATGCCACAACTACTAACCCATCATTTTATATTAAAACATAAGTGCGTGTTCATGTATAATGCATTCTTTAACTATTCAAGGTTATAGGTGACTATTATTCCTAAAAATAAAATTGTAGAATGTAGCAAAAGAGATGAGCGATGAACCTTAGATTCAAATAAAAGAAAGCTCTAAATAAAATTCAGTCAAATGAATTAAAAAGAGAACAATGCAAGTAGCTTCTCATTAAAAGGCACACAAAGCCAGAGAGCAAACATTTAGCCACTATGAACCCTGTCAAAACAGGGCTTTGTTGTGGCACAAAGGAAACACTTCCTCTTTCTGTCAATAGATGGCACTCCTCACCTTACACAGCACACAAAGCACGCACGCACCCATCCATTCAATCATTTTATTTCCCCATCTTTCTCTCTCTGTCTCTCTCTCTCCCTCTCTCTTTCTCTTCTTACATGGAATAAAATCATATTGTCCTACATGTAGTAGGTTTAGCATAGTGTGTTTATAAAGCATATAAAGGTTTTTGCTCTTTGTGAAACAGAACAGCCATGCATTTTCATATGTCTGATTTTCAGCGAGACACCATTTGCTTAAAAGACACATTTTGGGATAACCTCTATCGCCCCTTTTATTCATTGTGGGTTTAAAAACATTGTTTTAGACAGTTTTTGCCACTCAGTCAGGATACAATATGGAACGCTAAACTCCAGGTCATCTCTGTGTGTGTGTCATGCATGTGTCTTCTTGCATTTATGTGTATGCATTTTAAAATGGTGAGAAATGGGTATGAGTACTGGGGGCATTGAAAATGATCTATGATGCTTTTAGTGACATATGCAGTGATGGTGGTGGGAGGACTGGAGAGAAAGGGATGGGAGAATGAATCCTAAAAACATCAACACTTGATAAATCCATGATTCATTTATGGCTTTGCAGAATCCAAACTGTTTAAATTGCAGCCGTAGGAAATTGAAGAGGCAACTGGAACCTCTAAATATTTTACGATGCACAAACAGACTTTGATTTATTTTCATTATTTTATTCCAGCCCACCTTGGCTCGATTGCTGAATCTCAAGGTAAAAGTTTGTTCTGAATCTAAATAATCGATATAAAGAGAATGTGTACAGATGCATCTCAGGTTGTTTCACATTCATCAGGAATCAGTTCAATATAACCTCTCTCACACTGACCATCCAGGGAGGGCAATTAATGCTGCATGGGCTGCCTGTTTACACACACACACACACACACACACACACACACACACACACACAGGCAAAGGTTAGGAGAGCAGACTTTGCACTGTAACCCTAAACAACAAATGCAGAAAATAACTCTGGTAGAAAATACTATTTCAGTTACGGAGCATTAGGGTTTAATATTGTCCATTTCTATGGCGACTGTAGGAGCAGAACAGTTTGTGTCCTGGCTGAGTGTGTTGTATCTTCCTTCTTTATTTTGAGGGAGTTGGATAGAAAAAGAGATGGGCCTCTGTCTTACTTCCAGCCAGTGATGCAAACACACACACACACACTTTCCCTCTCTATGTCAGTGTTATATTTACAGTGATCTGGCAGTGGTACATGAGCCCCGGGCTATTACACTCTCTAATACACTACCTAACACTCAGACTAGCAGGTAATCTGGTGTCTCACATCCTCCTTTGATACACACTGATCAATACACTGCTGTAACACCAGTCATTTTCTCCTGCTTCTACCTGCCTTCTCTCCTTTTTATTAGGCTACATTTATAATTCATATTACACTGGCTGGATACGCTGACACAGACCTGGGAGTGAGTGTGTGTATGTTATAGAACAATAATAGTAAAGATCAGTGAAAATTATTATGTGTTTGGTTGTCTGTGTTCCGGTGAACAACAGTTTGGGGATTGACAGCCTGTTTAATGGGATTATGGGGCATCCAGTGACTTCAGAAAGTATGCCCAACCCATGACTTTTTCTACATTTTGATGTGATACAAAGTGGGATTAAAATGTATTTAATTGTCATTTTTGGTCAATGATCTACACAAAATACTGTGATGTCAGTGAATTTTTTAAAATAACATTTGTAAAAAAAGGAAAAAAGAAAACAACAACAAAAAACCAATATAAACCATATATTCAAAAGTATGTGGACACCCCTTCAAATTAGTGGATACGGCTATTTCAGCCACACCCGTTGCTGACAGGTGTATAAAATAGAGCACACAGCCATGCAATCTCCATAGACAAACATTGCCAGTAGAATGACCTTAATGAAGAGCTCAGTGACTTTCAATGTGGCAACGTCATAGGTTGCCACCTTTCTAACAAGTCAGTTCGTCAAATTTCTGCCCTGCTAGAGCTGCCCTGGTCAACTGTAAGTGCTTTTATTGTGAAGTGGAAACGTCTAGGAGTAACAACTGCTCAGCCGCGAAGTGATAGGCCACACAAGCTCACCGAAATGGGACCGCTGAGTGCTGAAGTGCATAGCGCGTAAAAATCGTCTATCCTCGGTTGCAACACTCACTACTGAGTTCCAAACTGCCTCTAGAAGCAACTTTAGCACAATAACTGTTTGTCGGGAGCTTCATGAAATGGGTTTCCGTCGCTGAGTAGCCGCACACAAGCCTAAAATCACCATGTGCAATGCCAAGCGGTGGATGGAGTGGTGTAAAGCTCGCCTCCATTGGACTCCGGAGCAGTAGAAACGCAAATCCCCGCAGCAATGTTCCAACATCTAGTGGAAAGCCTTCCCAGAAGAGTGGAGGCTGTTACAGCAGCAAAGGGGGGACCAACTCCAGATTTTCGACAAGCATGTGCCCACATACTTTTGGTCATGTGTATTTAACCCCCTAAGTCAATACATTGTGCAACATTTTCCTCTTATTCTTTTCAAAATTCTTCAAGCTCTGTCAAATTGGTTGTTGATCAATGCCAGACACTATTTTCAGGTCTTGCCATACATTTTCAAGCAGTTTTAAGTCAAAACTGTAACACGGCCACTCAGGAACATTCACTGTCTTCTTGGTAAGCAACTCCAGTGTAGATTTGGGCTTGTGTTTAAGGTTATTGTCCTGCTGAAAGGTGAATTCATCTCCCAGTGTCTGGTGGAAAGCAGACTGAACAATGTTTCCCTCTAGGATTTTGCCTGTTCTTGCCATTCCATTTCTTTTTTATCTTGAAAAACTCCCCAGTAGTCAATGATTACAAGCTATATACAGTTATACATATAAATACCTATAACATGAGGCAGCATCCACTATGCTTGAAAATAGCAGTGGCACTCCTGAACTTATTTACGCTTGCCATAACAAAGGGGTTGAATACTTACTGACTCAAGACATTTCAGCTTTTCATTTTTAATGAATTTGTAAAATAAATCTAAAAACATAATTACACTTTGACATTATGGGGTATTGTGTGTAGGCCAGTGACAACAAATCTCAATTTAATCCATTTTAAATTCAGGCTGTAACACAACAAAACGTGGAAAAAGTCAAGGGGTTTGAATACTTTCTGAAGGCACTGCAACTGGGGTGGGTGGATGAGAGTGTGTGTGTGTATGTGTGGAGGTGGATTTGAGGGCTGCTATGTCTCTCTCCTGGGTCTAAACCAGAAATATACGCTGGTGATTTCATAATCTTTCAACTCCAAACTAGTGTTAAAGACGGGGAATAGAATGGTGCCTCTGCAGCAACTCTGGTCCACTGGTTTTATACACTGGACGTTATTACAGCTAACATGTTTTCTTTGTGTGATTATTTCATGAAGGATGTAAAAAAAAATATTCTCCATATCAATATGATGAGGGATCAATGTTGAAAAATTGAATATATATATAATATGAGGTAAAAACACTTAATTGGTTTGTTCTCTAATTGTGGAGCAGAATTCATAACTGGTTTTCATTGTAATAAGAGCAGTAATAACATCAGTATTTACACACTTCATATGCTGCCGATGTTAAAGCCTTTACTAAAAGACAAACTGAGTAACACTTAAGAGCTGGGCTGATAAACCCAAAATGATCCACACTGACCATACTTATCACAGGCATTTTGCTGATATCGTTCATTACGATAAGTAGCCTATACTAAAGAAATGTGACGTTTAAAATGAAATATGTGTGATTGTTAATGGTTTAATTGATGGCTACAACCATCGTAGTAGTTTAAAGAAGAATAAAAAAAAGGTATGGTGCACATTGATGTGATAAACGTATCCTTCTATTTATCATCAATTCAGGCAATTTATCACGATATGCATTTTTGCACAGCTCTAGTAACACTTACAGTATGTAACATATTGATTTATTGATCAGTGAGGTATGCCATTGGAAAAAAGTGAATGAATTATTGAGTTGTACTCTAAAGCAGGATGGTGATGGGGCATTGATAAGGGATAGGGTTGATATAAGAAAGGCCTTATTATCTCTGCACTGGAGAAAGCTTCAGTATATATAGCTTTCCTTTCTTTATGCATCACCAGCTGTCTTGTCCTATCCTCTTCATCATTCCCCTATCAGACTCTCCTCTCCTCCATCATCCCTTGCTATCGCTCTTTCCCCCGGAACCCTCATATTAAATGTTATTTACATCAAAGTGTTTCCACGGTTGCGAGGGTTCTAGAAACAGAATGTGATGGATCGTTCTTTACTCCGGGCTCCGCCCACCTGTCTGATGATCATCTCACAGTCAGCCAATCAAAGACCGGCTCCTCTGCAGTGGTGGGAGGAGTTTCAGTCAAACAGGCCTTGGTGATGTACAGTAGGGGAAACAAGTATTTAGTCAGCCACCAATTGTGCAAGTTCTCCCACTTAAAAAGATGAGAGAGGCCTGTAATTTTCATCATAGGTACACGTCAACTATGACAGACAAAATGAGAGAAAAAAAATCCAGAAAATCACATTGTAGGATTTTTAATGAATTTATTTGCAAATTATGGTGTAAAATAAGTATTTGGTCAATAACAAAAGTTTCTCAATACTTTGTTATATACCCTTTGTTGGCAATGACACAGGTCAAACATTTTCTGTAAGTCTTCACAAGGTTTTCACACACTGTTGCTGGTATTTTGGCCCATTCCTCCATGCAGATCTCCTCTAGAGCAGTGATGTTTTGGGGCTGTCGCTGGGCAACACGGACTTTCAACTCCCTCCAAAGATTTTCTATGGGGTTGAGATCTGGAGACTGGCTAGCCCACTCCAGGACCTTGAAATGCTTCATTGTCATGCTGAAAGACCCAGCCACGTTTCATCTTCAATGCCCTTGCTGATGGAAGGAGGTTTTCACTCAAAATCTCATGATACATGGCCCCATTCATTCTTTCCTTTACACGGATCAGTCGTCCTGGTCCCTTTGCAGAAAAACAGCCCCAAAGCATGATGTTCCCACCCCCATGCTTCACAGTAGGTATGGTGTTCTTTGGATGCAACTCCGCATTCTTTGTCCTCCAAACACGACGAGTTGAGTTTTTACCAAAAAGTTCTATTTTGGTTTCATCTGACCATATGACATTCTCCCAATCCTCTTCTGGATCATCCAAATGCACTCTAGCAAACTTCAGACGGGCCTGGACATGTACTGGCTTAAGCAGGGGGACACATCTGGCACTGCAGGATTTGAGTCCCTGGCGGCGTAGCGTGTTACTGATGGTAGGCTTTGTTACTTTGGTCCCAGCTCTCTGCAGGTCATTCACTAGGTCCCCCCGTGTGGTTCTGGGATTTTGTGATCATTTTGACCCCACGGGGTGAGATCTTGCGTGGAGCCCTAGATCGAGGGAGATTATCAGTGGTCTTGTATGTCTTCCATTTCCTAATAATTGCTCCCACAGTTGATTTCTTCAAACCAAGCTGCTTACCTATTGCAGATTCAGTCTTCCCAGCCTGGTGCAGGTCTACAATTTTGTTTCTGGTGTCCTTTGACAGCTCTTTGGTCTTGGCCATAGTGGAGTTTGGAGTGTGACTGTTTGAGGTTGTGGACAGGTGTCTTTTATACTGATAACAAGTTCAAACAGGTGCCATTAATACAGGTAACGAGTGGAGGACAGAGGAGCCTCTTAAAGAAGAAGTTACAGGTCTGTGAGAGCCAGAAATCGTGCTTGTTTGTAGGTGACCAAATACTTATTTTCCACCATAATTTGCAAATAAATTCATAAAAAATCCTACAATGTGATTTTCTGGAGAAAAAAAAATCTCAATTTGTCTGTCATAGTTGACGTGTACCTATGATGAAAATTACAGGCCTCTCTCATCTTTTTAAGTGGGAGAACTTGCACAATTGGTGGCTGACTAAATACTTTTTTCCCCCATTGTATATATTACATGCAATAACTTAGTTTACCTCGACTAACCTGTACCCCTGCACATTGTTATTGCGTGTTACTTTTTATTATTAGCAAATAATTTCTTACTTAGTATTCCCTCCCTCTCATCCGTCTGAGTGTGATTGGGACCGTCTCTCTCTCTCTGACAAAAGGTGTGTGTGTTTCAACTGAGACAATAAAGATATGTTGATTGATTAGTACCTGTCTGTCTGTGACTCCTGCGTAGTTCCAACAGGGCCTCTTTGAGTGTCTGCACCTCCTCTTTCTCTCCCTCCAGCTCCCTGGTTCTCCTCTGCACCTCCTCTTTCTCTTCCTCCAGCTCCCTGGTTCTCCTCTTCACCTCCTCTTTCTCTCCCTCCAGCTCCCTGGTTCTCCTCTTCACCTCCTCTTTCTCTCCCTCCAGCTCCCTGGTTCTCCTCTTCACCTCCTCTTTCTCTTCCTCCAGCTCCCTGGTTCTCCTCTTCACCTCCTCTTTCTCTTCCCTCCAGCTCCCTGGTTCTCCTCTTCACCTCCTCTTTCTCTCCCTCCAGCTCCCTGGTTCTCCTCTTCACCTCCTCTTTCTCTCCCTCCAGCTCCCTGGTTCTCCTCTTCACCTCCTCTTTCTCTCCCTCCAGCTCCCTGGTTCTCCTCTTCACCTCCTCTTTCTCTCCCTCCAGGTCCCTGGTTCTCCACTTTAGCACCTCCCTGGCCTCCTCACCAAGTCTGTGTTCCTCCTCTCTCTGCTCCTGCGCCTCCTCTCTGAGCCTCTGCACCCAGTCTTTCTCCTCCTTCAGTTCCTTGGTTCTCCTCTGAAGGAGCAGCCTAGTTTCCTTCAGGTCCTCCTCAACTTGCTGGGGCAAGACATCCTGCCCCTGGATGGCCTGGCCAGAGAAAGAGTGTGTGACTGTTAGTTACTATCTAAACAGTCGAAAAGGTCGCAAGGTGTGTGTGCACACACAGTATGTCATTAACAGAGGTGATTAAGTAACCCTAAACAAAGACTGAAGGAATAAAATATGATACCATACATAATTATTATAAAGATCATTCTGCATGCATGCATCACATCCAATGCCCTGCCTTAGTAGACTGGCTGCTCCCCAATACCAACTCCCTAACTGTTCTACTGTGTTGTAGCTATGTTGAAGAAGGATCTAGCTCTGTCTACACATACAGGCCCATGATAACTATAACTCATCTATGTCTAGGGCGTCATTAACTTCATATGTACATTTACACAATATATCATTGTTCATTAATAATAATCAACCATAAATGTAATCAGAGTCGTTCCACAGCCCTCTCTACGCATGTATTATGTATGCAGATGTAATTAACACAGGCTTGTTAGCTAGAGCAGTGGTTCCCAAACTGTTGGTCGGGGTCCAGTTGGATCCAGGGACGACATTGCAAAAATTTTGTTTGTTTGTTTTTTAATACATTTTCAGGACAGAAAAACACTTTCAGTGTTAACTTAAACGACTAAAATCAAATAGAAAGTATATAGAAAGATAATGGACCTATATATTTTAAAGTAATAGCCTATAATCTTTGAGAATTTACAATCAACAACATAAAAGATAGACAATCAGGCCCACATTGACTTTGTTATAATGTTTCAGCATTAGAACACAGCATTAGCCATGTCAAAATGTGTAGAATTGTAGGAAATAAGCTTAAAAACTGAAAAATTGTTCTCTTAGTTCCATGTCAGAATGTATACAATCGCAGGAGATTAGCTTTGAAACTGCAACATTTTTCCTCTGCTGCCAAGATTATATTTTTTACTTATTCTTTGGTCTGTGTATGTTTTTTTAACGCTCAACCCTTATGGTGGGTCGCGACTCAAAATACACATCAGTTGGTGGGTCGCGACTCAAAAGACACCTCAGTTGGTGGGTCGCGACACAAAAGACACCTCAGTTGGTGGGTCACGACACAAAAGACACCTCAGTTGGTGGGTCACGACACAAAAGACACCTCAGTTGGTGGGTCACGACACAAAAGACACCTCAGTTGGTGGGTCACGAAGCAAAAAAGTTTGTGAACCCCTGAGCTAGAGCACTCAGTGTCCCTTAATGACGATGGGTGAGTGAACTAAGGTGACATGACAACACACGCTATCCTGACAACACACGCTATCCTCACAACACCCGCGCTATCCTAACAACACCCGCGCTATCCTCACAACACCCACGCTATCCTCACAACACCCACGCTATCCTCACAACACCCACGCTATCCTGACAACACACACACTATCATCACAAGTCGTTAGGTCGCCTGCTGGGGGTGTGTGACCCGCATGTCATGTGTTTGTGCCAAAGGGGTAGACACACACACACACACACACACACACAGGACACCCAAGTGCCCGTGACTGGCAGCTTTGTCTTGGCACGGTGCCATGGGACCATTCGTTATCCCACCCTCGTGACTGCTTAACCTAATTTGAATATTTAGTGTCCCTTTCACATGTTAATTGGAGTTAATTGAGCTGGGCCTGGCACCACTTGGAGCTTTAATTAATGGCAGGGTAATTTGTTTCTGTCAGGCAATCTGAGGATCGGGGTGAGAAGTGTGTGTGTGTGTGTGTGAGAGAGAGAATACTTTTTTAGAGATCTGGGTTCATATGCCATGTCTGTTAGGCTGAAAAAGCTTATATTGCATCCTACAGTCATGGAGAGGGAAACCCCAGCCTACTAATCTCATCTTTCCAGTTCCTTCAGATCTGCTAACCCTGATAGGGGCTAGGGGCTATAGGGTAGAAGCTAGGGAAGGGGTCTCCAACCTTTTCTAGTATGAGAGCTACTTTTAAAAAATGAAACGTAGCGAGCAACTAATTTTTTTCTAGCTTTCAAATAGGCACATTCTTCTCTTCTCCTCTTCCCTGCAACTATTCTGTGGGTCCTTAGTGTACAAGATAATGTTTTGTGTCAAGAAAACGTAAACATTTATTTTTCAGTGTAAATCCCCTTAAACTGCGCATCTGGCCCTTTAATTGAGCATCTAGCCATTGAGGAATGTGCCCTCTAATGTGCCGTCTAGTGATGGTTCTTTACTGCTGCTGCTCAATTCATGGCAAAGTTAGCAAATAACAAATAATATACAAACGATATACTTATGATATACTTCTGCCAGTTAAGCCTACTCTGCAGTTAACATTTAATTGAAAAGGGAAAGTATTCCTGTCAACCCACAAGACGGTTATCACATCAACTGGCTACACACAGTGATAAACAAACACTCACACCACACAGATAGACAGGGGCAATATTGCTGGAAATTAATTGTCAGATATTGTGTTAGGTTTGGCTTTTTAAGCCAATAGTGGCTAATCAGGGGTGGGATAATGTAAATGTTGCGTTGATTAGATAATAGGTGGGAGCTTGCTGTGTCTGATACTTGTGAGATTTGTTTATGACAGATCACATGAAAAATTGCAAATACTTTTGGAATTGTTTGGCGAGCTACTCATAAGTGGGTTGATCAACCTGTTGGAGACCCCTAGGCTAGGGTAAGCACTAGGGTGTCTTAAACATTTCCTAATCCTTACTGACCTGTTCTCTCTGTGTACAGGTGTTGTGGGTGTCAACCAGCTCCTCCTGTAGGCGTGTCACTTCTTGCTCCAGCTGTGTGTGAGTGACCAGGTGTTTGCGGTGGGAGGCGGCCAGGTCCAGGTGCAGAGACTGCAGGGTCCTCTCTAGCCCCGCCTTCTCCTGGCTCTGACTCTCTAGCTCCTCTTCCTGGCGAAGATACTCTGCTCTCATCTGTAGTAGGGCCCGTTCGCAATTGGCCAAGCGCTCTACCTGCTCTGTGCACTGCTGATGAGAGTCAATACACATTATTATTTATAGGGATGGTGGCACTGGCATTCCGAAAAATCACTTGCTGGTGACAAATCTCCACATTGCTATATGCTCCCAAAAGTACTCTGTTCTATTGATGCCCATGTCAGTAGTTTAGGTTTGATGTTTCAGTACAGCTAGGGTGACCACCTCCCGGATTGTGTGGCACAGTCCCGCATTTTGGCCCTTTGTCCCGCAACCAAACAATTACAGTGCCTTCAGAAAGTATTCAGACTCCTTGACTTTTTCCACATTTTGTTAGGTTACAGCCTTATTCTAAAATTGATTACATTGTTTTTCTTCCTCATCAATCTACACACAATACCCCATAATGACAAAGCAAAAACAGATTTTAGTAATGTTTGCTAATTTATTAAAAATAAAAAAACATAAATATGACATTTACATAAGTATTCAGACCCTTTACTCAGTACTTTTGTTGAAGCTCCTTTGGCAGCAATTACAGCCTCGAGTCTTCTTGGGTATAACGCTACAAGCTTGGCTCACCTGTATTTGGGGAGTTTCTCCCATTCTTCCCTGCAGATCATCTCAAGCTCTGTCAGGTTGGATGGGGAGATTTGCTGCACAGCTATTTTCAGGTCTCTCCAGAGATGTTTGATCGGGTTCAAGTATGGGCTCTGGCTGGGCCACTAAAGGACACTCCTGCATTGTCTTGGCTATGTGCTTAGGGTCGTTGTCCTGTTGGAAGGTGAACCTTCGCCCCAGTCTGAGGTCCTGAGCGGTTTCATCAAGGATCTCTCTGTACTTTGCAGCTGAAAAACATCCCCACAGCATGATGCTGCCACCACCAAGCTTCACCGTAGGGATGGTGCCAGGTTTCCTCCAGACGTGACGCTTGGCATTCAGGCCAAAGAGTTCAATCTTGGTTTCATCAGACCAGAGAATCTGGAGTGCTGCAGAGATGGTTGTCCTTCTAGAAGGTTCTCCCATCGACACAGAGGAACTCTGGAGCTCTGTCAGAGTGACCATCGGGTTCTTGGTCACCTCCCTGACCAAGGCCCTTTTCCCCTGATTGCTCAGTTTGGCCGGGCAGCCAGCTCTAGGAAGAGTATTGGTGGTTCCAAACTTCTTCCATTTAAGAATGATGGAGGCCACTGTGTTCTTGGGGACCGTCAATGCTGCAGAAATGTTTTGGTACCCTTCCCCATATCTATCCCTCGAGACAATCCTGTCTCGGAGCTCTTTTGACAATTCCTTCGACCTCATGGCTTGGTTTTTGCTCTGACATGCACTGTCAACTGTGTCAAGGTGTGTGTCTTTGCAAATCATGTCCAATCAATTGAATTTACCACAGGTGGACTCTCAAGGATGATCAATAGAAACAGGATGCACCTGAGCTTAATTTGGAGTCTCATAGCAAAGAGTCTGAATACTTATGTAAATAAGATATTTCCATTTTTTTTTTTTACTCTTTTCGCTTTGTCATTATGGGGTATTGTGTGTAGATTGATGAGGCTTTTTTTTTATTTAATCCATTTTAGAATAAGGCTGTAACGTATTTTTTTTGGGGAAAACGGAAGGGGTCTGAATACTTTCCGAATGCACTAATTATATATATATATATATATATATATATATATATATATATATATATATATATATATATATATATACACACACACACACACTGTATATATCATAAGGATGTTGTACCGGTGATATTAAACACTTCTCCCATCTCTGATATTCTGCGCAGCGCAAGACGAGAGGTAGACCAATGTCATATGCCTATCGTCAACCAATCATATTTCTCAAATCCTTTCGGGCTAAATTACAGCTAAACTTGGAGAGGACAGTGAGGCTTAACTACTTACAAAGAGCTACAAACGTAAGTAAATAGCAGTATTAGACTGAAATATATAAGATCATTTGGTCAAACTTGTGAGGCTGTCCATGCTCATCAGTTGCTCATATTTCCTGCTAATTCTTTGTGTGTGTGTGTGTGTGTGTGTGTGTGTGTGTGTGTGTGGTCGGGTGGGGGGTGCTGCCAAATGTTTTTATTCATGTAGGCTACTACCTTCTGCAGTTGTAGTCTCTGTCTCTGTAAGGCACAATACTGCTCATCAGAGTAGGAGTGGTTCTGCTGGTAGGACTTCAGAGAACTCTCATACTCTAGTGTCTGTGGGGAGAGGAGGACAGTCTGTTACTAATGGACATCACCTGGAGCTACACCTCAACTTACCTTTTCTCAACGCCATGCTGTAGCTTTTGTCTATCACAGAAAGATACTCGATTGACAGACAGGCAGACATGTAGGCCGACAGACAGCGACTCAGAGAGATACAGACAGACAGTGACTCAGACTGACAGACAGTGGCTCAGACCGATAGAAAGCATTACAGACAGACAGAGACTCAGACAGCGACTCGGACAGACAGCGACTGGGACAGACAGCCAGACGGGAGTGCAGCGAGACTCAAGGTAGAGAATTACTGAAACACCAACTACAGAGAGATCCTCTCCTCAACAGAACCCACTCACATCTAACTCATTACACAATGTAATAAAGTACAGACATTCTTCAAACAGCTAACTCTTTTATAACGCACAGATTCAATTCAATTTGATTAGAATGACATTCCGCCGTGTTGACCTTGTCGGCTGAGTTGAACCAAATTAAATTTCCCCGTAATAAAGATTATTCATTTGTAGACAGACTCGGTAAATATCCTCAAACAGAGGCAAAGCTACAGTGACACACGCACACACCAGAAAACACACACACACACACACACACACAGTCCTCCACTGTCATTTCTGTTTTACTCAGGATTGCTATCAATATCATTTCAATATAATATAATTTCACTGAACTTGCACCCATAACTCATGAACAGAATGATCATTATAGTTGCTACAATTATGAAAAAGGTCACTCAGATTACTTTTATTTAACTTGACATACTGCACAGACAATGTCCTAAAAGAGACTTACAAATTAAAAGAAATATGGAACTAGGCATATGTATTATTGTAGCTAGCATTTTCCTTACTTCAGGTTAGGATATTGGACATTGCAAGGCAAAAAAGTCCACATAATGTAGAAGGGGAAATAATGTACTGGAAAAGGAAAAATGTAATAAATATGTAGTATGAAATACATATGGGGATAATATACCTACATACAGTAGATATTTATTCCTTTCCACTCTCCATATAGGTCTACTGTCAACCATAACATTGACAGACCTGAGTTTTCTGTGTGTCCATCTCTTGCTGTAGACAGTGTATGGTTCCTTCACACTGTTCCACTCTCTCCCGCCCCTCCGTCAGAGCCATCTGATTGGCCTGCAGCTCATCAGTCAGTTGGTCCAGGGCCTCCTCCGAGCGCTCCCATTGGCCAAGTTTTTCTTGGTAACACCCTTCCAGCTCTGTAAGCTCCGCCTTAACCTCGCCCACCGCTGCCTTAGATTCAGTCAGCTGTCAATCAAAACCACATAGAACAGGTTGACATTGGTCATTGGAGTAAAACTTGCACTTTGAAAGTGAGTGGTCGAATTCTAGAAACTAGCTTAGACTGCAGAGGTGTGTAACCTGTTGTTGTGTGTATCTAAGCTCCTCCTCCACACACTCTATGTGTCCCTGGAGCTGCTGCACCTTCTCCATGGCAACGCAGTACTTCTGTTTAAAGATGGCTGCCTTCTCCTCCTGGCCCTGAGCCATGGACGTGGTTTCACGAAGGTCCTCCTCGAGGTCCTTCAGTTGTTGTCTCAGGAGCTCTGTCTCAGTGTCTCGTGTGTTAACCAACCCTTCAGCCTCTTCAACCTACATCCACAGCAATACAAAAACATCACATTGGATATGATAGACAAAGATAAAAAGGCAAAAAAAACTATATCATGAGTCACAATGTGAACACGCACACACACACACACTCTTTCGGTCACTAACAAACAGACCCAGTAATACTGTACACTCCTAGTTTACATAAGGGCCATCAATGGTATCTGAGGTGGGAGTTAATGGGTCCTTCTCTACAGATAGGTCCTGTAAACCATTAGCACCAGAAGAACCACTGATCAGGACACAGGAGCTGAACTTTCCTTTCTAGAATCAATGTCTTCATACTTCTCTCATTGAACATGATTATTGTTTGGTGTTGGGTGTAATTCTTTTCCTGTCCAGTTTGGTGTTGATCACTAAAAACAAGTGTGTAATAGCAGTAGAGAGTGGAACTGGTGGTTGATTCAGCTCCTAGAGAATCATTGTCCTATCCTTCTTAGTCTGGTCAAATTGTCATAGCTTTCTTATTCTAATACTCAGATGAATCCAGGAAGTGAAATCTGACTAATCCTTGTGTTAAACTCAGACCCAGCCCACCTTTGAGATCAGTGTTAAACTTGACTAACTTCATTAATCCAGCTAACTGTTAAGGTTCAGAGTTAAAATTTGACAAAACTAGATTAATTCCTAATACAGATCAGCCGGTCGGTTAACTCCCTCAGTACTGACAGCAGGCAGACCAGTTAGAGTCACTGGTTCACCTGAGTCCTCTCAGCTGGTTTAACTGGAGATTAACACATGTTAATACCAGCTCCCCAGCACTGCAGCTCTATGGCTGGGAAAGAGAGAGAGAGAAGAAATGTACCATTTTATAACAGGCTTTTCAGAGAAATTCAGTCAAATAAGTCCACAGTTTCAGAAAGTGGAACCGCATTAAGCAATGTGTAAAAACAACAACAACAACTAAAAAAACTGCTTAATGTGGTTCCACTTTCTGAAACTGTGGACTTATTTGACTGAATTTTCCAATGTGTGTGTGTGTGTGTGTGAACGTCCCGCAAACCCTCCTCTCTGTCTCCCTCCCCTCTGTCTAGTTATTTGTAATGGAGTGTGAAGAAGCGTGTCGTTCCCATTGTGAGTCAAACACAATCCCACAACATCATACTGCTCTAAAAGAACACTCCACCATCCCTCTGGCCAAGGCATCAGTGGTGCATTACACACACATACTGTACTCACTCACACACACACACACCTCATTCATTTAAACCAGAGATGTGCAACTGGCACCCCTTTTGCAGGCCTTCGGATCAATTCCCAACTCAGTCAGGATCTCAACTTACTGTTGCAAGTTAGAATAGTAAAAATACACAAGGTGCAATTTTGACATTTGTTTGTGCATCAGCAGTTTTTCTCTTGTTATGCTGATAGTCACTCAATTAGCCTATGTCAGCTAACATTTCTAGATTGGTAAGTTAGCTGGCCGCTAGACTATCTAAACTTGTTATTATGGTTGAATTACTGACCGGGAGTCCCCATCGACACAACACGGTTTCGTTTAGGGCCCCCAAAAGGCTAGGGCCGGCTCTAACTGCATGTGTGGGTATGGATGTGGGTACACAGACCCGCGAGCCACTGCGGCACCTCATGAGGAGTTCAGATTTTTTTAGGCCCCCACCCCCATCAAAAGTTGCCCATCCCTGATTCAAACCATTCTATTTTTTTATGTTTTTATTGAAGTCTAAGAACATAGCGGTTTGATAAGCAACATATAATGAGGGTAATAGAAGTGATGTGATATTGTTGTGGCCATAATCAGGAGCTTGTGCTTCAGAGGCAAACTCCTCTCATTAGATCAACACATCATAGTGACCTTTCAGACCTGCTTGTAGAACTGATTGTGTCCTTTTGAACGGTCGGGTCTGTTTGTGTCCATAATTACATGCTATTTTTCCTAATGCTTTAACTCTCTTCACCTCAACTATGCACTTCATCCTGCTTTGACTGTGATGAGAGAATGAGTGACGTTCTTACCACAAGGTGACTATTGTTGTTTGGTGTGCTAATGATGTCAAACACATTTAGTTGATCGGTTATACAGTAAATGCAGATGTAAGTTGTATCAGTTTTCTGGTTTAAATCAGATACCCCCCCTTCTCACCCCCCAACATACTCCCCACCTTCTCCAGAGCCTCCTGGTATCCCTCCTCTGCCAGTTGGAGCTTTCCCCTCAGCTCTGTGACCTCTGACCCGTGCTCTCTGACCTTGGCCTGGGATTGGCTGAGCTCAGAGGAGGCCTGCTCTAATTGGCTGTTGAGCAGGAAGTGCCTGTGGCTCCAGCGCTCTGTGTCAGCTCTGTGGTTCTGTTTCATTGAGTCCAGATCAGATGTTAGCTGCTCTATGGACATGGTCTGGGACTTCACCTGGACACAGAGGAGAGGGTTACTGTGTGTGTGTGTGTGTGTGTGTGTGTGTGTGTGTGTGTGTGTGTTTGTGTACCTGTTGCTGTGCGATACAGAGTGCGTTCTGTATCTGTTGTCGTTCCGTCACTTCCTGGTCTCTAAGCCCCTCCCCCTCTCTAACCATCTGCCTGAGAAGACACGCCTCTTCCTGTTGACTCTTGACCTTCTGGTTCAGACGGCTGACCTCAGCCTCCAGCATGGCCAGCTGAGGGACACACACACAGTGAGGTGAAGAAATACATTTAGACCGATTAGAGATATAAAATGCAGGCTCTCACCTCCTCCTGTGTTCCTTGATACTTCTGCTCCGCTTTACTCAGCTCTGTCCTCAACTGTAGAATCACCTGGTCTCTACTGCTCACCTAGATCACACACACACACACACACACACACGTAGAATAAATGTTTTAGACTCACACAAAACAAGGAAGGGTTTTAGGAGATGGTGTTGTACACACTCTACCTCACACACCCACCTCTCCCTGTGCGGTGCGGTGTTTCTGGTTAGTAAGTGTGAGGTCTGTCTCCAGTCTCTCTTTCTCCCTGTTCAGAGCTGAACATTCACAGGAACAGTCCTCCATCTTGGATCTCAGCTGAGCCGTCTCCTCCTGCTGTTTTGCCAATGCAGACTCTCTACTGAGCAACTGGACAGAACATGTTGGTGTCAGCTGCACTAAAATAACTCATGTTTAAAAAGGCATGTTACGTTGAGGTGTGAATTACTATTGTACTTACCTCTTGTTTACAGTCAGAGAACTGCTTTCTAACCTCTGCTAACTCCTTCAGTAACACATACAGCTTGCTGTCCTTCTTGTGGATCTGCAGACACACAAACACAAACAGACATACATAAAAACACATTTCAATATTTCACATATTTGAAATAATCCAACAGTCTGCTTTCCATCCACTTACAAACATACAATTACATGAAGAGGCAAACAGAATCAAACCAGGTCCTTCAACTAATGACATCCCATCAACAACGTGTGTTGGTTTTCCAAAGACAAAACCACAAATGTGTTTTCTGTCTCCTAAAATACTATGAATAAAGGGTATTTTCTGTTGGTAATTTGTGTTTGTATCTGTAGGTATAGTTATGGATTGATGGATGATAAACATATAAGTAGTTTATGTTTCTCTATTGTTTGTGTTACCTGGCTATGGCTGCTCCTCTATAATCCCCCACTTTATATGCTGAATAGGGTTATTGTGTGTGTGTACACGTGTCATCTCTCATCCTCTCCTTTCAGTAAGATCTTTCATATTTTGCAGTGAGAGAGAGAGAGAGAGAGAGAAGGGCCTTTTTAAATGAGATATTAGTTCCAATCAGTGTTGAGGTGAAAGGACCATTTACAGCCAAACACACGCCGACGAAAAGGCAAACTGCACAGCACATCAGAGCCTCTTCTATGGCAATGTACCAAACACACTCTTATCTTCTATCTTTTGCTCTCTTCCGTTCTCTCTCTCTGTTTCCTTCTCTCTTTCTGTCTCTCTCTCCCTCTCTCTGAGAGGTGGTTTGTAACTGTCATTCAGATTGATGAAGTTAAGATGGCTCCTTGACCTTCAGGCTCCTCTCATGACCAACACTCTCACATGATGGAGTGGCACACAGACACAAACACACACACACAAATAAAGGGTACATAAAAAATACAATGAATAAGTAGCAAAAAAATCCTATCCAGCTAAACAGTCTGACTAAGATGAACAAACATGTGGAAGTCCTTAAATCCACAGTGTCTCATAAAAACTGCTCTGTGTGTATGTATGTGTGGGTGTGTGTTATTCCCATTGTAATACTGTGACAGACAGGATCTTTACTGATAACCACAAGAGGATGTTGTGTCAAAACAGACATCCCGTCAAAATATATTCTCCTTCCTAAAACTGGGTCAATCACACAGACAACTTCTAGAAATAAAACTTTGGAGCGAAGCGTTCCAATGTGTGTGTGTGTGTGGGGGGGGGGGGGGGGGGGGGCATCCCAGTGGTTTCCGGGAGGGGCCTCTGATATCGAAGGTATTTCTATATCAATCAGATCACACTGTGTTTTAGTATGTCTCATACTCAGCCCACCTCACCACACACACCATTTTGAGCTTGTCACTCACTGACAGAGAATCCCCACTGATGGGCAGCAACACGATCACCAGAAAAGGAGGAGGAGAAAAATAAAGACAGGCCGAGACACAGAGAGAGAGGAGCAGAGAGAGAGAGGGGAGCAGAGAGAGAGAGGGGAGCAGAGAGAGAGCGAGGAGCAGAGAGAGAGCGAGGAGCAGAGAGAGAGCGGAGCAGAGAGAGAGAGGGGGGCAGAGAGAGAGAGAGGGGCGCAGAGAGAGAGAGGGGCGCAGAGAGAGAGGGGCGCAGAGAGAGAGGGGCAGAGAGAGAGAGGGGCAGAGAGAGAGAGGGGCAGAGAGAGAGAGGGCAGAGGGAAAAAGGTGTAGAGACAGAAAAAGGAAAGTAAAAAGATAAGCTAGCCTCTTGTTGGATTCTGTTCATAACATTGTCTGAAGACATTACAGTGTATAATGATTTGGTAGCGCCAAATAAAACACTGAAACATGACCCGTCTTCGGTTAAAGCCTGACTCATTACTATCATCAAGGAGCTGGGAGAATCTATCAAAACACATCAATTCTGTAGCAAGAAAATTAGAAAAGGAGCGAAAGAGAGAGAGAGAGACGGGGGGGTGGGAGAAAGAGAGAGAGAGACGGGGGGGGAAGATGGATGAGGTTTCTGATAAAGGGAAGAAAGTGTTTAGTCTATTTGTTCAGCTGTACTCATGTTCGGACGTTTAGGGAACAGAAAATGTTATTGTTGGGGAGAATTCTTCTGACACACACACGCGCACACACGCAGGGCATGAAATGGTCAGTGGCAGAGCTACAGTAGCAGTGTGTGTGCATGCCTGCGCGCGTGAGATCAGAGGTAGGTTTGGTCAGTGAAACAGAGCCAGATGTGCTGCAGCAGTAACCAGAGCCTTCTAGCTGAGAGGTACTGTTGTCTGCACTGTTTACACTACTGATCTATACATGACAGTCACACACAGTCACTATTGCTGTTTGGCTATATAGAGAGGGAGGGAGAGACGGCGGGAGAGAGAGAGAAAGAGAGAGAGAGGGGGGAAGAGAGAGAGGGAGGAAGAGAGGGAGAAAGAGGAAGAGAGAGAGGGGGGAGATTGGAGGATAGAGAGAGAGGGGAGAGGGAGGAGGAATGAAGATGAGAGGAGGAGAGGAAGTAGATGAGAGGGGGGAGAGGGAGGAAGAGAGAGAGGGGGGAGAGGGAAGAAGAGAGAGAGGGGGGAGAGGGAGGAAGCGAGAGAGAGGGGAGAGGGAGGAAGCGAGAGAGAGGGGAGAGGGAGGAAGAGAGAGAGGGAGAGGGGGGGGCAGAGAACTACCTCTCCAGCTTCACACTTTGAGAGGAATCTGATAGAAAGGAAAGAAGGGAAAAAGGTCAAACTTTTTCAGGAAAGAAAATAAGAAAAACAATATTTCTCTGTGGAAAAAGACAAAGGTGAAAAAGAGAGCGGGAAATAAAGCATGTGTTTCTCTCCTCTGCGTTACCTTCCTGCCGGCGGCCCTGCGTGTGTCAGTGAGTGTGTGGTTGGCCTGCTCCAGATCCTGACTCTGCTGTAAAACCTGGTCCTGGAGATGCTGACACTGATCTATCTCTTCACCCAGACTGATCTTCACCTGATCCAGCTCTACTGACAGAGTACACACCCTGTCCTCACTGACCAGGAGCTGGGGGGGGGGGGGGGGGGGACAGAGAGAGACAGAGAGAGAGAAGGAGGATGTTAAAAACATTTCAAATCTCAATGGCAATGACTAGTAGCTGTTGTAGTGGTGTTGGAGGTCCGGTGGAAACAGTTTTACTGGCCCAATAAAGAGCTCTGTTGGTGGTAGTTAAGCCCTGTCCAAGACCTCTAGCTGGGTTAGGATTCCTCTGCAAGCTGATCGCTGTATTACGCTCTCTGCATGGAATGATGTTAGTCAGCTAGCCTTGTCTAAAGTAGGAATTGACTATGACCCACTAGGGTCCACACACTAGTGCAGAGGTATCAAACTCATTCCATGGAGGGCCTAGTGTCTGCTAGTTTTTGTTTTTTCCTTTCAATTAAGACCTAGACAACCAGGTGAGTGGAGTTCCTTACTAATTAGTGACCTTAATTCATCAATCAAGTACAAGTGAAAACCCGCAGAAACTCGGCCCTTCATGGAATGAGTTTGACTCATGTGCACTAGTGTATAGTGCAGGAGTATTCAAATCCTACCCTGGAGGTCCGGAGCCTGCCTGTTTTCTGTTCTACCTGATAATGAATTGCACCCACCTGGTGTCCCAGGTCTAAATCAGTCCCTGATAAGAAAAGCAGTGGAACTGGCTTCCAGGTCCAGATTTGAATTTGAGGGGTATAGAGCATCAGAACAGGAAATGTTGATAAAGTTATACCATTGTCTTACATCAGATCACGTCACTCCTACGCGAAACTCGTCCCTTAACCGATCTGTCTTCTAGGATGTGGAACTAATCTCTAAAACTCTAGATTTTGTTTATCCGCCTAACGCTCTCGGTAGCTATGATGCACTGGCTACTACAGCAAACCATGCTCCAGCTAGCAGCCTTATGCAAACTTGCTTGAATGGCCATATGATAGCTAGTTTTCCAACTTGTTGATGAAGTTGTAAGGCACCAAAGTTATGGGACGCATTCAAAATGTAACTTGTACTTTTGGGTGTCAGGGAAAATGTATGGAGTAAAAAGTACATTCTTTTCATTAGGAAAGTAGTGAAGTAAAAGTAAAAGTTCTCAAAAATATAAATAGTAAAGTACTGATACCCCAAAAAACTACTTAAGTAGTACTTTAAAGTATTTTTACTTAAGTACTTTACACCACTGCTGTTAGGACAGCATATTGTAGCCGGACTTCTTTTTAGCTATCCCATGAGTGTTTGCGAGTTATCAGACAGATCTGAGTGAGACAATGCAAGTTATACATGACCATTTACTGGTCACTTATTTAAAGTAATAGCAGCAAGGCATTATTTGGTGGACACAGAATATGGGTTAAATTACCATAAAACCACATTAGTGTAGAGCAAGTGAAACAATACATCCTAGATACATCATGTAGAGCTTAGAGGAAAAACCTGAAGTCAATTACATTAATCATTCATATCATCTAATGTTGTCATTCATTAATGTATCACCATTATACAGAGAGAAAGGAGAGAGAGAAATTCCCTCTATATCTAAATTATATTGAAATCAGCAAAGTAGGTCCTTCATTTGAACAGGGACCACATCCTCAATGGAGGTAAGATGGATGAAATTATAGAATGATTAAATATGGAGAAGAGGAGGAGGAGAGGGGTAAAGGGTGATTAAGTGGAGAGGATAGAAAATAGCAGAACTCCCTGTCGTCCTTTACTGATTAGATTTTTAAAAGGGGGACACTGGTTAAGAGTGTGTGTGTGTGTTACCTTGTTCTTTAGCGTGTCCAGGTTCTCTCTGAGGTGTGTGTGTGTGTGTTACCTTGTTCTTTAGCGTGTCCAGGGTCTCTCTGAGGTGTGTGTTGTCGTGTGTTACCTTGTTCTTTAGCGTGTCCAGGTTCTCTCTGAGGTGTGTGTGTGTGTGTTACCTTGTTCTTTAGCGTGTCCAGGGTCTCTCTGAGGTGTGTGTTGTCGTGCGTTAGCTGGTGTGTGTGTTGTTCCTTTATACTGAGGGTTCTCTTCAGTGAGTCCTGAGTGGCCCTCAGAGCAGACAGGTCCTGCTTCATGTGTCTCAGCATCTCCCCACGCTCATTCACCTACACACACACACACACACACGCACACAGAGAGGTTAACTAGCCGCACACTCAAACCAACAGACTACAGTAGTAGACCAGACAGAGGTTGCACTCCTGACCTGTGTGTGTGTGTGAGTTCATTGTCTGTCTAGCCTCCTCCTCCCAAAGCTAATCTAACACAGAGCTCATGTAACCCTGTAATTAATTTGACTTGGCTAGCAGCGTCCAGCAGCAGACAGACTGGGAGCATGTGTAGACTGGAGTACACAGTTAGACAGACTGACTGAGAGGCAGTTTCATTATCACTGTGACTGATCACTGAGCTCCAGCCAAAACATACAGGAAATGGAACCATACAGGCACGTACTGATGCACGTATACACACGCGGAGGCACACACACCCCTCTACCCTACCTCTTCCACAGATTTCTTCTCAGCCAGTGTGAGTCTCCCCAGTTCTCTGCTCATCTCCTCCAGCAGTGTAGAATGAGTCTGGACCTCTGTCTTAGCAGCCACACAACTCTCCTCGGCCTCCTTCAGAGAGTTCTCTAGTGTGAAGATCTGGAATACACAACATCGACCATGAAAATACCTTCTATGTAGATATGAGAGAGCAAAATAAACAGAACTAAGATCAGATCTGTTGTTTTCTTGAAGATATGAAGAAAGTTGACATGCATTGGCCATGGTACTATAGAGATTACAGTAATGTTGTGTTGTAACGTGCCTTGTTAGCAGCATTCTCCAGCTGACTGTCTCTGTCCTGTAGCTGCATCCTCAGAGAGTGAAGATTACCCTCTGTACTCCTCAACTAGAAGGAGAGAGAGAGAGATAGGGGGTAAACACACATATGCACCCACACCAGTGTGTGTGTGCATGCCAGGGTTGGGATCAATACCATTTAAATTCCAGTCAATTCAGAAAGTAAACCAAATTCCAATTCCAGATTTTCCTCATTGAAAACCATTGAGCAGAATTGGAATTCAGTGTACTTCCGGAATTGACTGGAATTGAAATGGTATTGATCCCAACCCTGGCGTGCGCACAAGCACACAAGCACACACACACACACTTCCTGTGTGAGTATTTCCTGTTGGTTGTGTGAGGTGAGTGTGTGAGCCTCCAGTCTGGCTATCAGTCTGACGCTGTCCTCTACACTGTCCTGGTAGTGACACTATAACTCCTTCAGCTGCTCCTCCAACATACACACCTGAACACATACACACACACACAAAACAAAAACACCTACTTAGTTACAAATACTTACTTTTTAGGAATATACATGTGGAATTGCTAACACACCCTATTCTCTTTCCAGAATGAGCTGAATTTGCCAAGATTTGAATCTGCTTTCGACTGACCACATTCACAATACTTACTTTCTTCCGTCAAGGTCTTTATAACTATCAGAAGAAAACTGGACTTGAACCTTTTTAGCTTTAACTCTGATTCTATTGCATCACTCATCCATATCAATACTGCCTTTGATGATACGGCCAAAGTCATTTTCCTCATCTTAAATCCGGCACATCAAAATGATTAAAACTTCACATTTCCCAATCTCAGGCCTCAATTCTCTGAAGGCATAGGCAGGAAGTTGGGAACTCCCAAAAGAATATGAGATTTGTGAATTTGTTCAAATAAAGGTGCTTAAATGTGAACGATCATATTATCTAGCCTCTATGGAGAGAGACCAATCTGAGGAGGACTAGAATGGACTCATTACTTCTGCAATCAAAGTGTGTTCCTCCCTTTCCTCTTTCTCCCTCTTTTTTTTCATGTCCTACGTTCTCATCAAAGTGGAGAGAGGAGGAGAGCGGCTTGGGGCAAAACAACCTGGAAGTTCCAAATTTACATTAAATTAACATCTAATGTTGTATTCAAATGATCACCTTTTAACAGAGAAAAAGGGAGAGAAAATTCCCCTTTATACAAAATTTATATTGAAATCAGCAAAGAGGCCCTTTCTTTTAAAACAGGGCCCACATCTCAAGGGGTAAGATGGATGAAATTTTATAGAATGATTAAATATGGAAAAGAGGAGGAGGAGAGGGGTAAAGGGTGTTTAAAGGGAGAGGATAGAAAATGCAAAAAACCCCTGTCGTCCTTTTGTTTGTTTTTTAAAAGGGGGACACGGGTTTAAAGGTGTGGTGGTGTCCCTTTGTTTTTTAGCGTGTCCAGGTTTTTTGAGGTGGGGGGGGTTTACCTTTGTTTTGGGTGTCCAGGGTCTATGAGGTGTGTTGGTGTGTTCCCTTTGTTCTTTAGGGTCAGGTTCTTCTGAGGTGTGGGGGGTGTGTACCTTGTTCTTAGCGTGTCAAGGGTTCTTGAGGTGGGGGTTTGGGGGTTTTGGCTGGTGTTGTGTGTGTTGTTTTATACTGGGGTTCTTTCAGGAGCCGAGTGGCCCTCAGAGAGACGGGTTTCCTGCTTCATTGTCTAGACCCCCCACGCTCATTACCTACACACAAAAACCACACACCCCCACACAGAGAGTTAACTAGCGCCACTAAAACCCCAACAGATACAGTAGTGGGGACCGCAGAGGTTGCACCCCGACCGGGGTGGGTGGATTTCATTGTTGTTGGGCTCTCCCCCAAAAGAAATTTAAACAGAGCTAGTAACCCTGTTTTAATTTGACTTGGCTAGCAGGTCCAGAGCAGACAGATGGGAGCATGTGAGAAGGAGTACCAGTTAGACAGACGTGAGAGGCATTTTTCATTATCATGTGATGATCATGGCCCCAGCCAAAAATACGGGAAAGGGAAAACCATACGGCACGTAGATGCACGTATACACAGCGGAGGCACACACCCCCCTCTACCCCCCTCTTCCACGATTTCTTTCACCCAGGGATTTCCCCCCAGTTCTTGTCATCTCCTCCAGAAAGTGTAGAAGAGTCGGACCTCTGTTTTAGCACCCCAAAAAAAACTCCTGGGCCTCCTTTCAGAGGTTCTCTAGTGGAAATTGGGAAATACACAACACGACCATGAAATACCTTTTGAGTATGAGAGAGCAAAAAAAAACAGAACTAAGATAGATCTGGTTTTCTGAAGATATGAAAATTTGACATGATTGGCCATGGGTACTATAGAGAACAGTAAGGTTGTGTTGTAACGGCTTTTAGCAGTTTCTCCAGCTGAGGTTTGCCCTGAGCTGATCCTCAGAGGTGAAGATTACCCTCTGTACCCCCCAACTAGAAGGAGAGGAGGGGAAGGGGGGGGGTAAACACACATATGCCCCAAACCCGGTGTTGTGATGAGGGTTGGGATAAATACCATTAAATTTCCAGTCAATTCGAAAGTAAACCAAATTTCCCAAATTTCCCGATTTTCCTCATTGAAAAACTTTAGCAGAATTGGAATTTAGTGTACTTCCGGGGAATTTTATGGAATTGAAATGGATTGATCCCAACCTGGGTGCGCACAAAGACCAAGCACACACACACACACTTCCTTGGGAGATTTCCTGTGGGGTGAGGGAGTGTGTGAGCCTCCCGTTGGATAAATCGAGCTGTCCTCTACATGCCTGGTGGAACTATAACCCTTAGCTGTCCCCCAACTACAACCTGAAACATAAACACACACACAAAACAAAAAAAACCTACTTGTTACAAAATTTTTTTGGAATACATGTGGAATTGCTAACACACCCTATTCTCTTTAGAAGAGGAATTGCCAAAATTTTAAACTGTTTCGACTGACCACATTCACAAAATTTCTTTTTTCCCTCAAAGGTTTTAAACATCAGAAGAAAAATGGACTTTGAACCCTTTTTGCTTAATCTGATTTCATTCACTCATCCCTATCAATACTGCCTTTATGATACGGCCAAAATATTTTTTCCCACTAAATCCGGGCCCCTCAAAATATTAAAACTTACATTTCCAACTCAGGCCTCAATTCTGAAGGCATAGGAGGAAGTTTGGGAAAAATCCCAAAAGAAAATGAGATTTGGGGAAAATTTTTCAAATAAAAGGGCTTAAAGTGAAAAGATATTATTGCTCTATGGAGAGGACAATTGAGGAGGACTAGAAGGACCATTACTTTTGAATCAAAGGGGTTCCTTCCCCCTTTCCTCTCTTCTCCCTCTTTTTTTTTCACTGTCCTACGTTCTCTCTATCAAAGTGGGGAGGAGGAGGAGAGCGGCTTGGGCAAAAACCTTGATTGGTGAAAGCTATCCTGTATTAGGATTTAAAATGAATAGGGTAGGGGAACAATGTGGGGTTAGAGAGAAAGAGAGAGGGGAGGGGGGGAGGGCAGGGGAGAGAGGGAGGGGGAAGAGGGAGGGGGGAGAGAGAGGGGAGGGGGGGAGAGAGAGAGGGGGGAGGGGGGAGAGAGAGAGAAGGAAGGGGGAGAGAGAGGAAGGGGGAGAGGGGGGGAGAGAGGAGAGAGAGGGAGGGGGGAGAGGGGGAGGGGGGGGGAGAGAGTGGATGGGGAGGGAGGGGGGAGAAGAGAGGGGGGAGAAGAAGGGGAGGGGGAGGAGAGGAGAGAGGAGGGGAGGGGGGAGAGGAGGGGAGGAGGGGGAGAGAGAGGGAGGGGGGAAAGGGGGGAGGAGAGGGAGGGGAGAGGGGAGAGGGGGGAGGGGGAGAGAGGGGGGAGGGGGAGAGAGGAGGGAGGGAAGGGGGAGGGAGGGGGAGGGAGGGAGGGAGGGGGAGAGAGGGGGGAGGGGAGAGAGGGAGGGGGGGAGGAGAGAGGGAGAGAGAGAGGAGAGAGTGGAGAGGGGGGAGAGAGAGATGAAGAGGAGAGGATGGAGGGGAGAGAGAGGGAGGAGGGGAGGGGGGAGAGGAGAGAGAGAGAGAGGGGGAGGGGGGAGAGAGGAGAGAGAGAGAGGGAGGGGGGAGAGAGAGGAGAGAGGGAGAGAGAGGGAGGAGAGAGGAGGATGAGGACGGGGAGAGAGAGAGAGCGGGAGGGGGAGAGGAGGGAGGGGGGAGGGGGAGGGGAGAAGAGGAGAGAGAGGGAGGGGGGAGGAGAGGGGGGAGGAGGGAGGGGAGGGGAGAGAGAGGGAGGGAGAGAGAGAGAGGGGGAGGAGAGAGGGAGGAGAGAGAGGAGCGGGAGGGGGAGAGAGGAGAGGAGAGGGGGGAGAGAGAGAGGGAGAGAGGAGAGGGAGGGGGGAGAGAGAGGAGAGAGGGGGGGGAGAGGGAGGAGGAGAGAGAGAGAGAAGGGGGGGAGAGAGAGAGGGGGGGAGGGGGGAGAGAGAGAGGGAGGGGGAGAGAGAGAGAGGGAGGGGGGATAGAGAGAGAGAGGGGGGGATGGGATAGAGAGAGAGAGGGGGGATAGGAGAGGAGAGGGAGGGAGGGGGAGAGAGAGAGGGAGGGGAGGAGAGAGAGGGAGGGGGAGAGAGAGAGGGGGGAGATGGAGGGTGGGAGAGAGAGAGGGAGGGGGAGAGAGAGGGAGGGAAGAGGGAGAGAGAGAGAGGGAGGGACAAAGAGGCAGAGAGAGAGATATAAAGAGATCAACAGAAAGAGAGAGGGTGACCAATATAATTGAATTAAGAAGGTTTGAAGCCAGAACATTTCTATAAGCAATTAGAGGTGTGAGGCCAGAACAAGCAGAGATATATAATTACCATCTAATCAAAAAAGAGATTAGAAACTCACTGAGTATGGTTATGTCTACCCACGGGGCAACCTTCATGTAACCTTTCTCAGTTCAGAACTGTGATATATATGGTTGCTCTTATTCAGACTGTCAGGCACACCATGCAGTGCATAGGTGCAAACCATCAGATAATAAACAAACAGTTGAGATGGGAAGCTGCTGCTACAGACAATTAATTAAGTAATCAGTCTAACGAGCTCTTTAGAACTGCTCTGTTCTTTTGGCAGCAGATAGGAATTCATTAACATGGCTAATTGAATTAAACAGGTGCTGATTTCACAGCTGCTTCGCGTTCGCACACATGCTGTTGAGACTGAACTACAGGTGGTGTGTGAGAGAGAGAGAGAGCGTAAGAGGGTTGGAGGGGGTGAGTGCTTGTCTTTGATGGTCTCTCTCAATGGAACCTTGGCACTCAACCAAAAACCAAATGATATGTAGATCAAGTGGTGTGTGTGCTCCTGCCTCTCGCTGAGTGTGTGTGTGTATATATGTGCGTGAGCTTCAATGGAGCCTGCATACCCTTGAGATAAACACATGGCATATTAGTAAACACTAAACATGACCTATTGTCTACGGCATGGTCTATGGAGATGAGATGGCATGAGAGTATTGCTGTGTTGAATATACATTAGAGACACTTACAGCTGGCTGAACCACATTGAAATCAATTCCATTTCAGTCAGTTCAGGAGATTGAAAAGTGCACATTATTTTCTATGAGTACTTTTTAACCTCTGAATTGCATGAATTGAATTGAATCGACTCCATGCCTCCCAAAACTCTCTCTCGTCTTTCTCTCTCTCACCTGATCCCTGGCAGAGGTGTGTTTCTCCTGCACTTCATTCAGGTCTTGGGTTATCTGTTTCATTCGTTCTTCCTTCTCCAGTCTCCTCCCGTACTCATCACTCAGATCTGTCCTCACCTCCACCATTTTGGCCTCTGCCTGAAACAGTCACACCCACACTCAGTCACTGTCACACTGTATGGTCAAAACTACTGCCGCCATTTTATTTTGACAATTCAAACATGTGAAAAGAGAAATACTACGATTAAATAAACTTGGTGATTTACGACATCTATTATAATTATGATATAAATATGTTGCAGAGAGAGGAGAAATTAGATATGGAACCTTGATATGGATATTAAACTAATCACACATCAGTTTTCTATTGCTCAGGAGATAGAGCACAACGAGTAGAAGATAGGAAGAGAAAACAATCAATAGAAAAGAGCTAAACAAGATCCCAAGCAAGAAAACAAGAATAGATAAATCATAAATTAGTGATACTAAATAGCTCAATACTATCATATTGGATCAAATAAATAAATAACTAATATTCTCTCTTGATCGCTCCATCCCATACCCGCACTCTATATCTCTCTCTCTCTCTCTCCCTCCCGCTTCTCCCCTCCCTCCCTCCCCTTTTTCCTCGCTCCCTCCCTCTTTCCTCGCTCCCTCCCTCCCTCTCTTGCTCCCTTCCTCCCTCCCTCCCTTCTCTGCTCCCCTCCCTCCCTCTCTTGCTCCCTCCCTCCCTCCCTCTCTTGCGGCCTCCCTCCCTCCCTCTCTCGCGGTTTGGCATGGTCAGATGCTGATCTGCCATTGGCTGAATAAATTGCTGATGTTTGTGGTAACAGCTCTAGAGATAACATACTGATTAATAAACATATAAAATACACAGATTAATAAACATACAAAAACACACAGATTAATAAACACACAAAAACACACACGTACTGATTAAAAACCTCAAAAAGTCTAACACATGGAATTGTTTTAAGATGGTCATACCATGGATCATTTAGCTATTTGATTTAGAATTTTAGGACCTCTTTAGGTATATATACAGTACCAGTCAAAAGTTTGGACACACCTACTTATTCAAGGGTTTTTCTTTATTTTTACTATTTTTTACACTGTAGAATAATAGTGAAGACATAAAAACGATGAAATAACACATATGGAATCAGGTAGTAACCAAAAAAGTGCTCCCGAGTGGCGCAGCGGTCTAAGGCACTGCACTGCATCTCAGTGCTTGAGGCGTCACTACAGACCCCCTGGTTAGATTCCAGACTGTATCACAACCGGCCGTGATTGGGAGTCCCATAGGGCGGCGCACAATTGGCCCAGTGTCGTCCGGGTTTGGCCGGTGTAGGCCGTCATTGTAAATAAGAATTTGTTCTTAACTGACTTGCCTAAATAAAAAACAAATAAAAATATATTTGAGATTCTTCAAATAGCCACCCTTTGCCTTGATGACAGCTTTGCACACTCTTTTGTATTCTCTCAACCAGCTTCATGAGGTAGTCACCTGGAATGCATTTCAATTAACAGGTGTGCCTTCTTAAAAGTTAATTTGTGGAATTTCTTTCCTTCTTAATGCGTTTGAGCCAATCAGCTGCGGGTGTGTGTGTGTGTGTGTGTCATTAGACACAGGGGCTGATGAATGACTTCACTCCAGATTGCTTTACATCACAAATCATCCTCACATTATAATACCCCTAATGCAAATACACGTGTGTGCATGCGTGTATGTGGTGCATGTGTGTGTGTGTGTGTGTGGTGTGCATATGTTTGAGTGTGTGTGTGTGTGAGTTTGTGCGTGTGGTATCACTGTATCGCTGGCGAGCTCATTGCTCTCAGAAATCAAAGTTAAATGGGTCATCTATCATCAGAATATACTGTATGTCTGGACCACTTGTCTCCGTCTCACTCTGTGTGTGTGCGGTGTGTGCGTGGTGGGTGTGTGTGTGTGCCTGGTTGTGATTAATGTGCTGCATTGGGCTGTTCAGCTATGCATGTTGGTGAGTTTATCGTTTGATGCTGGCTCCAATTAAACTCCTCTAAAGTGACGGATGGCTTTAAGACTCTGTCCATCAATAAGGGCCATCCAGGCCTCTGCACCAGGATATGTCATTCTCACAATGTCCTCTTGACTCGCAGGCACTGTGTGTGTGTTTCAACTCCACCATCTTATAATAGACCATAACATATCTTGTCCATTTGTCCTATCCCCAGACCCAGTAATCTGATATATCCTAGATATTAATTCTCATGTAACTCTAATGACACTAGGCTCTGTTGTTCTTATTGTGCCTGCATCACCCAAAATAGACACACACATGCAAGAGGAAATGGCATATGCGTCTTGCGGGAGGAGGGATAGAGTTGTGTGTTAGAATGGACTGTTTGCAGGATTTGCAAAAAGGAATTATCATTCGCAGAGGGGAGGAGGAAGGACCGAAGGGTGAGGAGAGGAATTTCAGGGCGGGGGGTGGAGAGGACATTGAATGATGACACTCGGTGTGTGTGTGTGTGTGTGTGTAGGGTATCTATATGGGGTTTAACATTTGATGGCTACGGCTCATGGCTCAGGCCTATCTCACACTCAACTGAATACCACATGCCTGGGAATGGGTTATAATCTCACTCTCTCAGTGTGTGCGCATGCGTGTGAGTGAGAGAGAGAGAGGATATAGGGTAGTAATATGAAATAGACAGCATAGCTCAGAAGACACCAGAGAAGACATGTTTCTTAGGAGAGACACCCTTTCCCCTACCTCTCACCCCTACTCACCCCTCTACCACCTCACCATTAAACCTACTACCCCTCACCCTCTCTCACTCACCCTCCTCCCGCCCCGCTCTGTCCTATGCTGTAGTCCAGTGGTATTAGCTGTGTGTTGATATTCAGATGGATGAGTGGAGAGTAAGGAAGAGACAAGACCCAAACACACCACACACACACACACACACCGACACCAACACACACACACACCGACACCAACACACACACACCACACCGACACACACACCCTTACAGCCCCTCAGCGCTCTCCTGTCCTCACAAGCTTGGTTTCCCCCTCTAATTGCTGCCATTCGTCTGTGTATGTGACATAGGGCTGCCACAGCGCCACCTGATGTCCCCTGTCAGTACAACAGTGTTTGCCACTACCTCAGTCACACCTCACCACCTACAGCAATCTACCATTTACTGTCTCACTGCAAGGTTGCCACCACGCACGCACGCGCACGCACGCACAGCTCTCATTTAACACACATATATGCACACACAGGAACACAATGAACAGAGTATTGTATATTGTCTAGTATTATTGTTATAATATGAGGGAAATTATCATTGTTAACGGTCATTAACCGCCAGATCAATATAAATGAAAGTCCATTAACTCTGCTGATACGACGATGATTATTGTTTTTATACCGAAGGAAAACAAATGTCTGCTCTCATACAAACACAAAAACACACAAACACAGGCACAGGCAGACAGAAACTAAAGACAAACTCGCACACTGCTTCAATACACTGCAACCTCATACAACACTGATAAATATTTCCGTATTGGATTAAAACCAGTTCAGATATTTTAATCGCTCTCTCTGTCTATCTCTCTGTATCTCTAGCTCAGTGAATAGTCAAAGCAAAATGTATTTGAATGGTTAAACAACAACAGTTAATGTATCATCTATTATTATTTAAATCATATTCACATTAGAATGTGGTGATTAGTTACACTGCCTGGGTTCTATGTTCCTATAATAATCCTTTAAGTATTTAGTAATGTAGCAATTTATTTATATTTTATTTATATTCTACATCATCGTCTGCCAGTTTTACATCCAGCGCCAGACAATCTAGAATTTAATATGTCATCTTGTGTTGATTATAAATTACTGTTTCCATCCCAACCAATCAACTACAGCAATCTGCACCTAGCACAGACACCTTATCAATCAGAGGATCACACTGTCACACACACACGGACACATTTCTTCCGGCAAATGCAACCATCAGTCAGCTTCATCAAACTAACTCATCTATCTTACGGTCTGTCTGGAGCTAGGGAGGAACAGTTGTCCAACCTTAGCATTCGTCAGAATTACAGTCTGATATTAATAACACACAGAAATATTCATCTTGGAGGTAAACACTAAGCGGCTTAAAAAATCTGATTATTTTACAGGAATATCCTCACAGAGGACCTCAGGGGGTAATGAGGAGAACAGGAGGCTCTTTACAGAAAAAGTATGATTACTATGTTTGTGCATGCATGCGTGTGTGAGTAAAAAGGTAGGTTTGCCTAGGATCCCCCTCTCACTCGCTCTCTGTCCTATTCATATTTCACCTTCAATTTAATTGTTTCATCAGTCAGGGAGCTGCCTGCCGCAGCGATTCAATTAAGCTTTGTGATTGGCCCGCTGGCATTCTGAGGGGTCACGGAAAGGTTATAGAATTCAGTGGCACAAACGTGATTATGGCTCTGTAGCGTCTGATCAGAACCACTGTTTATCACAGAACACTGGAACTGGCTGGACCGTGGCTGGACCTGGCTGGCTGGTTGTCTGCCTAGTGGTTCTGGGTTGGAGGGGTTTACATGTTCACTGTTCAAAACACATTTTTACATGTTGTGGTAGTTTATATTGAACTCATAGGCACACACACACACACTCATTTGGTGGATATGGTACAGCCGAGGACCCAAATTACAGCTACTCAATGACGCTAAGAGCTGACGGACATTAAATCCTTTTTATATGCAGAGCGAATAGGCAATGTAACGACATCCACTCTCATGTCCCCAATACTACCTAGAGACGGGCAATATAATAAGGAAGCCATACAGAAAGAAGAACAAATGGATAAGTCTGACTAATATCCAGCTGTGTTTCTTGATACTATGGAGATACTGAATATGTTGCAATACAAACATGTACACTCTGCCCACCCTGCACACCAACAACATGAAGCATCTATCCATATCATCACTGGGGCCGAGCTCCCTGCCATCCAGGACCTCTATATACCAATATACCACGGCTAAGGGCTGTATTAAGAACAGCCCTTAGCCGTGGTATATTGGCCATGTACCACACCTCCTCGGGCCTTATGCTTAATTAGAACTGACTGA